TTCTAGCATGGACCGAAACTTAGGAGCCATCGTCCAGCTCACGACGTGAAAGAACCGCTTGTTGGGAGGCAACCCAACCAGTCGGTTTGCATTTCTTTCTCTATTTCTCCTCGGTTGAGTCAGTTTTGTTATTTGATTTTAGAGTCAATAACTCAACCTTTGTGAGATTTTGTGTGGTGTTTGTGTTCTGATTACTCTCTCTTTCTGGAATGCACCGCCTGACCCGTCCAATCATTCACCCTTGATCTGGTAATTTCGTTCTACCCTCCTTATCTTTCCTCCATTGAGGACAATGTCGTGCTTATGTGTGGGGGGTGTTTGATTATGTATGCGGGTGAATGTTTGGCTGTTTGTGTGCTTGGAGCCTAGTCCACTGTCCAAATTTGAGATTTGAGGGCTCCAGCATCCAAGTACTGCTGTTTGCTTGATCATATTGGCACTGTGGTTTTAATTGGTGAATTGAATGGCTTTCGACTTAATGCATGACAACTGAGGTGTGACTAGGACAACCTATAATGATGACTGAGACGTGCAGTAGAATTGTGTAGGGGTTTGGTTTTTCAACTGCTTTCTTACCAACTGTGACTTGGATTGATCACTTGTTCTTGACAGTCGGTTATGCATCTAGTTCAGGGAATCAGAATGAGAGATAGAGCATATAGGTAGTCATGTGAGATTTGAGCCTGCTCGTTTCTTTCTTGTGCGATAGTTCCCTCTTCCATGATGTGTAGCATTCACGTTGTCATTAGCTAAGATGATGGAGGCATAGGATTAGCCCACGACCAAATTGACTGTCCTGATGTGTCATATCCACTAGTCAGCCCATTTGAGCCGTGTGTTATCCTTTCTTTCAGTCTACAATGAAAAATCACCCTTTTGCATCTTTTAGAAGGTTCCACAGAGTGGTTTTTACATGTTCTCTGTTGTTTCTGCTAAATATAATGTGAGGGTTGGAGGTAGTGCTTAAAAGTTGGGCATATGTTTGAAATATGTGCAGAGGTGGTGGTTCTCTTAAGGAATGAAAAAAAAGAATGAAAGCAAAAGAGAGCCACTACCAAAAATCTGAATAGTGCCCATTAAGCAGTGTTTCTTAGCAGTCTGGCTTGGAAATGCTGACATTTATATAACCTCCTTCGCTCGTGTGCTCGTAAGAATTTGAGTAATGCAGAATGGCAGAAAGAAAGTAAGTGGTTTGATTGACTATGATTGTGTTGGGTTTGGAATTGTGGAACCTTGTGCTACGAATACTTCCACCACCTAAAAGGCCTTTTCCCCATGTCCAAGACCCTAGCCAGTCATCTGAACCTGTGTCTAAGACCTCCGGATTATTTAGTGGTGACACCTCATATGTGAACTCTAGCATTTAGAGGCTGCCGTCATGGTGAAGAGATGTTAGGGATTGAGAGAATAAGCATGCGCATTTTCTCATATTGTCCTGACCCCACTGGTCGAGAGTGAGCGACTCATTTTCTCATATTCTCTATACTCTTGTACCCCGGTGAGGACCTAGATTGCTCGGTCTCTATTCTGATATCTTGAGTTTTGTGCATGAGGTGACTGTCTTGAGTAAGTGATTGAGTCAAGTCTATGTTGATTGATGAACAGAAGGGAGACTCCTCCTTTACTCGATTTTGCTGCACTCGAATGTCCTCTGTGGTGGTTGTCCAGGTTGCGGTTGAAGTTGTTCATGTGTTGATGTTTGAAAGCCGGTGTGATTCCCATGTTTTGTGCCTATATGATTTGTCCCCAATGTTGGTATGATTGAAATTGTGAGCTTACCTTGTGTCTGACTTGGTTTGCTTGGGGACAAGCAAACAGTTAAGTGTGGGGGAGTTTGATAACATCGGATTTGCACATGTTTGCACCCTCGTTTCTTGATCATTTTGGCTTGAGTTTCTGCTTTCTTGGACTATTTTATGCTAGGTTGTGTTCCTTTATCACATTTCAGGTCTTAGCATGTGAATTGAAGCATAGGCGCAAGTTTCAAGTCAATTGGAGATCATTTGGCAATTCGGGAGAAGAAACACGAGCATGACCTGAGGAATAATGGACTTCTACCTCATATTATGGACAAATAATCATGGGATTTTGTCATAAAAAGAAAGAGGACGAGACTACGAGCGTCTGGGATCAAACGACGACTGATTCGGAGTCCGGACGAGGGAGAAACGAAACATTAAACAGAGGCTGAGCAAGCCACACGGGCCCACCTAAAAACCCACACGGCCGTGTGACCTGGCCCTGTGGCTGTATGGGATTTACCGAGCACTCACACGAGCATCCTGGGGAGCCACACGGCCGTGTGGCCCCTGCCCGTGTAGCTTGACTGGTTGCCCATTAATCGAAACTCCGCGTTTTGGCACTCATACGAGCAGCTGGGTAAGCCACACGGCCGTGTGGCCTGGCCGTGTGAGTCGGGAAATTCTGGGTTTTAAGCCAAATTCGAGCCAAAGGAGAGAGAGAGCGGGGTTTTGGTTCCCAAACACCCAAGGGACGAACCCTAGAGAGAGAGAGCGACTTGGGAACATTCTTGGAGCTATTTTGGAGAATTTCTTCGCCATTGGAGCTCGGGAATCAAGCTTGGAGATGGAGATTGAAGATCTAGATTAGATTTCTACAGTCTCTCTCTTCTCTATGGAGTAACTTCCCTTCACTTAGGTTTTGAAGAACCCTAGTTCCATGTGTTAGGATCTTTCTTGTATGAAGTTTTGGATGCTATATTGTTTGATTATAATCGATTGAGGCATGATTTATAGAGTCAATTGAAGCCTGATCATCTTCTCTTGATTTCTGCTTTAACCTATGATAGATAGAATCTGATTAGGTTAAGAGAGCTTCCTTGATTGATAGTGGTGAATTGGTTGTGCGAGAGTCAATCAATTCACTGCTTTGTACTGGAATTCATTCCAGTAGTGGAGATCTGTGTGAATCGCCTTAGCAGTCTACCCCGGTGAAGGCTAGTCACCTGTCGGGTATTCTGTCTAAGAGGGCTTGGTCAGCTTAAGAGATTCCAAGCTAATTTAGGATCTTCCGCAGTTTAATCAACAGTAGACCAACCAAAAGTAATTGCAACTTGGACCTAATTGAGGAGCTAGGGGGAATCATACCTAAGTGAGTTCCCAACTTGTAATTAGTAGAGGAGTTAGTAGAGTAGTTTATAAATCAATCCTTAATCTAGTTTGCTAGATAATGAACCGAAGCTGAGTAATAGTAACTCTAGAGACCCATGGATTCGATATTTATTACTTGTGCCACTATACTGCAGTCCCTTTCATTGGTTACACTTGGCCATTGTTAGGTGTTGTGTCGTAGCGAGTCAGCGACCACAACCGAAAACTGGTCGGTCGGTTTGGCGGTTAACCGATGAGAAGCTCCGGCCGGTGGCTATTTCCCAGTCATTCGGCTAACCGAAAACTGACATATTGGTTAATGGTTAGACCAAAATCGACCGACATCCAGTCCTAATACAAACTAGGGCTGATAATCGATTTGGTTCAGTTATAAGCGGAGCCATTTAGTCAGATCTCGGTTAACTGTAAATTACTTTGTGCTTACTGTTAACCACATCGTTTAAATTAGTCGATTCCCGGTTATTTTATCGGTTAACCAGATAATAGTTAATCAAGTGATTCGACAAGGTTATACCAAATAAGTGATCAATAAACTAACCAAAAAATGACCTCCTTTTTCCAATTTTGAAATTTTCTATAATTTTTCATACATACGCATGTGTTCTTTTCTTAAGTTGTTTTCGTTGAATAAAAAATAATTTAACATAGATATATATCAATACATAATTAATTCAATCCAACACAAGTACACAATAATACCATTCTACCGTCAAACTTTATTAAAGAAGCATACAACGAGAAGAGACCCAACAACAATTACTCAATTCGTAAATCCAACCAAATTACATAGTAGCTTAATATTACCGATTGTTGTCGAGCAACTGTGCGCAAGCCTAACTTTCTACTGTGTTCCTTCTATACTCTTCCTTTAAATTATTATCATTTGAGTCTAAGTTACTATTACAACTATGATAGGCAATAGGTCTTGTAAGTCTTCAAACACCCCATTATTTTAGGCCTATGTTTGCAGGTCATGGAGTTCTTTTATTTTTGGCTCTAACTATGAGGATGGTGGTAATCGGTTAGTCGGTTAATCGTTTAACTATCTATTAGTTATTAGCTAGATTTGGCTACCAAGAACCGACCGTTTACTATTTAATCGATTATTGGTATAACCGTTAAACACCAGTTCTGATTCATATCGGTTACACAATTAACGGGATAACCGTTTACCAGCCCTATTAGGCTAATCCAAACTATTGAAAAATATATTACACTTGAGGATGAGTTAAATATTGAGTATGCTTAGTTAGCCGTAATAAAACAAGATATGTTTAGGGCTGGAATGGCGTGGGTTATGATGTATAATCGGATTTGCTCATTTGATCTCATATGTTATGTTAATCCACTTGTACTCATCCGTTTGAAATTTGATTATAACAATTTGTCTACAACATAAAACGATTCATTGTGATATACACAACAACTTGTTTAAAAGTTTTATTCTATTGTTCCAAAGTATATTATTATTAAAGTGAACGTCACTTTGTAAAGCGTAATTAGTTTAATTTTTCTCGTGGAAAAATATATTTTATATCCGTCCTAAAACAAATGAAGCATTGTTGCTTTGTTAAATAGTTATGCATATGTTAGTAACAAGATGTTAATTTATTGGACTGAGCTGCTTTCAAATCGAATCATGTTGATTGTTGAAGCAATAAAGAAAAGGAGGGCCGGTGCCCCAGCAGCAGCAGCAGGAATAGACGGTCCAACTGAAACAGAACAAAACTCTTACCAGAAAAACAAACAGCTAATAATCAGATCAGATCAGATCAGATCAAAGGAGGCGCGCATGGGAAAGTACCGGGAACAGCTACGGTGTTAATTGCACAATAGTTAGCACCGTCTTAATCAAGGGAAAAACTACTACTAGTTTAAATTAGTAGTGATTTAACTTTAGATGTTGTATTGATTTTATAATAATCCGTAATGATTTTTGCTAGTTCACCTAATCCCATCCCGAAAGTACCACACTGCCCCTGTCCGACCACCACTTCCTTCTCAAGTTCTCAACCGTCTGGGGCGTGGGGAGAAAGTTGTAACCACGTCAACGGTGGTGGAGGAAGAGTCATGGCCACGTGGCGTTCGTGGGCAACGACGTCGTACAGCGTACAGCTAGCGGTGATAATTGGGCGGGAAGCACGAGAGTGGTGTGATGATCTCGTCCGTTCGATGACGTGATTTGCTGATTCCCCCCACCACTGCCCTCCGGCCAATCTCCGCCCTTCACTTCACGTGCACATCTGACGGCTCTTATTCTCTCAACCTCTCATTCACTTTTACCTCAAGATTCGCACATAAAACAATTCACGACGCGGTAAATATATAGGCCGATCATGATCATGCAGTTATGTTCGGCAGCACCTACGGGTTTTGGATATATTGTACTTATAGTGATTAGTATTAGTGCTAATTACTTAATTAAAGAATCACAGCTACGTACTCAGAAAGTGATAGTGTGTAGGTAAGCAGTTGAAGGGTTCAACGTGGCCCCCACCAATCATTCAACGGAGCTCCTTACAACGCGCGAATCGGGGGCTCTCTGTTTTACTACGCGTCTTTTGTTAGCTCGATCCAGGTTAGCCAGAACAAGAACATTAATACGATATATATTTAGTACGAAACTAAGAACGAAAATGAAAGAAGCATGTTCCTATTGTTGCTTTCTTTGTTTTTTTTTTTTTTATAATTTCATCATGTATTATCCGAGTGTTTTTATTGGTAAGTACGTCCATGATACAGCAAAAAGTGTAGTGTTGTCTGTTGACTCCTTCAACTGTTACGTAATACTCCGTCTGTCTATGTTGATTAATTTAGGGATTTAGGGCGCAGTGTAAACCGATTCTATTGTCAATTTCATTTAATTGTCTAATAATTTAGTTGGAATTAAATAATTCAAACAATAATCGGGATAAAATACCTCCATAAGTTATATTTGCAACAAAAAAAAAACTTACGGGATACATTTGTGTAATTGATACTTAAAAAAATAAATACTCATCCATGAACCTTACATAATAAATATAATTTACGCAAATGTTATAAGAACAATATTACATAAATTTTCTCCAAATGTGTGATCTAACAGACTACTACGTAGAAGCTAATTTACTTCGCATAATATATAATTTGTTTAATTGGGGCATAAAGAAATAATAAGGAAATGTACGTTCTACTTAGGGATGAAAAAAATATCCGTAACAGGTGGATATCCGTCCGAATCCAACCTAATTGGGTAGAGTAAAACTCGAACTCGAAAGACTTTTAGTGAGTATAGGTCAAACCCGAACTACTTAAATAGTACATCAGATATGCACTATCCGCACCCAACCTACTTCACTCCAATCCGTAATTCTTCTACTTAATCAGAAATAAACAAATGTGGCCCCGCTGTGTCTCTCCCTCCCTCCCTCGCCAATTCTCAAATGTGATTATATAATTTGATTTTCCCTCTCTCTCTCCAAATCATTTTCATTTTTTCAGTTTCTGCAATTACACTTGGCTGTCTTTTCGTTTGGTTTCCAGCCTGCATCTTGCATTCTTGTGTATATATATAAGCAATTAATATACATGGATCCCCGGTAGAAATTATCCTCCTCCCTCTCCCTCTTCTCTCTCTCTCTCTAAGCCGGAAAAGAAAGCCCAACAAATAATTGAAGGATGAAAAAGAACCCAAATTGCAACAATTCATCTTCTTCCTCCTCGCCTTTCCCTTCTCCAACCTCCGTCCTTCCGTCGCCGCTGCGGCCGGGGCAAGGCATCGGCAGGGATTCACGGATGATTTCCAAGCCGCCGAAGATCCGGATCATCCACATATTCGCGCCGGAGATCATCAAGACCGACGTCGCCAACTTCAGGGAGCTCGTCCACCGCCTCACCGGCAAACCCACCCGCCTCCACCCGCCGCCAGAGCCAACGCCCCCTCTACCGCCGCCGATGCTAGAGTACGACGGAGGTAGAAACCACGACGACGAGGAGGAGGAGGAGGAGGAGGCAGGGGCGGCGGCGGGTCAATACTCCTGTGGTTTTAGCGGCGAAAACTACGGCAACAACGACGACGACGGCAGCTCCTTGCTGTTCGGTAGCGGTAATTGTTGCGGGGGATTTGGGTTTGAGTTTCTGTCGGCGAAGGAGAGTGGAACTACTGGGAGGACAGTGAAGGCGGAGGAGGAAAATGAGATGGCGCTGTGGATTAATAGTGACCGAAATTCCGGCGACGGCGGCGGCGAGGTTGGGGGCGGGACGTGTTTTGGGGAGCTGGACGATGGATTTATTGAGGAGCTTGGAGAATTCCCACTGCTAGTGGAGCAAAACCATCATCAACAACACCGTAATTACAGCCATCAGCGTCTTAATCACCATCTTCATGGCTTCGGGTCAGAAGCTACACAGTTCGTCTGAATCATCATCATCATCATCAGCAAAACTATTAGAGACTAATTTTCGTGACTGGTTGAATTAATCTATATAGTTTGATCTATTAACGACAGTTTAATTCATTAATGTTGTTTCTTGAGTGCAGAATTAGGGGGGAGTTTTAACTTTAGTCTTATATATATGCGAAAGAAGTGTTTCAGATTGTGTCCGTCTGGAATATATTATTAATGTGATGTAATTTCATTCATTAATTTGTTGTTTTGTGCTACCGCCTACACTATATAATTAATGTTCTGTCTGTTTTCTATGTTCGTTGTCTTGTGAAAAAAAAGGGTGTCTCTGTTTGATAACATTTGTATGTATACAAACTTGTGTCTCCCTGTATGTGATCAATTGCTACGTAGTACGTACTAGCTAGTATTATATTACCGGTATGGATGGAGTTTGGCAGACCAAACTAGGGATGATAATGGGCGGCAAAATCATAATTTTATCCAAATATAGTTTGAGTTTTATTCGTGTATAAAAAAATTGGGTAGAATATCAAAACTATACTCATAAATTTTTGGGTTTGAATATCAACAGTTATATATTGGTAATAACTAATAATCATGTTAACAATTACACAATGTCTGGGACAAAAAATGAACAAGTGAAGCAAGTAAGAAAAATCATCAGGTAACTTCTCTTAATTCTTCTGAGTTCTGACTAGTGACTATGCATATCAGTTTGTGAACCAAATCCATGATAGTAACACCAACGCCAGGGAGTGAAACTGAAACTACTCCATTTTCTTCATGCAATGATCAAAAATTTTATAGGGTTAGGCTACGACCGGCTAGTACCAAACGAGTATTAATGGGCAACTTGTGGGTACCAATTGTATATTTCTTGATCTCAACCATTGTGGTAAAAAAAATTACACATATTTGGATATCCGTAACCCTAAAAAAAACGGGTATGAGTATACCTAAATTGTCGTTGCCCACCCCTAATATTTATAATTCGGCAAGTTCGGATTGGATAATAAGATAACCATGCTCTTTCATCATCCATAATATTTGAATTTGAGTTTTACTCATTCCCGTTAAAAATCCTTTGGGCCAGCTGGCAGCTAGTGACCAAAAGCATGAGAGGAGAATTAATTAAACTCTCTCTGCATCACTTTTTCCATATTCATATTACAAAGATGAAATTACTTTTTTTTTTGGTAGGAAATGATGAAATTACTTTACTTGCAAGTATACAACATTTTCAATAGATTGCTAGTTATTCTACCATTATTTAATTCGGATGATTCATTAGCCTATACGTAATCCATCTCTCAGATTTATCTTCGTATTTGGATGCTTAATTCGTGTATATTTTCTTAATCCCCCTGTGTTTTAATTTATATTTTACATTTCATTCTTCTTAGGATACGCGCAGGCAGGATGATGATGCATGAGGACTGACTCATTTGAGAAGTTGACAGATTAATTCATTATTATTAAACCCTAAACCAATAATTAATTAACAACAACAATAATAATACTTAAGTCCATATGGGGAGAGATGGACGACAGACACTAATCCCCCACGTTTAAGTACTCCACCAACCAGAGAACCGCAAGTCAACTTTTACCCCCTTTTATGGAGTTTTCAAGTCGAGCCCATAGGAGAAAGATTTGGCTTAATATGAAGAAGGAATGAGTGGCGGTCCAAGCAATGTGTCCAACCACCGCTATCCTAAGTTGCAGCCCAAATTGTTAGGAACAGAAGTTCATGGATTAGAAGGCCCAACTCGAGAAGAAACAGAGCGACAAGTCCAATTGATGCTCCACCAACGCCTTTACCTTGCCTTGTTGACAAAGTTTCCTATAAATAAGGGGCATGACTCCATTGTAAAAGTAAGGTTGCACAAACACACAAATCTCTGTAACGCTCTACACTAGTGCCTAGTCTAGTCGAATTAGAGGGGCCTGCAGCTAAGGAAATGTTGTCATCATCAATGGTGGTACCTTCATTCTCCTCTATGTAGCCAATTGAAATTAATTGTTTGAGGATGTTATCTTCTTGATTGTTATGTGAATGAATGCCATGATTTCATCTCATGTTTGTGTTTGTCTATGAATTTCGATGCCTATGATTATGCATGGATGCTTTCTTGTATTCGATGCTTATGATGGTCACTGATGTTTCCATCGATGCTTATGATTCTATAGTATGCTACTATATGCATTGTGCTTATAATTATCTAGATTGTCAAGAAATTACATTCTAGGGGTACCCCAGTCTTGCTACACTAGTAGAGATGGAATGGTCAACCATCTATGCTTCGAGTATCATGATTGGTTGATTGTTAGATCATCCATGCTATAGACTATAATTATAGTTCGTAAAATCCCAAAATTAACTACATGTTATCCTATCTTCCTTGTTCTTCATTAATTAGGTAATGACATGAAGCGAAAGCACGGTTTAGCTAGTTAAATTTCTTTCGTTAGAGGTGCATGCAGATGTAGAGAGTGGCATTAAAGGAAGGGATAGGATGTTGCAATAGATAAATCATTGGTGCATGATGTGAATGAGCCATAGTTTGTATGATTATCTTCGATTTCACTACATTTTACAATAACGTATCTTTACTTTTATGCAACTATAAATTGAAAATATCTAAGCAACTTTATTTTTGTGTATGTCATAATGGTTGGTGTGAGTAGTTGTGCATTAGAAGACCTCGAAGAATACGACCATAGGACATCCTAAGACTTTTTAACACTTGTATGTTACTAGGCATCAATTTTTTGGCGCCATTGTTGGGGATTTCTAATCATATATAAAAGCATCTAACCATCTTATGTCTAGTATTGAGTCTTTTTTGTTTTGTAGGTCTTCGTATGAGTCCCATAAGTATTAGAAGAAAGACTAAAAAACCTTAAGATCGTGGAAGAGATACTTCAAGAAGGAGGAGCATAGAATTCACCCATCTTGAAGACAAAGGAAGGGGCATTTAACTTAGGTGAAGAAGAGCCCTCAAGCCCCACCAATTTCTAGCAAGCCTTGGAAGAGGAGGGCAACATAGATGAAGACAACTTCGATTAGGAGTAAGAAGGAGCATCTTCAACATTTTCAACACCAACAATGGCTGGAGAAGACGGAAAAATGCAAGTGGCTATTCCACCAACTCTTTACGAGTACTCAAGGCCAAGAGCATCCAAAATCACCTCAAGCACTGTTGTGCCACCAACGACCATAGAGATCAGAACTCAACTCATCCAAATGGTGCAACAAGCATGAAAGTTTGGAAGGGGGAATGATGATGATCTGGTGCAACACTTGAAGACATTCTTAGAGATCGCTGATTCCGTACCAGAAGATGATATTACCAAAGATGGAATTCGACTACGACTTTTCTCATTCTCACTTGGAGGAGAAGCAAAGTAGTGGCTCGACTACCATCCACCAGGAACCTTCACCATGTGGGAGACGCTTTCTCAAGCATTCACTGAGGAGAAATATCCACCATGGAAGACAAAAGATTTTTGAGATGAGATCACTCAATTTCAACAGAAGGAAGGAGAGACTTTCTATGATGCTTGGAGGAGATTCCAAAACTGTATCAAAGCATTCCCCCATCATGGATTCACACCAGAGAAAATTGCAAAGTGCTCTGACAAAGGCCTTGATCGAGACATTATGATGATGGTAAACCAGTCGGTCGATGGAGATTTCACAACAATGACGGGAGTGCAATGCCAGGAGCATTTCACCCCACTAGCAAGGAAGTCAAAGAACTGGTCCAAGTGCCCATCAATGACTAAACCATTGAAAGCTACCTAAGGAAGGAAGGATGATGTTTGCCACCCTCTATGCATACATGAAAGATCTTACTCAAGAATTAAGGAAGACTTCAATGGATCCAAAGAATGGACCAGTTGCATCCTTGCTCATTTGTGAAGCATGCAGAGAAGAAGGTCATAAAGGATTCAAATGCTATAGCCAAGAAGGGCAGAGACTAACTTATGTCAATTATATTAATCAAGGCTATCAATCGAGGTCTTAACAAGGTATTTATGCTCCTTATCAAAGATTTAACAAACCTTGAAAACCATGTGGTCAATGGCTTGCTCCAAGAGGGAAGAAGCCCGATGACTACCCTAATATCACATCTACCAATGAACCATATGTTCATGAAGCACAATGGCAAAAGAAACCAAATCCACCTAGAATTGGAAATCAACCTCAATACAAGGGGCCATGAGAAGGTTTTTCCAATTCACAACCCACTAGATTCAAGAAGCTAGAGGCAACTGTTATAGGATTGCAAAAGAGCAACAAGAATATCGAAACACAACTTGCACTCCTAATTGATGATCAACTTCAAAAGCCTCGAAGCAACTTCCTGAGAAACATAATAAAAAATTCAAAGAAGGAGGAAGTAAATGTCATCTTGACTAGGATAGGAGTAGCCAAAAGTTTCCCGAGCATGAAAAAAATAAGAAGAGAAGAAGGAAGTTGACTATCCATCCCTCTTCTTAAATCTTATAGAAGCTTTTGGAGGAGCAAAAATGGTAATGCCAATATTGGAGAAGATGATTTCAACAAAACATCTTAAGGAAAAACGGGAGATCTCTATGAAAGAAGATGACAGGGTCGAAGAGAAGGAGACCACAATCAAGAAAAATCGTTGGGGGGTGTTCAGAATTCGTCCTAGTCAATGAAGTAAAGAAAGATCAGAGGCACATCATCATCACATGTCTCATGGATGACCATCACATAGAAAAAGGTCTAGTTGACATTGGCTCAAGTGCAACATTCTACCAATGTGCAAATATGAAGAGATGGGACTAACCAACATGGAGTACGCCAACGTTGAAATCATGCTAGCCAAAAATACCCATTGCAAAGCTCCTGGGATTGTTCCTGACCTAAGAACCCTAGTTGGTAAGTTGTTCTTCCCTGACTACCTCGTGATCCAAATGGAGATAAGCAATGGAGAAGTAACCTTACACGTGGGAAAGCTTCTATACAAAGTATAAAGGCCAATCAAGAAGGGAGATGAACATGAGGAGTATCCATGGATAGATTCGGACGATAAAGTCAAATTTTGATTTGGTTATCACCTTAAGAATCTAGAAAATATAATAGTTCATCCCATGATCTAGAGCCAAAGTATGGAGAGGATTTGAACAAGGTTATACCAATTTGTGGTCTCAAAGAAGCTCATGGCATTAAGGATAGCCAATACAAGGGAAAAAAGATGATGCTTGAAAAGATCGAGGAACTGGAATATGAGGCAAACAAGGAGTATCGGGAGTTGATCAATCAACATCAAACCAATGGATTCAACTACTATCATATCCCAGTAACGAGATGGGGAGATGAAGGTGAAGTGATACCTAAACAAGATATCAACTAGAAGAGAACCTAGCTAAGCCTAACTCAAAGGCACAAAAGAGAGAACACTCCATGGGAGGTAGCCCATGTTTGGCTTCAAACTTAATGACATTAACTAAAAGTGCTACCACGGAGACAACACAGATTTCTCTTTCTTAGTTCAAATTTTCATTTCAAAATTTGTATTTTGGCATTAAGTTTTGAGTTACTCATTGGAGGAAAACATTGTATCCTTTGGATAAGTGTTTTATTTGGAGCAAAACTTCAATCTTATTACGAGAAGGAAGGATTTCAAGATGTGAAAAATAGTACAAAACCAATTTTCATACTATCGAGGTAAGTGTTCTAACGCAAAAATGATGGTATCCAAAGTAGAACGCGAGAGGAAGTCACGTCGGCCACCAATGTTGTGACACCGCCGCTACCCCTTTCCCTTTTAAATGCCAATTCTTGGCCATCCACATCTCACTCACCTTCATTTTTCATTTTCCTCTCTCTCTCTAGCCGAAAAATCCTCTCCCTTCTCTCTAAGTTTCAAATTTTATCGAAAACCCTAAACTTCCAATCACGAAATCCACCTCCAAAACTGAGAACTCCGAGAACTTCCAATAACCCAGTCTTTCAATCACAACCAGAGCATTTGAAAATCGAATTTCATTTTGTCCGTGATCGAGTTAAAAAAACAAGCTTCATTTTCGTTATCTGCCCGCAACCGATAAGCTTGCAAATGTGCTCACCAAACCACTCACTCACCTTCCTTTTCCACAGTTTTACTTTAAACTTCACCTCACCGAGGTTTCACTTTAGGGGTCTGATAGGAGGGAATACTTCCTGGACATTCGATGGAGAATCAGTCCACTCCACTCTTTTTTTTTCTTTTTTTTTTTTTTTGACATTTTAGCCTTCAATCGCATAGGGTTTGTTCATCATTGTATACACTTATTGTACAATGAAAATGTGGGGTTTTCCTTACTCTTTCACTACGAAGTGCAACCAAAGTAGCAGCCAAGAAAATAAGAGAGAAATTCAGTGATGGAGCTATGCGTAACTCAGGGTTTATGGTAGACCTCTCAATATTTAATTCTAGATTATAAAATGTGGACAATATGGTGGTAATCAAAGATTAAAAGGTTATGGAGCAGTAAGATATCAACCCTTCTTTCAAGACGCTGAGTTCAATTCCAATAAATTGCTAAGATCTTTTTGATTCTAGCCTCATAATGGGGTCGAGAGAACGAGATCGTGGAACACGTAGCCTGACTAATTACAGACAAGAAGAACAAATTAAGAAAAATGAGATTAGTTTCGAGAGTGGGGAAGTGAGTTTCAGTTCATCACAGACTAGCTTTCATATTCTGAGACGACTTCTGGAATAGCGAGTGCAGGTGCTTCGAGCCTGGTAAGAACTTCAGGTACTCCAGCTGCATCCCTCATTATCTGCATCACAAATTTATTTATTAGTCATAATGAAGATAGGCAGCACCACAAATTGATCAGGTATACTGTGATGACAAGAGTTCGTACCAGTATCTCCTCGTCGAGATATGAAATCAAGAAGAGTCTTTGAAAGGTACCAGCTGCAAGAAATTAAAAAAGAACCACCATTGATTCCTTTTAAAAACCTCTGAACTCAACACATAAACAGCAGATTGTATACACATAGCATTAGCAGTTCCCGCACTCAGAGAGTTGCAACAAAACAACTTTCAGCTAATAGATATTTGACCATTTTATGCAGCAGACAACACAGGGAGACGAGAATGAAGTATGCTACAATTTAACAGGAGCTAAGTTGAGCCTAAATGGACCCAAGAACTTTGAAGTTCTTACTTAGTGGAATTCTCAGGCCACCGGCGATAAGATCCCTAATGGGAACAGGGAGTTGTTGCACTGTGCTGATAGCCTGGCCAAGCACTCCTTTTAGCTGTTCTGGTACTGCTTCTTCGATGACTTTAGGTGTCTCGAGAATCCCTTCAACATATTCCTCTTTCATTCTAAGTGGACCTTCCACAGTTAACTGTGAAGAGAGAGTGACCGTGCTTTCTATCTGCATTACACAAGATGTGAGGTCCATAATTAAGTACTCGGAATTCATGCAGATTCAAACACACGTACAAGAAAAGAAGTAGCCATTTAACACTCCTAGTATATTTAACTTCATTTCATATTGGCTGGAATAGCAGAAGGGTTGTCAGGAAGCAAACTGTGAGAAGTGAGGGACTTTGCTTTCTTATGCACTGACTTCATTTTAGCAAGTTTTTCATGTCTAATTTCTCATTCATCCTGATCTTAATAGAAAATGTAAGTTTTGACATATAGTGGACACAGAGAATTGTTTCAGGTTTTCATCAACATTTTCAAAATTGACCTGCTACAGAAGTGAACTCCCCTTGAATTTAGAAGAATACCGAATACAACAGCTTCATATTCGCTGTGACCCTTGCTTTCCCCTCCTTAATCACCACATCCATGTTTGATAAGTTAGCCAAATCAGAAGGAAATCTCCTGCAAAATTCCCAGATGCTGCATTCATAACAACGGTAAAGGGATGCAACAGCGAAAAGCGAAAAGGGGCTTACTGAAACAATAGTCTGGCAGCAAACAATCCGGGGCTTCCAGCTCCAAACCACTCGAAATTCCACCGACCTTCCAAGTAAGGTGATCTGTGCAGCTGAAGGAACAAGTGAACAAACACTACAGAACGGCGAACGCCCATCAAAGGGGGAAAATGGATAGTAAAACTTTTCAATAACCACCTACGTAGTTGGCCGAGGTGTTGGATTGAGACGCTCAAGACCAGTAATCCTTTCATTCACATCAATCTGCTGCACTTCCGTCAACTTCCCGGTGACCAGAGCTTCAAAACCCCCAGCATCTTTGAACTGAATCAATCAACAATCTGACTTCCATTAGATACAAATTTCGACATGAAGTACTGAAGTTTTTTGAACCTAAGAAAAGAGTCGCGAACGAATCAATTCAACAAACAACAGCCAAATCTAGCTCTCTATTTTTCTCAACAGTTACTACGTTTGTCAGCATCAAAAGCGATCTTCAGAGAGCGCAAAATTCGAATGTTCCCTTTTCAATGAGAACTAAGCAGCCATTTCTTATCGTCATCAATTGCAAGAACAAAGGGAACGGAAACTACTTACAGCAAGAAGCAGCGATTCCTTGGCGGAAAGCCGTTCCATCTCCTTGGCGTAAGCAGCAGGAGCTCCCTGTACGGCTTGCTGTACCATCGCCCGGCAGGGCATTCGTAGCCCGACTTTCCGGCAAGTGGAGCAGGTGCTGCTACTGGTGGTTGCGACGGAAGTTGGAGAGAAGAAGGACGAGTTGCGGGAACGAGTACCGGGAATCGGAGGAAGCGAGGAGGCGACGGTTGCAGCTGCTGCCATTGCTGTAGATTTTACCAGTTTCTGGGGGAAAATCGAAATGTAAAGTAACGAACCGGCGGAGGGGAATAAATATGTCGGCCGGCCGTCAACGTCACCGTTAAAAACGGGTAGGTAAGACAATATGTGTTGGCTTAGAAACGGCGGTCAACGCCGTCGTTTAGACAAAAAGCGAAAATGATTAACTTACGAGTATCGAACTTCGTACCTCTCGCCTGCAAAATGAAAATTCTACCATACGAGCTACATTACTGAATTGGAATTAATCAAAACATGTAATATCAAGTATCAAGTTGCTTTCCTGCTTTATAATCTAGCTTCTTCGCTGGGTGTGTTGAAGCGGGCACTTTCAGAGTTCAGACTGCAACTTCTGTGTTTTTCCCGCCATGGGAGGTGAGTCGGGCGAAATTCTGCAGAGGAAGCAAGCAGCCTACACTTGTCTGGTTCGTGTGCAGTCTCTTATTCATTCGCGTTTTTCATGAGTTTCATCTGTACTTTTGGTTGCAATAGTTGGCAGATTTTTGCTTTGCTTTCCCCCAAATTGTGGGTTTTTTTTTGCTTCCTAGCGCTGATTGAGGGCGAACAATGGAAGACGACGAGCGAACTCCATGTCTTCTCACTCCCAAGGGGAAGTTTTTTTTTTTGGGTAAAATAGTTTACTAACAATTAGGGGAAATGGCAGGATGAGCCGTTCGAGATTGGAAACGAGAAGTACGGCGGGCAGCAGTACAGCCAAATTTACTTCGCTCGTCTCCACGTCGCCAAGACTCTGCTCTACTCCCTGATTCCTCTCTGGAAACCTGAACTTCCCGGTACTTCAATTTTTGCTGCTTGGAATTTCGGAACTGAATCAGCTTTAGTCGTTGGTTACTTCTATGTTGGCTTTTGGTTCTTTTCCCCCATTGATTGTGTATCATGAGCTCTATCTGCTCGTGGATTAGTAAGGGAGAGATCCTCTTTTTCATGTTATTTTGAAATTAATGCCGAGTTTTGCTAGTTAGGGTTTCTCCACTGACTTTGTTGTTGTTGAGATGGAATGATGGGTGTTCTCTTTGGTGTTTTTGTGTCTCCCAAGTACTGTGGATATTGATTTTGTAGGCTTTCGACCTTGGTGAAAGTTTCATAAAGTATTCAACTTTGTTTCATTTCCAGTGTGTACGGTTTTGAGTCTTGAAGAAGGCAAGGAATGCGTCATCGTTGGGACCCTGTACAAGCACATGAAACTCAAACCTCGCATTCTTGATGAGTACTCTAAAGAGGTATGCCAAGCCACAACAACATTCCGCGCATTGGCATTGTTTTTTTTCCATGTTTTGACAGTTTGCAACTCATCTAGGAATAATGAACTCAACCTTTGTTTTATACTTTTGCCTACAATTCCCAGAGATCAGTAATTCCACTCGTCAAGCCACACAACTTTATGGATGCGGATGACTATTTGATTTTGGAAGATGAGGGTGGTAGAGTTAAGCTTGACGGCACTGTGCTTTTACCTTCAGTCTATGTCACAGGTATTTTGCAGAGTTGTCGGAGAGCTCTCTGGTTTTTGGTTATATAGAGCTGTAAGATATTTTGCAATATGTGACGTGGTGAAACCCCTGACCGCGTTGACTGTGGTCATAAAGATGATCGCTATTTCTATCCACAAAATTCTTAAACTTGGATGTTACTTCGATACTGGCTTGTTCTTTCTTAAAAGTTCATTCTGTTGCACATTCTAACTCGTCAGCACCTTTCCATGAGAGTTTTCTGACTAATTTCAAACTTGCTTTTTGTGTTTTTTGTAAATTGTAAACTCTCATTCATGCAACTAGTCACTATTTATGCTTCATTCCTCTCTCAATGCACAGGTACTATTTATGCACCCAGTAATTCGGGCTCGTGGAGTGTTTATCTTCCTGGGGCTGGGTTCTTTGTCCTTATACATGTCATTGAACATGGATATAACAATTTTGAAGATGTTAATTTTGTAATTTCTTGGATGCTTGCTAGGTGTTGTTGTTGCTTTGCTTGGAAAGGAAACTACTAAGGGTGATTTCTTGGTTGATGAAGTTCTTGAAGCTGGACTAGCTCCACAGATTGACAGGCCACTAAAACTGGGTATGCTTTGGGTCATTTACATGCCTGCTCCTGGTTACTCACTATATTTAAAAACATGCGAACTATCTATCATTTCTTCGATATGAACAACTATCTTGGGTCAAGTGTTCATCTCTAACAATGATGTTGGGAACATCTCTTCGTAGTTGAAACCATTTGAAGTAAATGGAAATTGCATTTGAAATAATGGTTAAGCACACTTTAAACTGGAAGGGGTTTTGTAGAATAAATGGCCTTTGTTCTACATTAACTTGGATACAATTGATTAGAAATTTATGTTACTATGAGTTCTTTTCATCATTATAGGGACTTTGCATGTTGAAGTTGCTCCATTTGTTGATGACCTTGATGGACCAGTTTACTGCATTGTGTGGTGACTTGGCAGTCTGATATAAGGGACGGTCTTTATTAGGCTTTGCAGTTTAGTGGTGGTGACTTTCTGAACTGATATTAGGGACAGTCTTTATTATTTCTATTTTGGCTTTGCAGTTTTATGATGATGACTTGGCAGTGTTTGCTCCACAGTTAGACTAGATATTTCACCCAGTTTTTTATTATTAAAACCTGCATGTTGATTCTTATTCGTATCCTTTTTTATATTGAATCTCATCTTTTGACTCTGTGTAACTTGTGTTCTACAACTGCTGTATCTAATACAGTTGAATTGGTATCTGGAACAGAAGAGGACAAGTACGTTGTTTTTGTTTCTGGGCTCGGTGTTGGGAACATGACAGCAAATCCCCTCCAATTTCAGCTCCTAGTTGACCATATCACAGGCCATCTTGGAGATGAAAAGGTGCCTCTTATGACCTGCTTACTTCTGAATTCAGCTTGTTCTTATGCTTAATGTGGATAATCTGTTATGTATTTGCTTATTTTTCATCCAACAATTGTGCAGGAACAGCATATGGCTGCCCAGATAGTTCATGTCGTGATTGCTGGGAATTCAGTGGAAATCCCTTCAGAATTTTTTAATGGACAGGTGGTGGTTTCTTGTTTTTTTTTTTTTGTATTTTGTTCGCTGTTGATAGATTCTTTTAAGTAATAAGGATGTCGGAGAATGTTTTGTGGGGGTAGATTTAGGATCTCACATTAAGGGTACTACCAGAACTGCAATCTAACGAATTTGGGGAAGATGCAAGAACTGTTTATAAGTAAAGGTTGCCTAGGAATTAAGATTAGAAACTGTTTGTAGAGGCAGCTTACTGTAAATGACACGACTCTTCGCCAATCTGCGATGTGTTACAAACATATTCTGGCGGTTCTTATGCCTCAGCTCTTAATCATTTTCTTCCTTGCAGAATTTAGCTTCGAAGGATCAATCGAAGCTGTCAGATCCAATCAAAGAGCTAGATATCCTGTTGACACAAGTACTTTCAGCATTCTTAACCTGCTTTAATAGTTTTCTTGAACTTTTTATGTAGCTTCTTAAGTTGATTATGGTGTTTTAGATTGCTGCAGGTCTGCCTTTAGATATCATGCCAGGACCTAACGACCCTACCAACTTTGCATTGCCTCAGCAGGTTTAACCATAACTTATACTCGAGTTCTAGTTGCTCGTATATGTTAGTTGTAATGCAATATATACTGTATCATCAAATTTCTTGTTGCTGACTAAGTTCATTGTTCATTCAGCCTTTGCACAGATGCCTTTTCCCTAGCTCAAGAGTGTACAACACTTTCAGATCTTGTACAAATCCGCATTGCTTTGAACTGGATAAAATCAAGTAAAGCACATTTATTTCCTTTACGTTATTGAACTATATATGTTTTCTAGAGCAAAATCTTGACTTCTTTTTCTCTCTTTTCCATGGTAGATTTCTTGGAACATCAGGTCAGAACATTGAGGATATGGGGAAGTATTCAGAGGCAAAAGGCGAGCTTGAATTCATGGAAAGGACGATGAATTGGAGGCATATGGCACCAACAACACCTAATACACTCGGTAGGAAATCTCTCTTTTCGGATTTGCCCAATTTTTCCGTGTACACCCAGTGCAAGTTTCCATCCAACTATTGTTCCTTGTATCTGTTCTCTTTCAGGATGTTATCCATTCACTGATAGGGATCCTTTCCTCGTAGAGAGCTGCCCCCATGTCTACTTTGCCGGAAATCAACCTAAATATGACACCTCCTTGTTAAACGGTATTTTGAGCAAAGATGGGTGGACAAACTTCACCTTTCAAGTTTCCGTCTTTTTTGCTTACCATATTCATGGTGTGAAATCTAATCTAACTTTTGTTACTGGAACACAGGTCCAGAAGGGCAGATAGTACGGCTCATTTCCATCCCAAAGTTCTGCGAGACTGGAGTCGCTGTCATGGTATGTAGATCCACTCATTTCGTGTTTATAGAACTATTTAGCATGGACAATGTCTATCTAAACCAACCTTGAAATTTTCACTCTTGAATATTATGTTACTGGGCTGATCTGATTTGTTGTTGCTCTCCTTTTGTGTTGCAGCTTAACTTGAGAAATCTGGAGTGTCACACTATAAGCTTTGAAGCTGAGTTCAGCTGATATGATTATGATATGCTATGGCCACACTCACATGGGGTTCTTTTACTCTCTTCTGCTGTCTGCTGCCCCCACATCTGGAACATGAACATTAATCACACATCAGGTTTTCCATGAGTAACTGTGGGGAAGAAAGTAGTCCCCCCTTCCTTCCTTCTCAGATGAATATTGATGAAGTGGGTTTTGATTTAAGGTAACCTGAAACCTAAATTGGGACCATCTTTTGGTTTATCTGTGTACTATGTTGTTTATAGTTCCAGAGCTAAGTATTTTAGGTAAAAAGCCCTTCTTCTTGTACAACAAACCAGAATGATGAATGTTTTACCTTGTAGAACTCTTTTAATGATGACCCTTTTAATCTTTTAACCATTTATATCGATAAAGCATGATTCTTTACCACAGATTCATGCTCTATGCCCCCAAAATGAATTGAGTTAAAATTTTTAGGGCAGATTGACCCTTACTTTGGAGGGGTCATTGGCACTAATTCACATGTCAATTCCAACAACTTGTCCTTACTCTGTTTCAGAGGCTCCTTCCTCCTCTTCAGCACCCCCCCTTTTATTTCTAACGGCTATATTCCCATTCTTAAACAATACAACAGTCCCCAAAATCTAAAATAATCATTCAAATAGAAACGTTACATTTCCCACCAATCTCGATCCCTTATAATTCCCCATTTCTCGCCATCCTCTGTTCCCCCTTTCTTACAAATCCCCTTCTCTCTCTCTCTTAATTGATCCAATCTTTTCCTCTGTTTTCGCCTACTACTATAATGGACGCGATTGTCGATCCTGCCGCTACGGCGGCCGCCGCTGCTTCAGTCCAGCACGTCACCAAGAGATCCTCGGACGAGCTGCTGCGCAAGTTCGCGGAGCTGGGTGAGGAGGAAGAAGAAGAAGAAGAGTTGGCGAAGCAGTCATGGAAACGGAGGCGAAGCTGCTCGAGAAAGATGGCGGTGGTGGTGAGAAGAGCTACGGCGGACGACGACGAGGAAGGGTGCGATAGCCCGTCGCAGTTTGTGGTGGAGAGGAGGTCGCTGCTGCCGGTGACGGCGCCGAGGAAGAAGTGGCGCGGCGGCGGCAGAGGCAGAGGAGGAGGGATTAAGAACAAGAAGTTCATTCTCATGGACACCATCGAAAAGGTAAATGGTGTTAAGGATTTTTTTTTTTTTTTCACTGCTTAGATTGGGCTGGGCTTGGCCCGATCCAGTAAGGCTTTATGGGCTTTAACTCTTAACTTTCGATTGTAATTGAGCAGGCCTGGAGGAGAGCATTAGAAGGAGCTTCGAGGGTGATACTGGAGAAGCAGTATGGCAATCGACACAGGCGCCTGATTAGCGACGTTGCAGTCTATTAATTAATTAATGATCTAATTATGCTTAATCTGATCTATTGCTCTTCTCTATTTTCTCGTTTTCCTTTGTTCCTGTGACTGGAACTATGTGCTTATATTAATTATCATGTCTTGATGATGAGTTGGATTGTGTTTTGTTTCGACCGAACCAAATCGATTAAGGTTAGTGGGTTAATGTACTTGTGAACTCAACATTCAATGTTAATCTCAAAGCAAAGACGATTGTGGATATTGACTAATCCCGATGGGACTTTGTGTGTCTGTTTCAAGTAAAATGGCATCAACCTATGTGAGTCTACTGATCAATTTGCAAGATGGTCAAGATTTGAATAACTTTTGGTGCATAATTACCAAGGATAACATCACAACGAATTTCAAAAGATTTTTTTTTAGTGTATGAGACAATGTTCATTGGGAACTAACTAACTAACTACATTATATATCATATGCAACATCAAGATGATAATGTGTCGCCATGCCAATCATATTTGATGTGGAAAGCATTGATGATGGCTGGCCCAATTTACAGCAAAACCCCTGCAAACCAGTCTACCTCTTACAAGCAATGTTGAAATTCAAACCATGTTGCAATGCTATCTTTCTTTTCCCTTCCTCAAATCCAAGTCGGGTAGTTTGCAGAATATGAGTTTAAATTCACCAGCGGCGGATCCAGAACACTGAAGTGCACTAGGCCGCATTTTATTAGAAAATTAGAATAGTAAAAAATATAATGATTATAATTTTTTTACAATGTAAATTGTACACGACGGTATTTTAATTTAGCGAATGCATTAATAATGGAGTCCACATCCATATCAATAGTATACACTGTTTCAAATAAAATACTTGAGCAATCGACTAGAAATCCATCGCTCATTTTGTTGCGCAAATCAATTTTCACATGTTTCGTTGTTGGAAATGTTCTATTCGTATTAGCTGTTGAAACGAGCAACATCAACACTAGACAAATCAATCTACTAATCATTTTACATTGTGTTTCCATCCCTATATCCACCAGCTGCTCTAGTAGATTTTCCAAGGTAACAAACCTCATATATGTTTTAGTCTTTTAAGTTTTAAACTTTTTGAATTTTTACTTTTTAGGTTTCATTGTTTTTTAGACGAATAACCTTTAGGGTTAGAATTTACAAGCTAAATTTAGAGTAGTGATTTTGAATTTGTTCATCTAAATTATTTTTCTAATTATACCCAATCTTATTTTAAAATAACAACGACCCGAATATCTAAAATCGAAAAATTCATAAGACCTATACTAACTATGGATCCAGAGGAGGGCTGGGCCGGGGCCCGGGGTGGCCACCCCCTGGATCCGCCACTGAAATTTACAGATTGTCAACAATCTAAAGATTCTAACTCTTCGGATTGTTGAAAACAAATTTTAAAATGTTTATTGTTTGGTAACTGTGATTGTTAACATTCAAATACAATAAAAAAAATTAATTTTATATTAAATACCATGTTTATCCTTAATAAAAAAATTAGAGTGGTTCGAGAAATATTAAAAACTTTGTTGATAAATATATTTCACGTGATAAATAAATAAAAGGAAGCGAAAAATTAGGAGAGAAAAAAATCTCACGAATCAAAATATAGAATATCTCTGATTATGAGAGATTTGATATCCGCAGATTTTAGAGATTTGAAATCTCTAAAACTAGAATCCACAATACAAAAAGCAACAAAAAAAAAACATAACTTTCTGCAAAATTTACGGATTCAGTGAATCCATATCCTGAATCATTGTTCTCCAAACGACCCCTAAAAGTATTATGAACTTATCACACAATACAATCTTTTTGATCAAACCATATAACAATGATCCGTAAGCTATTCAAACAAGAAAAATACAATAATTGTTTAGGTATTCAATCTCATTCTTGTTCCAACACTATCACCTTTTTTTCTACTTTTGTCGGTTCTAGGGAGTTGTTTTCATAACTAGGAATTTGTATGACCAATAAAATTTGAAGTCATATCGACTCAACGCAGTATCGATACTGAAAATCAACTTTAAAAATAAGATTGAGAATCGAATCGAAAGTGCAAGCGTTTTAAACATGTGTAGTTTTCCTATAAGCACAAAGCACCAAAATCGTAGCCATCTTATAAAGATAAACCCATCACAATTAGGAAAAGGTAACCTAACTGATGTGCTCATCAAACCATTAACATTTTTTCTTTCGAACAACATCAACCCATAATCCGGTTACCTAATCAACTAAAACTTTTGCATTATATATGATGATGACAGACAAAAGGGGAAAATGGATTTGCTATCGAAATGTCACTTCAAAGCCCTCCCTCCAAAATCAAATGTATGCAAAAGATATTTCTATCTGGCCTACAAAATAGGTAATGATTCATTTCAATGGATATATAATATGCATCGAAACACTAATAAACAAATATTAAGCTCAAGGTTAATCACCTTCTCAACAATGTCGTTGTAGTATAGTGGTAAGTATTCCCGCCTGTCACGCGGGTGACCCGGGTTCGATCCCCGGCGATCCCCGGCAACGGTGATTTTTTTTTTTTTGCGTTTTTTTTATTGCAACGACACCATTTAATGGTAAGCTACCGGACGGTAGCTCACCCACCGCCGGCCGGCGGCCACAACATCTGGCAAAATTGCTTGTGGAAAAGGTTAAAAAGAAGAATCACAGAAAATTTTCACATGCTGCATGTGTTCTTCTCCTACTTACACTTGGAAAACGACATCCATCTACCTTAATTAAACTACCTACCTTTCTTTCTGTACTACGGTCCTGAATCCTGATATATTTGGTGTTTTCCTCTATTTATTTAGTGCTTGCTTAAACCCAAAAAAAAAAAAAATTGAAACTGATTCTGTATTTGATGAGGAAAGGGATTGATCACTGCACCACTACCCCACCTGTCTCTCTCTCTCTCTCTATGTGTATGTCCAAGAGTAGTTCTAATTAGAAACAACGATTTTGAGGTCAAACTAAGAATATGGATATGGCATCTCTGTTTAAAAGATCTGTAGTCTTATTCTTATCTAGTATTATTTTTCTGATGATGTGGGGTCGTTTGGAAGTTGGGATTGCGGATAATGTAATCAAGCAATACATGTAATTAGAAGAATTCGAAAGGTATTTTTTTTAGAAAGGCAAACACCAAGGGTGTGTGACTGTATGAACTCGTATTAACATTAAAGCGTTCTTAGGAAATTACCCATTACATCAAAATGAATCCGGTGCCTAAGTCTCCAGACATCAATCAAATGGATGCCAAAAGAGAGAGTATGCCCTTTGTTAGCCCAAAAAAAAAAATATGCAGCTCTATTACATTCTCTGTAGGTGGTGTTTGATTTTGACCAGCCAATCCATGCCGATGGTCGAGATCTTGTTTGTTTCTGATAATGTTGATCGCATTTGTTGAATCAAGACAATAGCCCAATACGTGTATAATTTAGGACTGCAAACGAGCCGAGTCAAATCGAGTTTTTGCTTAGTTTGAGCTCGGCTCGTTTAGAAAATTTTCAGCTCGAGCTCGACTCGAACTTGAACTTTTCATAATCCAGCTCGAGCTCGACTCGATAGAGCTCGGTAAATGCTCATTAACACAGCTTGTAAAGCTGAGTACAAGCTCGACTCAAGATGAGCTCGATTTGAAATCATTCTTGTTGAAAAGTGTGTGCACATAAGAGTTTAAATGACAAAAAGAACATTAGAAACCATCAATTACAACTAACTTTCATGCATATCCGTATTAACAAGATAATGTTCACGTTCAGAAGAATAATCAATTCTTCCACAAGCTCTAAACAGGCCACAGCTCGCGAGGTTAGCTCGACAAGCCACCGAGTCAAACTAGCTCACGACCTTTTCAAACTGAGCATAGTCTAGCTCAAACTTGACTCGTTTACTGACGAGTCGGCTCGCGAGCCAACTTGTTAAATAACGAGTCGAGTATCTAACGAGTTTTTCCCGATTTGAACGTCGAGTTGCTCGCGAACGGCTTGTCTCATTTGCAGCTGTAATGTATATCTATAAGCAAGAGGACAAAGAGAGTAGGTGTCCCCAAAACAGTACTTTGATTGTAGATCCACTACTCTAAGACAAAACCCGTACGCGTTTGCTTAGCTCACAAGAAATGTTGAAAGAGGTAAGCTATGTAGGTCGAAAAAAAGAAGAAGTAGGAATGCTCTTGTCTCCCTCCGTTTAACCTATTCTTTCTGGCTTATTTTCCCTTTGGCAAAAAAGCCGGCAATCAATCAAATCATAAAAGGGAGGGAACATTCTGAATAAATACAAAACGAGGGAACATAGAAATCCACATACTATGTTGAATTGTAACGCCAATCCGCTACTTAGCTCGCCGATTAGTATATCTGAGTATTTCATTAACATATACTTTCTATAGAATTGTCGACAAAATAAATCAAAGCGAAAATTATCAAAATGTATAGAATCAAGTTGTTTATATTTTGATAAAAGTGCCATTTGCTTCAACATATGTCTAGTATTTTTCAACCGGAATAAGCTAAAGCGTTATTTGTAAGCTAACGCATCCATAATATGCTATTATTTCTAAAATTGTATGCATATACAAAAGAAACAACGTGAACCGTAGTATGTAAGAACTTCTAGTATAACAAGAAATTCAAATTCTCTCACATATATGCTTGTATACGACATAAATATATTCACAATAGATGTAACACATGTTGGGTCGGGTATCTACGGGTTGCATATCTCAAATATCCGCACTCAATTTAAGAGAGGTAGGTTCTGGAAAAAAATATGTACCCAACATTAAATCTTAATTTTAACGACAAATACGAGTGAATTGAATCACGAAAGCAGTGGTTGGGTTATGATTATTTTTGTTCAGTACTCGTCCTAGGGATGCTCTTCTCTCCCTCCTTTAAACCTTATTCTTTCTGGCTTATTTTCCCTGTGGAATAAATAGGCAAAAAGGACGGCAATCATATGGAGTATTTTATTAACATATACCATCTATTGGATGATTGTCGTTGGTTTATAAATTTCAATCTGGATAGATTTGTCATTTGAGTGTCTTAATCAATCTTTTCCTTTGGTGAAAATAATCAAACATTTTCATCAAGGAAATACATTTTTTGGTGCAACATGTGTAATTATCGTTTGCTTCATGAATTTAAAAATGAAGGTTTTGTAATTTAAAAACTCAAGAAATTATCAAGGATTTAAGACATTACGGATTTGTAACAATCCTTTGTTTCTTGAGATGTTTTATCATGGATTTAAGGGTTTGGGATTTAGAACTTAAAGTCTAAAATTACCATACTATCATTTTCCATTTGTTTGTGTACACAATACAATGACAATACGTACTAGTAAGCATAATGTTGTCTAAAATTACCATATTAGAACTGGAAAACAAAGAATTATATGTTCCATACTATCATTTTCCATTTGTTTGTGTACACAAAACAATGACAATACGTACTAGTAAACATAATGTTGTCTAAAATTACCATATTAGAACTGGAAAACAAAGAATTATATGTTCCATGAAAGGTCAAATGAAACTAGAACACAAGAAAGAGTATAAAAAAATCTAACTCATGTTTGCACACTAACTAAATATTTATATTATTTCTTTGTTGTTAATTATTAATTATTTATAATGTACAATAGGTAAATGTGGGAAAAAAAATCTCAAGTTACACATGTTTTTAAAAAAAAATTCTCAAAATACACACGTTATGAAAATAATTCCCAATCTACTCATATTTGGGCCATCACCGCTGTCGACGAAGACAGTGATTGCATCACTGCAGTACACGGCCGTGGTGAAGGCCTAACCGGCGTCGAAAGTTTAAACAAACGTAACTTTGTACTCGGTTATCCGATCGTAGCGAAATTTTTTTTGATTCCGCATAATTTGTCGAGCTCTTGCAAGCCGGCAAATTGCCGTAGGCGGTTTGATCCCGCCTTCGTCTCGAAAATATGTCGTTTGCTACCCCGAACGAGCCTTTTTTCGATTTCGTCAAACTTTGGACGACCATAACTTTGTGCTCCACAATCCAAAAATCATGAATTTTTTTTTGATTTCGCATAAATTTTTAAGGACTACAATTTTTATCATAGACATATTTTCGGAATGTACTTGGATTCCTGAAAAGGAAGGTAAAGTTATTCCTAAAACCCCTTATATCCATAAATAATTCATTTTTTGAAAATTCTCTCCTACTAAAAATTGTAGTCCTTAAAAAGTTATGCGAAATAAAAAAAAATTCATGATTTTCGGATTGTGGAGCACAAAGTTATGGTTGTTCAAAGTTTGACGAAATCGAAAAAAGGCTCGTTCGGGGTAGCAAACGACAAATTTTCGAGACTAAGGCAGGACCAAACCGCCTACGGCAATTTGCGGCTTGCAAGATCTCGAAAAATTATGCGGAATCAAAAAAAAATTCGCTACGATCGGATAACCGAGCACAAAGTTACGTTTGTTTAAAGTTTCGATGCAGGTCAGGCCTTCACTACGGCCGTGTACTGCAGTGATGCAATCACTGTCTTCGTCGACAGCGGTGATGGCCCAAACATGCGTAGATTGGGAATTATTTTCATAACGTGTGTATTTTGAGAATTTTTTTTAAAATCATGTGTAACTTGGGATTCTTTATGTAAATGTGAGGGCAACCTTAGAATTTTAAAAGCTCATGAGGGTATATGGGTCAAATTTCATCATGGATTTACGTCATTTTACAAATCCCACATCAATATTTGGGACTTACAAGTTCGTGAGGTCCACAAATTTGAATCCTTAAAATTTGTGGGCCCCGGGATTTGGCCCCTAAAAGAAATGCAAGCAAACGATGAATTTTTCTTCAATCCATGATAGAATGGATTTGGGTACCAAATCCATCATCCAAATCTACGAAGCAAAAGACCCCTTAGTTTATGTGAGGTTGTTCGTACACGAATGACAACCCTTTTAAGTTTGATGGAGTATATATTAGTGTTTAGATCTTCGTAAATGATTTATCAATTATTTGTTACGATTTGCAATCTCGTTCTTTATATTTGTCAACTATTTGCTATGAATTACTTCACAAGGCACACTACCACCTCCGGACTAGGGATGGAAATGGGTCGGGTTGGGTTTTGTCAAACCCAAACCCATGGGTATATCCAACAAAAAAATCCGAGGTAAAACCTATTGGATTTGAAAAATTCAAACCCAACTCGCTGGGTATCCGCGGGTTCATGGATACCCATGGGGTTTGTGCTAAAAAATGCACAATAACAAGTTTATGTGAAAATAAAAGTCTAACATCAATCTTTTCATACAAAAACACCAATCAAGAGCATACAAGCAAACCACAAATTATCCATACAAATTGTTCAGCATATAAACATCTATAAACAACATGATTAATTGAAAACTTCTTCCTCATTGTCAACTAACCTTTTTCACTCTCAATTCCATAAAATCAACTTCATTCTACACAATTAGGAAGAATAAATTAGACACGTATCCACAAACTTAACGAAGATTTGTTGCTTAAAGAAGATATATTACTTAGAATATTAAATATATCGGAAAAATTAACTATAATGATGTGGGTGGATATCCATGGGGCATGTTATACCTAAACCCGCACTCAACCCGGTGAATAGTGTAATGGGCTTAAACTCGAATCCGACCCAAAACCCGTCAACACAGGTAAAGTTGGGTCTGGTAGGATTCCCGTGGGTTCAGGTTTTGTTGTCATCCCTACTCCGGACAGCACTAGCCTTCATTCAATATAATACATATAGCTCAACAGTATGACAAGCTTCCCAATCACTCGATTCAATCCTTACTTGAGGACTCCTACGCTCCTCTCGCTTCATCAAGTATAGTAGAGAAGTGCACTTACTCATAAAACATATCAAAGAACATAATGTTAGGCATAGCAAGAAATAAGTTTTTAACTTTACAATGTCAGAGACTAGTGTAACATTCATAATTAACATTCTCTCAACTACTCGAATTATTGATACCAACTTATTTATGACACACCACCACCTCAACCACGATCTATATCCACCAAAAATCAGTACACTTTCTACTACCCTATGTATTTCCGACGTCCAACACCTACAAAACGCATCGTAAAAAATAAGAGCTCAATGACGAACAAATTAAAAAAAAAAACTCCACTAAAGCTTATTCATAACAAAACAAACACAAATGAAACCCCTAGAATTCTCACCCCAAACAACACACCAATAGTACCACCATAAGTGCACAACTTGCCCTTGTGTGGTGTTCATAAGTAGAGAGGAATTACTAGTCTACGATCTTGACTAGTCCGTGTGTTTGTATATAATACGATTTTTTTTTCAAGAATATAATTTTACCAAAATTTCGCTCTGCCATCACTCAAGAGAGGTGTGTGGGGATGTTCGTGGATTATAAAAATAATAATAATTTTACCTAAATGATTAAATATCGTCATCCACTTCTATTGGCAGTAACAATAATGTTAAAAACTAATTATGTTGATTCACGAAAAACTTACTATAACAAGACGGTTGGGAGAAGGAAAATCAGAGGCATCCATAAAGAAAGGGAAAAACAAAGAATAACTGACTAGAAGAAAGAAAATGAGACGAATTTGCAAGCAGAGTCAACTTTCTCCTCGCTCTGCTGATTTCTCTTTCTAAACTTCTCCTCCAAAACCCCTGGGGCTTGGCCGCAGGGTCCAGCGCCAGAGGAACCTTCCTTCTTTCTCCCTTTACCTTCGATCTTGAAGAAGAAGCAAAATAAATAGAGACCCACAATAGTAAAATGCCGTCTTCCCCATGATTCTTTCTCTACTCCCCTTTCCCGCATTGCCATCTCTCTCTCTCTAGAAGCTTTACTTCTTCTTCTTCTTCTTCCTCCCATTACTCTGCTTTCCTTCCTTCCTTCACTTTACTTACTACCACTGCTACTTCCCTTCACTTGACGGCATCCTCCTCCTCCCTTTTCTTTCTTTCTTTCTTTCTTTCTTTCTTGCTCTCCCCACTGCGATCCGTCACTTTCTTGAAGTCGACCCACCTCAGATCCCCAAAAAAACCTTCTCAATTTCCCCCTTTCCCCTCCTTTCCGTGCTCCGAACTGTTTATCCGTGGGCGTCTTGAAGGGAAATGAAGGATGTTGTTCTCGTGGCTTGCAAAGATAGCTATGGCGTGTTGGAGACCCGTGGTGAGGAGGTATGCCCGCATGAACAAGGATGACGGTGGTAGTAGTGGAAGTGGCAACGACGGCGGAGCGGACTCGCTTCTCTGGTCCAGGGATTTGGAGAGGCATTCTTGTGGGGAGTTTTCTTTCGCGGTGCTTCAAGCGAATGCGGTAATTGAAGACCACAGCCAGGTCGAGACTGGCCGGGATGCAGTCTTCGTCGGCGTCTACGACGGCCATGGCGGCCCTGAAGCTTCTCGATTCATCTCTGATCATCTGTTCAAGAACGTGATGGGTGAGCAACAGACTAGTCTTTCCCTTTCTCTGCTTTTTCTTCTTCTTTGTTACATCATTAATGGGTTCCGTTTGGAATTGGACAATTCTGGGTATTGGATGGTTAATTTCGTTTCTCCGCTGTGGGTTTCGTGATATCTGAATCTTGTTTCTTAGCTTGCGGACTACGAATTTGTGTTTGCCATGGCTTTTCCTTTCTGTTAGGGAGTTCGTTGCCCTGTACCAATCTGTGTTCTTGTTGCTTTTCTGTTAAGCAATCTGGAAAAAGTGGCCGCGCCCTATTCTGTTCATGGGTTTCTTTGATGGTTTCTAGCCCGAATTGCTGCATTTCCAAACTCCATAGTTCGATTTGATAATCACCTGAACATAGAGTCTCCCTTGTTTCCCCGCTTCTTCTGCGACCCTTTTCTTTCTCCCCTTTTGGTAAGACTTGTTCCAAATTTATTGTGGCGTCCTTGTTTCTTAATTCAGAACGTTCTTGATTAAATTGGGGTAGTTAACTAGCTATGGGAAGTGGTGTTTTCTTCAATGCCATGGACTTATTCTGGCAGTTTCAGCAATGAGAGGTTAACAAGCAAATGGCCAAGTTGTTGAACCACTTTCTTTTCTCTCTATACAGAATTTGCAAGAGGAGGAAACATCTCAGAAGACACTCTCAGAAATGCCTTTTCTGCAACTGAAAAAGGGTTTCTCACTCTTGTCCGTAGAAGCATTGGAATAAAGCCAGAGATTGCTGCAGTTGGATCTTGTTGCTTGGCTGGTGTGATTTGGAATGGCACTCTATACGTTGCCAATGTTGGGGATTCTAGGGCAGTAGTTGGCTCTCTACGCAGGTCGAAGAAGATAGTCGCCGAGCAGTTGACCAGAGATCATAATGCCTGCATGGAAGAGGTCAGACAAGAGCTGAAATTAATGCATCCAGATGATTCACATATTGTCGTTCTGAAGCAAGGAGTTTGGCGCATCAAAGGCATTATCCAGGTTTCCTACTCTACTGCCTTCATAGTTTGTTCACTACTGATCTCAAATTGGCAATGCAATGCAGTAGATAAAGATAGCATCTTGAGTCCATTTCCTCATATTGGTTTGGAACTTATTGCCATCAGGTGTCTAGATCAATAGGCGATGCATACTTGAAGGGGCCCGAGTTTGCTATGGAGCCGTCATTCCCACGGTTCCACCTTCCCGAACCGGTTCGAAAGCCCGTGCTGACATCAGAACCATCCCTACTGTTGAGAGTTCTGCAGCCGGAAGACAAATTCCTCATTTTTGCTTCGGATGGGCTGTGGGAACATGTCTCAAACCAGGAGGCAGTGGAGATGGTGTACAAAAATCCACGAACGGTATGTATCGTCACTGAAAGAAAGGACTTGGTTGGGTTCATGGTGTGTTGTTGTATTCAAATTTCACTTTGGTTTTGAGCTGTGCATTGTGCTTGTTTGTTGCTTGCTTCTTTCAGGGGATCGCGAGGAGGCTCGTGGAAGCAGCATTGAAGAAAGTATGCAAGAAGAGGGGCGTGGCGTACAAGGAGCTCAAGGCGAAGGGAAACGGGGAAAGGAGGAGGTTCCATGATGATATAACAGTGGTTGTGATCTTCATCGACAGTGATCATGATGAAGGTCAGAATGTGGCCGAGGTTCCTGAGATTTCGTTTCGCGGATTCATCGATACCGTTGGACCCTCGAGTTTCAGCAGAGTTCCTTCTTCACAAGGGGTTTAGCTTGAGCTAGCACATACATTTTTTTTTTTTGGGGTTTGATACTGTGAAGAGCATGGAGTGGAATAGGAAGAAGAGGCTACTGTTGTTTCAGTTTGGTAGTAGTTTCAGTCTATAGACTATATACTGATTACTGACGATGAGCGTCATTCAACTAATTGTATAATTAGCTCATGTCATGACGACAGCAACCCAATGCGAGATATTTTGCAGCCTGATAATGATGTCACTCTTTGAATCTTCTCACATAATGCCAAGCTCTGTTCTGTTCATTCTTTGTTTCAGTGTTTGAATTACCTTACACGTGTTTGCTTGAAAATACAGCCACGTGGTTAATTGGACAGGTGGCAATGGAATTAGTGTTAACTACAACTTACCATGGAAACAGAGGAATGTAATTTATAGTGTTCCTTTTTCATTTTTTTTTACTATTATTTAGAACAAAATAGACTGTTACAAGACCAATGATGTAATAGGAATAATGAATGCCCTGAAAACTTTTAACCCACGACCAAATCAAGTTACAAAATTACACAAAACTCTTTCTTCTACAAATAAAATATCCGAATGACAAAATGAGGAAAAAAACAGTTTCTTTTCCAGACAAATAAGAAATAACAGAGCACAAGACCCGAAATTAAACCAAAAAATATAGATGGAAGAGAAAATGTTGCTTGCAACCCACGTGATTCTCAGGTAGAAGTAGAACTTCCTTTCCTCGATACAAAAGGTATAGTATTATGTATATTGTTCGCCAAGGCTCCTCCGGCAATACGATATGTCGATTAGAAGCATTTCCTGTGGACAATGGATGGTCCAGACTCGTCGTACTCTGCTTTTGCAATCCACATCTGCACTCACAAGACCAAAGAAACGCCTACTGTTAGATCGAAAAGGGGGGCGAATCGACCAGAAATTACGATCCACGAGTTCTTATATGTCGGACAACTGTAGGGAAACAACAAACTTTCAGCATGCAGAGAAGAAACGAAGCCAGGTACCTGCTGGAATGTGCTGAGGGAAGCCAGGATGGAGCCACCGATCCAGACACTGTACTTCCTCTCGGGAGGAGCGACAACCTTGATCTTCATGCTGCTGGGAGCCAACGCGGTGATCTCCTTGCTCATCCTGTCGGCAATGCCCGGGAACATGGTGGATCCACCACTGAGAACAATGTTGCCGTAGAGGTCCTTCCTGATATCCACGTCGCACTTCATGATGGAGTTGTAAGTGGTTTCGTGAATCCCAGCAGCTTCCATTCCGATCATGGACGGCTGGAAGAGGACTTCGGGGCATCGGAACCTCTCAGCTCCAATGGTGATGACCTGTCCATCGGGCAGCTCGTAGCTCTTCTCGACGGATGAGCTGGTCTTGGATGTCTCCAGCTCTTGCTCGTAGTCGAGCGCGATGTAGGCCAGCTTCTCCTTCATGTCCCTCACGATTTCTCGCTCTGCTGTGGTGGTGAAGGAGTAGCCACGCTCGGTCAGGATTTTCATGAGGGCGTCGGTCAGATCGCGACCGGCCAAATCAAGACGGAGGATAGCATGTGGGAGTGCATATCCTTCGTAGATGGGGACTGTGTGGGAGACACCATCTCCAGAATCCAGAACGATACCTATAAGGAAAAAGAAACAAGAATCCAAGGATCATGTTAATATTCACTCACAAAAGCCATAGGTTGTGCTTGTTTCAGCTCAAAAACAGACACTCAAGTAAAACAGCTATTCAAGTAGGACACCACAAATTACTAAAATCTAAGTGTAATCTCTCTAGAAAAGTTTCATTTCAAACTTTGCCCCTTTCAAATAAAGGTCATATCATTATAGTCAATCCACTTTGTTTCTTCCTTTATTAGACCAACTATCTACCATCTGATCAACTATTACTAGAAACATAGCACATCCTATCAGCTACAGGTTCTCTAGAACCCAAACAATTTTTCTCCGCTTAGGCTATCACTTTTCTGGAAAAAAAGGTCACTTACTGCTAAAACAGACACCCAAAGTTTGAAGATCACTGGTCAACAACGAAACAGAGGAAAACCAGCTTATTCATTAAATCAGAGGGGGAAAAGAAAACTCTTCTTGGTAATACCAGCATCATTGAGACACATAAAATGGTATATAGTAAGATGGGGTTCCACTTGATGAAGGTCCTGTGAACCAAACTTCATCAAGCTTTTCATGGTATGAAAAATTGCACTTTTAGCCAAATAGAGATGTCTTTGCCTTCTGTAAACCTAACTATTAATAAGGAACACCCACATTATGGATCCAGTCTATTATGTTCACTTTTTTGTGTGTGGAAAAGATGTTAATGATGTTAACCGTGTTGTTTAATATAGAGCAACAACTTCATTGTTACCTTAGGAACTCTTAAAGTCTAACTGAGTCTACAAATTAGACAAACAGAAGGACAGATGATGAATCTGACTCACCAGTTGTACGGCCACTGGCATAAAGAGAAAGGACGGCCTGGATGGCAACATACATAGCAGGGGTGTTGAAGGTCTCAAACATAATCTGCGTCATCTTCTCACGATTAGCCTTGGGATTGAGAGGGGCTTCTGTGAGAAGAACCGGATGCTCCTCCGGCGCCACACGGAGCTCATTGTAAAAGGTATGATGCCAAATTTTCTCCATGTCATCCCAGTTGCTGACGATACCGTGCTCAATCGGATATTTCAATGTCAGAATACCTCTCTTCGATTGAGCCTCGTCACCTACATAAGCATCTTTCTGGCCCATACCAACCATCACACCGGTGTGGCGAGGGCGACCCACGATGCTAGGGAATACAGCCCTCGGAGCATCATCTCCGGCAAACCCAGCCTACAAAAAAAGTTGGTAAAACCATTCAAACGTGTCAGAAATTACATTGGGATCTCAAGCAATAAACAACATTACCCAGTTTGACAAAAAGGATTGGAGGCGCAAGTACCTTGACCATTCCAGTACCATTGTCACAGACGAGGGGCTGGATATCCTCACCTTCTGCCATTTCCTAATACCTGTTATTAGGAAGGAAATCCATGTCTCAGATCAATATAATATCGAAATCGAGATACTAACTTATCGAAAACGATCCATTGCCACTAAAAAAGAATCCTTATAACACTGATACATATTTACATGTTCTATCGAATTTTACAATTGAATCCTCCATTGAGGTGTGTCAAATGTTGAAGTGCATTACCAAGCCAAGCATTCCCCCTACCAGCACTCAAAAATCATAGAACCAAGACTCAACGCTAATCATGGAAACCCTATCTCTGAGAAATTAATCACGTAACGGCCTCAGTGATTTTTTAACAGTGTGCAATGAAGAACAATGTGAATCACCGCACCATTCCCGTTTCGGAAATGAGCAGATCTCAATAATCATTAGTTAGGCGTTAACGAAGCGAATGTACGTCAAAAATTCAATCCAACAATGAGTAAACGACCGGACGGCGAGAAAATGCACATTCCCGACTGAAATAAAATTCCGGGGAGGTAAAAAAAAACACACACACACACACAGCGCAATCGTCAGAAGAATGGACGGAATGAGGAAGAGAGGGAATTGCGAAATTCACCTGGTTGGAAAAAGGAATGCCGGGGAATTGAATCGGCCGGTGGATTCTCCGCCGCAGGGAGTGGATATCGGGGTTTGTGGTTAACGACCAGGAGAAGGCTAAGCTAATAAATCTGAAAAGGGAATTGGGGGGTGCCTGTTTTTTTAAATGGATTTTCGGGGGAGAGTGTGAAATGCAAATTGTGAAGAAATTCACCTCAAATGAACCTCAAATTCGCTCCCGAAAGCATCCTGTCCGTTGCTTTTATTTAAAATTGTCGGATCGACGGACCCCATGACGCGTCATGCTCGTGATGCAACACAGCTGGCTCACTTTCGGCCTTGCCGGACGGATTTGCCCTCTGCGGGTCCTCACAATTGCTGCACTTGTCCCTGTCCCTCCAACCAAGGGTATATTGGTAATATATGCAACCCATAGCCAAATTTCTTTATTTTTTTTAATATACAGGATTATGGAACTCCAAATTAATTATAGTTTTTTTTAACAAAAGTAATTATAGTTACTAATTCCAATGACAACAGAGAGAAATTATTGTTAACTAGGGGTGGAAATCGATACGGTATCGGTATCCCAATACCAAATACCGAAATTCTGAATACCGAATTACACCCTAAAATCAATCCTAATCTCAATCCCTAAATAATTTCGGTATACCAATCTCAATCCCGAAATAATTTCGGTATCCCAATCGGTATTATCGAATACATAATTAATTACATTTACAATTAATAATTAAATATATAAATTAGATTTTATTGTTTAATTTATGGCAAAGAGACTAAGCGAATAGTCTTGAGTTTCCTAGAGCTAACATCTCAAATTTTTGTAATTGGTAATCTTTAATTTGACGAATTTGAGGTTGAGAGACGACTAATACTAGTGTGAAATAGTGATGTAATGATCTATGTATAATTAAATGACGAATTTGGTGGTTGATGGTCGCGTAGTAGTGAATGAGAGAGTCTAGTTGAGAGGATTAAATACACACTAGCTTACATTTTGGTATATACCGATCCCAATCCCGTAATCCCTAATACCAAATAACAATTGAAATTCAATCTCAATCCCAATCCCAATCCCACAAAATAATACGTGTATTCGGTTTTACCAAATATAGATAAATTCGGTTTCGGTATATCCCAAATACCGGTATCAAACTTCCAGCCCTATTGTTAACTAATGTATTTGAGAACTGAATAGCTACGTTAGTACTTGAGCTCTCCCTAATGAGAGGAATAACCTACGATTTTTCATTTTAGACTGTCATATGCGTAGTTATACTATCTGGAAGTATAAGGTGTTCGGTTGTTCTAGATATCATTTTATAATCACATTCACTATATTGGTAATCAATATTGCTGATATATATATCGTCCCCCCAAAGTACTACTGAAATAACAATGTTTATAAAATATCGTTTTAGAATCGTGACCATTATTTTGGATTTAGCAAATGTGCAGTATTTGCTTGGATGGTGATAATATTTCATTGAGAATTTCCTTAATCGACCCTTGACCTAGGAATGTACCAGATCAAAGGGCAGCAGCGAGGACTCGACGGTGAAATGACAAGAAAAGGAAGGGCAAATTAGTCCAGGGAGAAGATTCCACACGAAAAAAAAAGGTTTTAGGATTTTCTATATTTCGGATGCCTTTTTCCGGTAGGACGACGAGACTAGTGAGATTAAAAACGGTGTGCTTCAACTCATTCGTAGGATAATGGTGGGGCCCAACAAAAAGAGGGGCAAAAGTAAAGTAAAGAAAGAAAGAAGGGGAAAAAAAAAAGGAAAGTGCGCGGCCACTTTGCCAACTCAGCATTCCGCTCTCCAACTGTCAGGAGATTATGTCGGAGTTGGGTCTGTGCTCCGGTGTTCCCGTTTCCATTCGATGCAAAAACCTTTCTCTTTGCCTAATGACTCGCTCTCCGTTGACCGAATATTGGATCGGACGGTTGATCGACGGTGCTGTCATTGACGTGCACTGCATTTCGGCTAAAAACGCTGCACACGACTACTTCTCACCACCTCTCTCTCTCTCTCTCCGACGTGGTTGGTTGACCGTTTATTTTTCTCTTGCCGCTAATCTTGGGGGATTCTAAATTAAGTGTCTTTTACTACCAATTAACGACTGCCTGATTGATTTTATGATAAATAATGATCCTAATAAGTATTCTATATATAACCGTTGATGAGTAATCCTCCTGATTGTTTATTTTTTTATATAAAATAACACTCGAGAGAAGAGTTATTTGAGAGGGAAGATGGCCATAAGTTGCAAGTCTACATAGTACGTACCGCATTACTAAAACCACTTCATCGTCGACCATCGAAGCTCAAGGGGAGCGTGCGAGATCGATCGTTTTCGTTCGCCGCGGATAATTACGTATCGAGTTTAATTTAATTAAGAGGGTTGCTCGCGTTTAATCTGAATTTTAGTGAAGAACAAAAACGCGGGAGCCAAATAGCATCGCTATGCTAATGCTAGGCTCGTTATTATTGAATCTAGCTAATTATTATTTACAACCCCAAAAGTAAAAGAATATATAAAAACGGAAAATGGATGTAGATTTAGTTTTACTCATCCTTACTGTTTGTAGTCAGAAAAGTTTGTGTTGTTTTGATGAGGAAGCAAATACTTATAGGAAGATAGGTAGGAGGAGGAGGTGCCTTTGAAGCAAACGGAAAAATGTCGATCGGCAAAACTTTGAGTTCAAGTTTTTTTTTTTTTTTTCACTGTGCTTTTTGACCCATGTTCTTTTGTTTATTAATTAATATTTTATGCCAAAAAATGTTCAGTACTGGCTGTGCTCTGGAGATCGATTCGTTTGTGGGATACTCTATTCCACCATCAAATCAAATGATTCGATACCTAACTACCTAATTATAATAAGTTTACTGAGATACCTAACGCCCTGGAACTAATTTTCCGTTCTTCATATGAGACTTACTTGTAACGATTTTTGTTCTTCGTTACTTATTAATAGAATAATCTGATCGTTGATAACGAAAAATTCAGATCAACGCTTATTATTTGTTCTTAAATCACAGATAATAAAGGATTAAGGACATGCGAGCGTCATTAACAGAAAGTGAGGAATTAGGGCGTGCTCTTTTACACATGGGAGCACAAAAGTAAATGATGGACAAGTTAGGCAGAGCCAGCCTGCAGGCACGAGGAATCGCAGCTATTAAAGGCAATCAGCCTTTCGGTAACACATCTAATTATCAGATGTACTTTGCCTAGTTGCCTTCCACAATTAAACCGGCCTTTTTTCAGCATGTGAGTTGGCCATTAGAAGGCACATTTATGTACTATCCTTGTTATCTTAGCAGTTAGCTACTTTTTTTTGTAAATTAGATTCTATAAACGCATCCTCATTTCCTGTGCATGTTTGCAATTGTAGGCACTAGGGTGTGCAACCGTTCGGTCCGGAACGGACCAAACTCAAGAGGATCGTACTTCTTAAGGACAAGACATGGGTTCTCATAGAGGGTTCCACAATATAGACACCTGAGTTCCATGATCGGGGAATCTTAAGGAGATGTCGTGGATTTCCCTTGGCGCAGTTCCAGTTCAACGATGCGTTTTGGAATTACACGGTCTGTATTCTGAGTTACACGGTCGTGTAACTACTTGAGGAATTCCCAGCTGCGAGTACAAATTAGAATATCAGGTTTTTTGCTAAGGATCAGATTTCCTTGATATTAAAACGAGATAAAAGACTTCTAAAGAGAGAAAGCTATGAAAAGTCCACCCTTGGAGCTGATTTGAGCATTTATTCGACAATTGGAGCTCGGATGTTAGGATAATGATTGTTGAACTGATACATTATATTCTATTGAGGCATTTTTCAAAATTGATTGAGTCTTGAATACATTATTTTGATTACTACTTTAACCTAGGACAGAGAATAATTGATTAGCATAAGTGAGCAACTTCAATTGGAAGTAGTGAATCAATTGCGTGAATAGTAAATCGATCCACTGCTCTGTAATAGAACCAGTGGCGAACCAAAAAATTTATATAGGGGTGTTCATTCAAAAAATAAATTAAATTTATAATTGAAAAATTAAAAATAATAATATTCGACTAGTACAAGTTACAACAAAAGTCCACGACTTGTTTTCATATTCTAATATTGCAAAATACACTTTTGTCTGTAGTGCTCACTAAATCTCCTTTCAATATGTAATACTAGACAATCATTTACAAACTAATTTCATATTCAACTCCAAAACTTGTTATTGATGTAACCTAAAACCGAAAAAAGCTCTCTCAGCACTTGGATTTGCAACTGTAAAATCATTACAACTTTGAGAAGCAAATAGACCTATGTATATGATAGATTCACTTTTATCTCCACCATCAATTGAGCTAATCCATCAGTTCCTTTTAATCCACGTAATAACTCGTAATTCTTAGCACAGTAATAACAAATTTCAAGATCCCGTAAAAGAAAAGAATCAGAAAGGCGACCAAACTCTTTAGGATAAAATTGTGTGTTAGAATATGGTGGAGATAAGGAGTATCCCATGGATTTAATTTTAATTTTTGGAAATTGGAGATAGAGCTATACGCTTATAATTATATTTATGTTAAAATTACATTAAAAAATAAATTATAGTATAATGAAAAACATGTTAACTAGTAACTATATTATCATGGGTTTGAATCACATAAACTACTAAAAAAATCAGTTCTTTCATACTCAAACTATTATTGGGGTTCGTAAAATTTTCCCCAGAACTTTAGGGGAGTCTTGGGACACCCCAACCACCACCTAGGTCCACCCTGACGGGAACCCATACTAGTACAGGAGGTTCATTTGCCTTGCCTTGGCGTGTTAGTCTGGTTGAGGATAATCTCCTGTCGGCCAATTTGTTTAAGAGGGCTAATTTGTCATGTAGTGTAGACCAATCCCTAGGCCTCTCGCAAAACTCTTACTTCGGCAGTGAGGTACGATTCTATTGAAGAATTCCTTAGGTTTTGCAGAACTTAGGTGTTCGAAAGGTAAAACAAATACAAAAAGATCTACACTACTGGAGAAGTGAGAGAGCAGAGAAGGAAACCGTTGCATAGGCAATGTTCCCCCTATGTCTCCTAACCACGCGCCCTTGATGAGCGGATTATACGAGATGCCGATTTCTTATTTCGTTAGATCCAACTTTGTGTCGAAGCATTTACCCAAACTAATGGGCGACAAAGACCCTTCAAATTCCTTCATTGAGGCATCACAATGTTTGATCGAATGAGGTTCGATCGAGTGGGAGTGCTGTTTCTTGATCCATCCTAAACAACTAGGATTTTGGGTCTTGCACCTCGATGGAGCCCAAGACCGACTAAGCAATCATTTGAATCAACAAATAATGAAATAGAGGAAATCAAACATGACACATATGAATAGAACAATCATATTAAACCAAATCATCGAGTTTACATGGTTAGAACCCCTAGGGTTCACATACCTACGCAACTAAGAAACTCAGCCAACCATGGGGAGGCTTTCCTGCACGTTCATCTTTTGAAACGAAGACTCTAGGGCAACACAAGAATTGGCGGCCACAACAGGGAAAATGGGCTCAATGGCGCCGATTTTGCCGGTGATTCTCCCTCAAAGGTGACATCACTCTAAGTCGGGAGGGTTGCTATGTCGCTAGACTAACAATCCATCCTTGACCTCTCATCTCCTCCTCCTTTGAACTCTAGCTCCATAGCTCTGTTTATAGATATTCAATTAGGCCCGCAAGCCATACCAAAATTCCCAAGCCCACTTTTAATTGCCCTTCTCCATTTTTGGAGGGCCAAAAGAGGGTGGATTGGAGAAGAAAAATATGTTTTTGACTTGGTAGAGTTGGAGCCGGCCTTATGTCATTTTATACATTTAATCAGGTCATACAAAGCTAAAATTTCCTTAACCTTTTGTCATTAAACATTTTTTAAAAGGTAGGTGTATACTTCTATAATTATTTGGCAGGAATATATTAGAACTAATATATATTTTTTTAGAGTACAAATATTTATATACCGGTTCATTAATACTTATATATGATTAACCGATAAATGGCGAATCACTTTCTTGTTCTATCTTCGATACGATTATGAAAACATTGAAAATTAGTAACTGAGAAGGAGAAGGTTAATGAGGATCAGTCAGGTTATCCAATATGAATGCAAGATAATTTTCAGGAGACTTATTTAGTTAAAAGGAATCCCCCCTTGCCCTATCTTTTTTTTTTACAAAAGATAATCTTATATTGAGATAAAAAAGATAGTTACATCCTGGAACTCAGCCAGCCCTGATAATTAAATCCACGATTCATGATCGGGTACAAAGAGAGGGCTTTCCTAGCCACCATATGGGCTACCCTATTACTACTCCGACCTACAAATCGAACCCTCAAACCCGGGTGGGTGCGAAAATGTTGCAAAACCTCTTCCAAAACAGCACCCACCCTATTGTCTCTGACATCACCTTGGTTGAGTTTATCTATGATCACCTTCGCATCCCCTTCAAATAGGACATTAGTGAAACCATTCGCCAGACACCATGAGACTGCCTCCCTAAGGACTAGTAACTCCACCGTCATCGGATCTCCCAACAGAGGGAACTGGACGCCCTTGACCATCAGGACCTCTCGAGCTGGGGATAACAGGACAATTCCACCAGCCGAATGCGACTCTGGCCGAATTGCCCCATCCCACATACAAACGACCCCCCCAATCTCACCTAGCCGTCTACATCCCCCCACCTGGGCCGGAGATTGGAGAACCTTATCCACCGGCAGCCGAATCCATTCCTCATACTGCTGGTGGAACTGGCGCATCAAGGCAGGAAACCCAAACTGTTTGCCTTCAAAAACCACCCAATTCCGGGAGCGCCAAATCTGCCACAGGATAGCAACCACTGCCATGAATAGCTGGGGTTGGTGGATCAAGGCCATCACATTTTTAAGAAACAAAGGGAATGTATGCCGGGCCAAACCCTCCCCTATGTACTCCAGTCCTGAGTAATCCCACAAAGCACGTGCCACAGGGCAATCAAGAAACAAATGTTCCATCGTTTCCGGACTCTCCCAGCAAACTGGACATCTAGGGAGCACTGGCACTCGTCTACTTATAAGGGCCTCAGTCGTTGGTAAGATTCGATTAAGGATCCGCCAGACAAAGACTTTTAGCTTTGGTGGGATATTGGCATTCCACAACCGGATCCAACTCGCTTTGTCCATCCAACTAACCGTGGCCTTCCAACCATCTCGCCGCTTGTCTAAAGTCACAGCTAAGTGGTAAGTAGACTTGACCGTGAACACTCCATCCGCCGTATCATGCCAAATTAATTTATCCTCCACATTTTGACGGGGAATAGGAATAATTTTAATGGCCTTACAAGAGGGAGGATCAAACCACTGACTAAGTTTCTGGCATATAACATCCGCTACAGGTGGGTCTCCACCCTCCGGAAGGATCATAGGATTAAAATTTGGGGGATCAAGTTGAAATTGGGGGACCTAGTTGGATTTCAGCAAAGATGCTGTTTTCCCATTACCGATTTGCCATCTTAACCCCTTTTCTAATAACTGACGCCCAAACAGAATACTTTGCCATCCCCAAGAGGGTCGAGAGCGGGCCGTAGCTTGCAAGAAGGACCATTTGGGAAATACTTGCCTTGATAAACCTGGGCGAGAAGGGAGGTCGGTTCAGTAAGGATACCCCCCTGCCCTATCGATTGAGCTAACTTCGTACTTTCACTAGCTTTTCTTTCTTGCCCGATGAACACTGATTATGGATTCAGTTCACTCATTATGGGCTTGGACTTGTACCACATCAGCCCAATAGTGTAGTCCAACACGCCATCAGTGCTAGCCCGGTCCAAAAAGAAAGAATGGTGCTACCCCGCAAAAAATTTGGCAGAGCAATTTTACGATGAATATCGCGGCTAAAGCAATTTGTACAGGTTTATGTGGAATGAAGAGATTAAAATGGTTGACACTGATCATTAATATTTTTTTTTGCATTTTTTAATAATATTTTTTTTTGCAAAAAAGAAAAGGATAAATATGTAATTTTAGTACTTTAAGTTAGTGCGGACGACAATTAGCAACCCTCATCTTTTTTTTACCATACTCTCGAATTGGCTTTCATTTTAGCAAGAGCTCAGAAGCTGCGGTTGGGCAGAAGTTGTACAAATTTCCGATAGGGATAAAGCTTTCAGTTCGCCACTGTATCTCGCCATCGATCACCACGAAATCAATCAAGCTGAAATCCGTTTCCCCGCCGGTGCTCTCTTATGCCTCACCATCTCATTTCACCTTCCAAGAACTCCAACTGCTATAGTGTTTGACCGCGACAACCCCACCACTCTCTCAAAGTATAACAATCTCTGCCTGCCTAATCCTCCTCCCGATTTCAGTTCTTGATTCTCAATGCTAAAAGCAATACAGGTTCTGAGTTCATCTTCTTCGTCAAGGCTCTTCGGTTGTCGATGGAAACCGCTTACCACCACTAGCGGTACTGCCATCTCCCTCTCCGCCAATCCATTATCCCACCATTCAACTACTGCTCCTCGGTTCAAGTCTTCTTCCCTGTCATTGCGACCCGTTTCGGATCGTTCTTCCGAGCCCGTTCGCGTCTACTCAACTGGGTCCGACCCAAAGATGGAGGCCGCTCCTTCTCCTTCTCCTCCTTCACCGTCGCCTACTGCTTTGTCGGCTGTGAGTTTGCTCCTGTCCCTATCAAAGTCTTTTCAATTCTTTGGGGGGTTTCAATGTGGAGCTCGAAAGTTTTGTTCTTGCTGTCTGGGTATTTCAAACGAAATGCAGCTGTTTAGAATCCTGCGTTATGTAATCAGGCAAGTAGCCGCAAGATCAATTTTTGCCAGTGGTGTGGCGGAGCAACGAAGCATGAGGTACCCGATGGAGAGGAAAAGACGAGAGCTATCTGTACGCTCTGCGGGAAGATCGCATACCAAAACCCTAAAATGGTATGAACTATGATGCATTTGCATTCTTGTTTACCTGATCTTTTGGGGAGAGCTTTCTTTTGTGGTTGTGTCCTGTTTAGTCTAACCTCCATAATCAGCATTACCCTAATTGACATTCTATTGCTGAGGTGAGGGTACTTGACGTAGAGTGTATCTTCTTGAATTAGCATTGACGTGTATTAAGGATTTCCAGATTGGACTGAATTGCGTTATTGCTGGAATGGTTGTTTCCTTGATTGGTTACCACTAAGCACACTAGGAACCCTGAGGTTCTAATTTAACATTAGAATTCCTAGCGTCCAAGACAAGCCAACGACTAAGAGGATCTTATCATCTTGCAATTGTGAATTTGAAGTCGTTTGGATGAGAACAAAATGATGACTACGAGCTTGCTGATCTAGACTTCACTAGAAAGGGTTCTCAAAGTGAATAAGAGCTGACATGTTGAAACACTTTAAGATGTGGGTGGACGTTTTGGCGAGTTTGCAGACTTCTCTTGCACTCCCAAAAATGGAGGCAGTTCCAGTGAAGAAGAATGCGGAGAGTAATTTCACATGCTCCTCTAGATTAGTACATGATAATTTATCAGTGGGCGTTTTTGAACTTTGTCAAGCTTATCGTCTGCCTTTAATTATACATCTTATGTTCTCGACTAAGGTTTAAGGTGATGAATCATAATTCTTTGAATTTTAAACCTGAAGCATAATGCTCATCCTTTCTTGTTTTATTAACATTCACAGGTTGTTGGATGCCTCATTGAGCATGATAACAAAATTCTGCTTTGCAAGCGAAACATCCAACCATCATTTGGTCTTTGGTAAGAGCAACTTAGGAATAAAACGATGCAATTTTCTTTTTCATCCAACAATTCCTATATATGCCAGTACATGTCTTCTGGTTAAATAATAACACGATCTGCATTTATGCTTCTCATAGTGTGGTCAGCTTCTGTGCCTTTTTTTCCATGTATGAGTGGAATATTTTCTTCTGTTTTGATGTAGGACACTTCCTGCCGGATATTTAGAAGTTGGAGAGTCAGCCATGGAGGGAGCAATGAGGGAAACCTGGGAGGAAGCTCAGGCAGAGGTGGAAGTGCTTTGTCCTTTCGCACAACTTGATATCCCCCTAATTGGTCAAGTAAGGAAGACACACTGATTATGGGTTCTGAACTCTTGTTCATTTTATAAAATCTTAACTGAAGGAATTCTGTGTTTGCCTTTGTCTTTGGACAGACATACATAATTTTCTTAGCTAAGCTGAAGAAGCCCCACTTTTCACCAGGCCCAGAATCATCAGACTGCCAACTTTTTTCTCTTGAGGATATACCATTTGATTCTTTGTCCTTTTCATCGATGGTGGTGACTCTAAAATTGGTAAAGGCCTCTTGGCATGGCTATTTAGCTCTTTTTCCTGTTACTTGTCATCATCATCTCTGATCCTTGTGCTCTATGGTTATAGTACTTGGAGGATGTCAAGTCTGGCAGGCTGAAGTTTCACTATGGCACCATTAACAAGAGGTACTAATAGATTGCTTTCTTGACAGTGAATTCAATTTGCTTTGTCATTGTTGTCATTGCCCTTCAGCACTTGAGCGGAGCTAACTGTAATGAGAAAATGGTGAATGATGTCCGGGAAGCTTGTTGTATATGTGTGTGGCATCTCCGAGAGCGTGATTATTTAAAAGAGTTTGTCTGTGTATCCAGTCCTTGGCTGTGGCCTGTGAGTTCATTTATCATCACTGAATAACTTTTCTACACCCTTATTGAGTTAAACAACGGACACGAGATGCTTCCAAAGTTGTTTCCTTCTACTACTACTGGTCACTCTCTATTTGTTTTGTCTACACCACTCTCGATTGATTTCACTGCCAATTTTCTCACTACTACGTTTCTCTGTTGTCGTTATTGATCATGTTGCAGGCCTGGCACAAGCCCATCAGATAGTCATGCCTATACACTGGACAATCATATGCAGTCCTGAAAAGCCTGAGCTGCTTTCGACGATCTTGGGAGGCCAACTGTTATTCAGACCTATGTCAGACTTGAATATGAAACCTGTTAACAGTGCAAGTGAAGACTCATGTCCACTAAGACCATGTAAATAGAGATCTTTCAATTTACCTTCTGTTTGTCTGTTGAATTTGAAGCAGAGTCATGTAACCAATTGTGATTGATTCAATTGAATACTACACAATATGTGTTGCAATCAATTCATTGCAGAAAAGCATAGCAGATGACACCACTTTCCCACAGGAGGGACTCAGTTGTCTGATACTAAAAATAAGGGAATCAACTCGTAATTTGTACAAAACATTTCGCAGGGAAAGTTGGAAACTGCAAGCCAAAAATCTCAAGGTGGAGTGGGGGAACAATGGCGGGCGGGGCAAACACAAACCAACCAATGCAAATATCCGCAATGGTCCTAGAAGACACTCAATCTCTGACCGTTGAGATGGGTCCTCGCAAGTCGCAACGACTCTCTCTTTGATTTAACGGTACAGATCTGATGTCTTGACTTCGAACGTTGCAGTCTTCTCCTCCTCGGCCGTCCTTCCCCAATTTGCATCTGCAGTTCAGTTCTTCCGGGCTCTCGCCATTTGCAGTTCAGTTTCCACAATCCACAAGACCAAGCCACCTGATTCCCGCGAAATTCTCGGGTCGATTGATTCGTTCGAGTTGCTTCTGAGGGGTCATCGATTCGAATCGGGATTGACTGTATCTAAATCGTCGTCCTTTATTCTTCTGGTTGCTCCTCCCAAATGCGGAAGAGCGATTCCTTCAAGTATCCGGCGCAGGGTACAGAGTCGCGGCATCCATGGAGCGGTGATTTGGGGTTCGGCGGCAGCGATAGGAGGTACGCTTACTCCCGCCAATCTTCGTTTCGCCAGCCGCAGGATCTTCCCGGCAGCCCGATTTCCTTCCTGCCCAATGACGCGGGGAAGCCTTTTCTCTCCCGAACCTCCTCCAGCATCGATATGCCGCCGGAGATCTATAATTACTCATTCAATTACCAAAAGGACGGTGCTTTTGGCGATTCCAATGACTCGGCCGCCGGAGGGAAAAGCGAGAAATTGTCGGTGGTATCCGCGTTTAGGGCCATAAGGTATGGGAACCGGCAAATGAAGAGGCTTTTCCTGATGATTTTCCTCAACGTTGCTTATTCTACGACCGAGTTCGGGATTGGGCTAATTAGTGGCCGTGTCGGTAAGAAATTTTGCAACTTTCTGGAAATTTTGAAGCTCTAAAGTATAATAGATTGTATGCATATGGAGTTAGTAATCGGGTTTGCTTCGATTTCGTTTCTTTTTACAGGTTTGGTGTCTGATGCATTTCATTTGACATTCGGGTGTGGTCTTCTTACATTCTCCTTGTTTTCTATGGCTGCTTCTCGGAAAAAGCCTGATCATGTTTACACTTACGGGTGAGTTGATAACTTGCATTCACTGTTTAGAATTAACTTGAACTGATGCAAATATCTTATTCTACTTCGTTTGATTCTCAAACTACAACGAAGTTATTTTTGTTTCAATGTATTGTCATGATCTGGTTAAAGATATCGTCTTGTGTAAAGCATATTAACTGGCAATCGTTCTTTGCAGGTATAAAAGGCTTGAAGTGTTATCCGCTTTTACTAATGCTGTAAGTGTTTGACATTTCCTTTAAGTTGTGGAATTGGATTTCTTTGAAATTAGGATAGTGTAAAGGAATATGTTTTTCCTGAATCCTCTGAGGTTCCGGTATCGTGTTCATTTGCTAGTATTGTATGTTCATACTGTCAAACTAGTAATTGTTAGGCCTGTCAAGGACTCAAGGGTCTGATTTAATTGAGAAGAATCGAGTGTGTTCCTAACTTTAATGTTGCTGCTAGTTATGTTTCTACTTATATTATAGTCTCTTTCCTGAAATAGACGAAGGAATGAACAGAAAGGAAACCCCCTGAGAGGAAAGGCTACTTCAATTGATTGAGGTCTGGGAGCGGCCATAACGATAGAATATCTATCGTCCAATATTCCTTAAAATTATCCTATTGACTGAGATTTTTCACTCTTGTGCCCTTTATTGACTTCTAATTCAAGGGAGAGGAGGCTTCCTTCTTTCTCAAATTTCTACACGTTAATGTTCATCGCACAAAAATTTCTGCAACAGCATGAAGCGGAAATTCATCTGAATTTATCTGCTTCATTTGCATTGTGTCATTGCTATTAGTCTTTTCACTTTGCTTGTGAAAAGTTTCTTCAATCATAGCATGCTTCAATCCGTTGCTCTAACATATAAGTAATATTGATTTTGCTGCTTGTGTAGACAGCTGTTTCTGCTGTTCATGTCATTCTCCTTGGCAGTGGAAGCTCTTCATGCATTTGTACAAGATGAATCTGAGCACAAGTGAGTAATTGGTGCTAACTTTTTGGAGTATTTCGTTGGTGCATAGTTGCTTTAAAATTACTGCTGATTATTTGATAGGGAATTATTATTTTGTGCTTGCCTATTCAGTTCTACAATAAAAGATAATGAGGAACTTGTCCTGTTTAAACTGCAGGCATTATTTGATTGTCTCTGCAGTGACAAATTTGGGGGTGAATCTTATTGGTGTCTGGTTCTTCAGGAACTATGCCCGCGTAAATATTGGTAATTGTCATCTGCTAGCCGAATTGCGATTTGATCCCAATCTACTTGTACTAATAGAAATCGCTTACTCCTGTAAATACTGACGAGGTTATGGTTATCATCGCTTATGTGAGCTTAAGAGTGACAATTACCAGCTTATGTTACTCTTCCTGCTGTTTGAACTTGCTTCTGAACACTTCAATTTTTTCAGTCTACAGAAATGCCGAAGACATGAACTACCATTCAGTATGCTTGCATGTCCTTGCTGACTCCATTCGAAGGTTTGCTCTTTATCCCCAATAGCTTTTCGTGTCGCTAGAATTCCAGTGTTGCCATTTTGAGCTAGTGTCTTCTTCTTGTTGTGTCTCAGTGCAGGGTTGATACTGGCATCGTGGTTGTTGTCGCTTGGGTAATTAAGTTTCTTGACTTCCATTCGTTACCGCCATTGGCAGTTGTGAAATTTCCCCCTCCCTCACTCTTCCTGACACCTTTGATTGCTCTCATCAGTAACTTTTTTTTGTGTGCTTATTATGTATATTTCAGGGTTAAGAATGCGGAGGTTCTGTGCTTGGGTCTAGTTTCTGTTACGGTATTTATGCTTGTCATGCCTCTTTTCAAGGCAACCGGGCGAGTGTTGCTTCAAATGGCACCACCAAGCATTCCACCTTCAGCATTGAGCAAGTGCTCGAGACAGGTGAGAACTGGGAGTTCTTTCCAGCTAGCTAATTAAACTTTTCTTGGCCCCTATTAATGAGTTCCATTTAGTTGGCTTCATCAGGTTGCTTATAGACATTTTTTTTTTGGTTCTTGTCTCTACCTCTATTGGTTAGATCTCTGCTTGTGAAGATGTGTCTGAGGTTTCTGAAGCCCGTTTCTGGGAATTGGTTCCAGGCCACGCGGTTGGTTCCATCTCATTGCAGGTATACATTCTTGAAGACAGTCAAGTTTGATCTGCAATCTCTTTTTTTTGTTGTTGCTGTTTGCAGTGCTTACTACTGTTTTATCTGTCACATTCCCCCCTAATAATAGAACTCTGACATGTCAATGTATGTTACTTCTGACACTTACCCAAGGTGAAGGGCGGAGCGGATGATCGGCAGGTGCTAGAATTTGTACATGGGCTGTACCATGATTTGGGGGTGCTGGATCTCACTGTCCAGACTGATCAGGAATGAATACCAAGTTTTCAGCTTTAGCTGTATGTTTTGAGTTTTCTGTCTCAGTTGCAACTCCATTTTCATTTAGCAGGATGGATAGTCTACAACAGATCCAGCGGATATGACATCTTTTGAGACTAGTATTTCATTGTTTTTGATAGATAGAGATATTTTTATCAGCACTGACTGTTCATTGTTAAACATAAACACAGCTATTTCGAGTTATCTATTTATAGCGAGTGATGAAGATGTTGGAGTTACTACGTCCATTCGGGGACACATCCGTTAAAATTGGAACGATACAGGGAAGATGTTGCTTACTTTTCCCCTTTCGCCCTAGTTGATGTTCTTCACCCTTTTGCTCAAACGCAACCTCGCAGAAAAGCATATGGTGAGAAATGTCGCTAAATTTTCCCCAGAAACAGAAAGTAGGCAATTTACTTGTTGGGGATACAAAATTTCCGATGTTCCTCTTTTTCGTTTATTGGGCCAAGCTTGAAAATGTATTGGGCCGAGCCCAGACCAGAATGTAGAACAGCAACAAGTATCTGGGCCCAGTCAAAACTGCTCGACTCGAACAGCAATCAGTAACCGAGCTAGATAAAAAATTGCCCCACTCGTTCTCTGCATCTCTCCGTCTTAGAATTAGGCGGCATTGTTCCGGGAAAGCCTGAACCCAAAGGCGAGAAAGCTCCGTTCTTTCTTCGGTTTGCTGAGCGACACCCGCATTTGTACAAAGAGATTTTTTTTCTTCTTCTTCTTCTAGGGTTTTGCCGCATCCACCTGAAGGGCTTGCACCGCCGAATCTCGACGGCTCTTCCCCTCTCCCCGGCTGAAAAAGGCGGCGGATTTGAAACTCGTGCACTTCAGCTAGGTATTGCTCTCTTGTTCTCTCAATTTGATGTTTGTGGCATTGAGGAACTTTCGTCCTTCCAACAGAATAAGTAGTTTTGACAATTGTTTTTGGTAGGGATGGGAGAGTTGTATTGAGGGTCCTTGAACCTTGTTAACTAGAATAACGTTAAGATCAATGAATTGCTCCATTGTAGCTAGAATCAACCATTTGTTATCCATGAATGGGACTGTTGATGCCAGCTTCTTTTCGTTTTGAAGCAGCCACTTTCCTGCCTTGTGTCCTGAATCATGAAGTTTCGTTTTTTGGGATTTAGTTTAACTAGTCATGTTTGCAGGTTTGGTAATCATGACAGCTGAAAAAGAGAACCCTCTGCCACCATCAACTTTACCAGTAGCTGAATCTTCAGCTGCTGTGTCTGAAGATCAAACCATGGTTGATGCCATCCTTGTTCAACCCGTTGTACCCCCACTAGTGCCACCTGCCACTACTCCATTTGTGCCTCTCATGGCTCCACTACCTACCCTTGCACCTCCTATACCTCGCCCGTTAGCCCCTCTCCCTCCTCGCCCCGCTCTACCTAAACATCAGGCACCACAGGATGATCAACCGGGAACAAGTGACTCAGATTCTGACCAAGATGATTCGAGCCCAGCCGGTAATGGGTTAACCGTAGGCTATGAGGCTTCAGAAGAGAGCCTAATTATTCAAGAGAGGCAGCAAAAGGCAATTCAGGAGCTCATGATGAAGCGCCGTGCTAATGCTCTTGCTGTTCCGACCAATGACATGGCGGTCAGGACACGCCTTCGTAGGCTCGGTGAACCCATAACACTCTTTGGAGAGAGAGAGATGGAGAGACGGGATCGTTTGAGAATGCTTATGGCGAAGTTGGACTCTGAAGGGCAGTTGGAGAGGTTGATGAAAGCTCATGAAGAAGAGGAGGCTGCATCGACCTCAACGGGACAAGATGCTGTGGAAGAAATGCTTGAATACCCGTTTTATACAGAAGGATCCTGGGAACTCCATGAGGCCAGAGTCAGCATTGCTAAATATTCGGTTGTGAGGGCGGCAAGGCGGCTTCAGAGTGCCAGAAGGAAACGTGAGACCCCAGGGGAAGATGAAGATAGTGAGATCAATTCTTCGTTGAAGCAAGCTGGAAATTTGGCTCTTGACTGCAGCGAGTTTGGAGATGATCGACCCCTCTCTGGTTGCTCCTTTTCCAAGGATGGAGAATTTCTGGCCACCTGGTAAATTTTTCCTGCAGTACTCCTTTTATTATTTTGCTTTTCTTGCATGCTTCTTCTTGTGTTCACTGTTGCTCTTGGAGAATGGAACTGAAAACTATATAACAAGTCATGCTAGCTGCTAGAAACTAACAGTACTTCCATAAAAAAAAATCGAGAGAGCTATTTACAGTGATGTTTTGGTCGTGATTATTTGACCTCATTGGGTAATTTTTTTAACTACAATGTCAATAGTGAGTAATGCTACACCTCACTTAGTTTCAGACTTCATTTCTAGAGCCTAGCTCAAATTATTCACCAGCAGGTTACCGTGTGTAGCATGAGGTGCCAACTGATATTTGTTTTTCTTCTTCCTTTTCTTATCATAGTTCATTAACTGGAGTTGCAAAAGTGTGGAAAGCACCTCAAATAAGTAGAGTTTCTACCTTGAAGGGTCACAAGGAACGGCTGACTGATGTGACATTCTCTCCTGTGAACAACTGCTTGGCAACAGCATCAGCTGATCGAACTGCAAAACTGTGGGATACTGATGGAACTCTTCTGAGAACATTTGAGGGCCACTTAGATCGTCTCGCACGCATCGGATTTCATCCATCTGGAAAATACATTGGCACCACAAGCTTTGACAAGACGTGGAGATTGTGGGACGTTGATACTGGGGTGGAATTGCTTCTTCAAGAAGGCCACAGCAGAAGTGTCTATGGGATTGCCTTCCATCACGATGGATCATTGGTAGGATCTTGTGGACTGGATTCACTTGCTCGTGTGTGGGATCTTCGTACAGGGAGAAGTGTTCTAGCCTTGGAAGGCCACGTTAAGCCGGTAAGATATTTAAACATCCTACTATTTTCTTGTCATTAAAGTTGACACTTGTGAGTTGTGACTTCTTGAATGAAGTAATTATTGTGCGTGTTGACATGTCCGTGCTTGATGTCATCCATCCTTCAGGTTCTCGGTATGAGTTTTTCTCCCAATGGCTATCATCTGGCTACTGGAGGTGAAGATAATACTTGTCGAATCTGGGATTTGAGGAAGAAAAGGTCGTTGTACGTGATTCCAGCGCACTCGAATCTCGTATCTCATGTGAAGTTTGAGCCTCAAGAAGGGTATTTCTTGGTCACTGCATCATATGACACGACTGCCAAGGTAAAGTTTCCCCTCCTCGTTGGAAAATGTCTTATTACCTTGCAAGATTTAGGTTAATGTTGTTGTAACTCATATCATATACACACGATTGGTTGTGGCAGGTCTGGTCAGGAAAGGATTTCAAGCCTGTCAAGACGTTGTCAGGGCATGAGTCCAAAGTAACATCGTTGGATATAACTCCAGGTTAGTTCGGTATATTGTCATAATCTGTTGCTGTTGTTATGAATCTATCATTCCTCATTTGTTAACCTCTGTTTCTTTTATCTACAGATGGAGAATGTATTGCAACCGTCTCGCATGATCGAACCATCAAGCTGTGGTCCAGTAGGAGCAGTGAGAAGGAGGGTATGGACGTTGATGACTGAGCTCGGCGACAGAACGAGACAGGTTTTCTGATTGGTATTGATATTCGGCCTGGTTTCTAAACCGGACAGTTTCTGTGTAAGGGCCTTGTGTTCCGTCCCCCTTTTTTCCCCCCTGGAAATGCTTCAATTCCAGAATGTTGGGATATCTCTTCCTGTAGGTCCAAACTTTAGGCAACATAGAACATGTTATGTTTTACAGCTACTGATGGCAAATGGGTTGTAGCCTACACTCGTAAAACCAGACGACTGTTATCTCACTCCTTTAGACATACCGATAATCCGCTATTGGCACTGGGACGACTCGGATTAATCACTGTTATCGACGACAAACTGTTTCATACCTTTGTTTTAAGCGAGATTAAAATTCATTAATAACAAGCTCTCCTCGATGAAGCAATGCAAGATCTGATTGAACAGTAGTCTTCTGGGTTGCATCTGGGTTTATCAAATGGTTACATGCTAAGCTCTTTCGAAGACAGAGAGGTATATGTTTGTCGAACATCAGAAAGTTGGTAGCAATTAATGAAAATTTTTAAGTTACTTAATATAGAATAATGATAAGGAAATTCAGCTGGCGAGTGGGCTGGACACAAACTAGTATTTTGAGTGTGTTGTTAACAAAATTGGATGATTTCATACCTTTAGAGGAAAATAAACAGAAGGATGTGGAAGTTGGTTGGTAAAAAATTGTTTGAAAAAGACATAGAGTGTAACATAAACGATACAAATTATAAGTGAAAATTTTGAGAATCAATATATTATAAGTGAAAATATAAAGAAAAGACATTCAATATTTTGCCTTCTTCAAAGAAAGTATTGGAAGGAAAAGTTTATATAGCATGCAATGCAATTATATGTATGGAAAGATATCATATAATTTATTTCCCTTAATGTCCTTTTCTTTTTGGTATTAGATAAACGTTTCACATTTCATTCCTTCTATATGCAATTGGATAAAAGGAAACCAATTTTTTTTATACTATTTCTGTAAATGTAAGGTTTCTAGTTTTAGTAATTCCATAATTTTTTAGTATTTACAAACTAATTGCATATTATTAAGTTTATAGAATTAGAAAATTGTATTAAAAAATTAATTAAAATTCTACCAAAAAAAATTAATTAATTTGCATTCCTTTTATATTACAAAAAATGGTAATCAAAAGGTTTACCATATTTTGTTTTCTTCACAGGAGTTCCTCTATCCCTTCTATTATAAATATATCTACTCATTAGTTGTATGACCACAAATTACTCAAAATAAATTATTAAAAAAATTCATATTTATTCTCCTTCACAAGGATTCTTCATCAAAGAGAGATTTCATACAAAATGGCAGCAAAAGCAATTTCCTTTGCTCTTTTTCTTGCCATAACAATGGCGTTCGCAATCCAACTCTCACATGTTCGTAGATGTTCTTTATATTATTTTTACGTTGTACATAATTATGGAGACATAGTAGTCTCTGTGTTGCCTGTCATATTTACAATTTATGTCATACTATGCAATTTACCCTTTTTTTATCTCTCTCTAAATAAAAAGATTAGTAGTCTCTCAACAGAATTTAATTATTTTTTCATAAACTCGAATGCAGACTGGTGGAGAAGGATCACTTACAGCAGATCGTAAGTATTATTATTTTCATATAAAATTTCTTTTATTATATTAGTCCATTGACTCGTTGTGTCGATGTCTCTATTATTATGATGGTTGATTATCTATAATGTTAAATCATTTATATATTTTTATGCAGAATGTCCGGGAGCGTGCGAATTTAGGTGTTCGGCGACGTCGCATAAGAAGCCATGTTTGTTCTTCTGCAACTTGTGCTGTCAGAAATGTTTGTGTGTTCCGTCTGGAACATATGGGAACAAAGAAGAGTGTCCTTGCTACAACAATTGGAAGACCAAAGAAGGAACCCCTAAATGTCCTTAGAATATTTATTCTTTTAATTCAAAAAAATATGTAATTTTCGTGATCGATTTCCTCTTCCATATTTACCTCAAAATATTCACTTATTATATGATCAAAATTCAGATAACTGCCGGATGTGCTTTTTGTTTGAATATTATTGGAAGAAGATGTTGTATGAAGTAATAATGATAAATAATGGGGGCTTTATGTTTGTCATGGTCACTGGAAAAAATATTATTTTATTTTGTTGCTAATCGTATAACTGTAGATTATTTTTACTTTGCTAACACCCACTTCATCATTGACACATGGCTAAACTGTAATTTTTTTTATTTGGGTTATTATTAAAGTTATACGGTTGATACTGTAGCATAAGAGAATAGCTAACCTAGATTTTCTATCCGGGAAAATTACAGTTATACGGTTGATAACTGTAATTTTTTTTTATTTGGGGCGCGGTCAATAATCAACGAATTGTGAAACCACACGAGGAGTTATACCGGAAAAGTCAGTTGTATCGTATTTTGTTATAAAATCACGATTCAAACATTTTCTATCATTCTAACCGCCTAACGGTTTGGGGCCGTTATCTGGTATTTTTCGGTCCGAGCGACCGATATGGTAAAATTTCTCAAACATTTTAATATCTGGATAGTGGTTGTTGCTAGACGAGAGGAATTAGAAGTGGATTCAACCTAATTTTGCTATCCTCTTCGCCACCCAAATCGTGAGGATGTGGTCAGGTGCTAGACGTTGTTGGATCTTTGCCATTGTTGCAGGGATACGACGGTAATTTTATTCAACGGTCACGAATGACTTAGCACTCCATCAAATTACGCACAATCCTACAAAACGTTCACACAAATGTGATGTAAGCATATCATAGCTTATTCGGATTCAACAATTTCAATAACTTACTTGATTTTATACACCCTTTTAGTTTTAAATTAGATCGAGCCAAAGTTGGTAAAAAATGGATGGCCTAGTCAACCTTATAATTATGAGACTCACTTAAATTTTATAAATTTTTCATGAAAATTTTTGATTATGCTTTCTAACCAAGGTTGTCAACCCGCGGGTTGACCTGGACTCGGTCGAGGTAGTGGGTCAAGGCACCCGTTTTAGCGCGGTTTAACCCGAAAATATGGAAAGAGTCATTATATTATACTTATCCTGATAAATTATATCAATTCTCATCTAAAATATGAGTTATAACATATAATATCCCACTAAAATAGCATGTGTTACTTATATCCAACATATAGTGAAACTTCACACACACTTGTATAACATCAATATTCAAATGTTCAACTTAGGATTCCAAAGATTAAGTTAGGCCAAAAGAAAATTCGAAAAATAGGCGCATTTCACAAACCAAAGAAAAAAAATACAATTTGACCTCCAACCCGATACCTTGTAGCGGTCGACCCGGCGGGTGCTTACAACCCGTTTTTCTTACCGGACCAGGGTCAAAGTGGGTCGACCCGCGGGTTGACAACCCTGTTTCTAACTTATATATTTCATATTAAGATAATTAACTTCCCACACAATGCGTAAAATGGTTTAACCGTATGGATTAAATCTTACAACTAGTAACAAGCTCAATCAAATTATGTTGGAAATCCAACACCAAAGACAAATCTCTCGTTCTAAAATCCATGAAGCTAAACGACACCTAAGTTCTTCCCCATCGCAAATCATTCATTGGGAGAAGGAAATCCAGCTGTGGATATTGGTCTTACAAACACTTCTATCTTCCAGTGATTTCTGTAAACGAGTTCACTTGGCTTCCCAGCAACAAAAACCCTGCACCTTCAGAACCTGAACCTACAGGAGGCCACATAAAACCAGGCCTTTCCGGTGGAAGTTCAGGTGCTGCAACTTCCCTTCCCAGAACTTGAATAACATTCTTCATAGTTGGCCTCTTAAACGGATCAGGATGGCAACAAGCAAGACCCAAACTAAGCACAAAACCCATTTCTTCCTCCACAAAATCCCCCTTCAGCCTGCAATCAGCCGCATCAATCAGCTTCCCAATCCCATGAAGCTCCCAAACCCAGTTCAATATGCTTCTGCTAGCATAACCATCTTGGTCCAATTGGCCTCCAGGTCTCCTCCCACAACAAACTTCCAGCACCAAAATCCCAAATGCATAGACGTCGCTCTCCAGAGTCGCTCTCCCAGTTAGAAAAATCTCTGGTGCCATGTACCCTAGTGTCCCCGCCAAGTTCTTGGTGGAATGGTGGGTTTGATCCGCCTGTTTGATGGTTCGAGCCAGGCCGAAATCGCCCAGCTTGGCGTTGAACTCGGAATCCAACATTATGTTGCTCGCCTTGATGTCCCTGTGGAGAACCCTTTTCTCGCAGCCGCTGTGTAGATACTCCAATGCCCGTGCCACTCCTGATACTATGTTCAACCTCGTTTCCCATCTGATGGACGACGACGACGACGATTCGTCGTCGTCGAATACGAGTTTGTCGAGGCTTCCGTTGGGCATGTACTCGTAGACGAGAAGGTATTCTTGCCCTTCATGCGCCCATCCAATTAGTTTCACCAAATTCTTGTGGTGGAGATTTCCGATTGTTGTTACTTCTGATATGAACGCTTGCTTCACTTGACTCGTTACTTTTTTGGAAACTCTCTTCACAGCGATCTCTCTGTTTCTCAGGTTCCCCTTGTAGACAGTTCCAAAGCCACCTTTGCCAAGCTTGTTCTCGTGATTGAAATTCTTGGTCGCGTCGATGAGCTCCTTCACTTTGAACTTCAGGGGAGCCATGGAAGATACTTGAATTGCCTCTTCAATACTTGGATGACCTTCATTCTCTGTTTTCTCTCTGCCCAATTTCCTTCTCTTCTGATAGTAGATGAACCCAACAATCCCGAAAATCAAACCCAAGATTCCAATCGAAAGAAGAACCCAAACCCAAATTGACCGAAACCACCCATCCCCAATATCTAAACCAGCAAAATCCCACGACAGAATACAATTCTGTTGAGCATTTAGCCGGCCTGTGGAACCTGAGAATCCCACATGAACAACTTCAGGAAGATGAACAGAGAGATCAATCGACTCCCAAATCACAACTCTTTCCGAGACAAACACCGTCAAGTTACTGCCGTCGTAATGAACACGGGCCGTGACGATATCGGACGCGGACAAATTGACGCCGAATCCTGACAAGGGTTCCTGACGAACAGAGTAAACTCCGTTAATGTCCAGCCCAACATGGTTATCATCCAAATCTTCAGGGTAACTCTTCCTGGTGTCGAATTCGACCGCCACGACGCCGCGAGACGACGACCCGTTGGTGATTGAGTTGACGACCCCGAGCCACTGCCCGGAGCTGTTTTCGGGCAGGGCCGGGTCTTCCGCGAGGATGAAAGCCATGCCTTCCCCTGGAGGTTGAGTCTTGGGGTTGATTTGGAGGACGAAGGTGGTGGTGAAAGTTGCCTTGACGCGGCCGCGGTTTTTGTGAAGCCGAAAGGGTTTTCTGTAGCAGATTCTTCCCGACATGTTGGGGATGAAATCGGGAGTGATCTGAATTGTGCCGGCGGTTATGTAAGCGTTGGATCGACTGAAGTCGTTGGTGGAGTTGTCGGGAAAGGAAGTGTAGTTGAAATGAAGGGGAGTAGATGGGGAAATGGGTATGGTGAGGAAAAGGATGAAGGCAGTCGCTGCGAGCGTTAATGGGGAATTGGTTTCTAGCATCATTGATTGAGTAAATAAGTATGGTATATGCGGGGAGACGCGCCATTGAAGCTCTGTTTATAGAGGGTTTCACTCTCTGTTCTGTTCTTGATGGTGTAAATGGTCAACTGTTCAAAGGTTAATCTAAAACAACATGTTTTGATCTTTGATTAGAAGTATAATATCTTCTTAGTTACAAGTTGACAAGCAATCTCAAGTGACGTTTGTGAATTGCTGTATATGTAAGCTGGTAAGTGGTCAATTTTATGTAATGGAGTTTGTAACCAATTATGGATTGACTTTTTTTCCATCTCCCCAACTCAATACATTCGAGTGACTCCTTTTGGAGGAGAACAGAGGCTCCCACTTAGCTTCATCAGATTCTTGTGGGGAAGATTCCCAATTGTTCACAAATTCGTGCTTCCCCTGATGAGAAGATTGGCCCGTAAATCTCTTTATTGCGACGGTTTGGAAATTCAGGATTCAGTCTATAGACTATCGCGAACCCTCACTTACTTAGCTCGTACAATCAAAATTACTAATCCGAGTGGAATTAGGATTGTGACGTACAAAAGAACATAGTGTTCATCCACATCTGAGCTATAAAATCCCATGATTTAACTGTGCTCAGCTTTGCATACTTGCTGGTCAATCCTGAAAACCGCACGAACACTTTCCTGCCGCGAGTAATCGGAGAGATCGATTCGTTCGGACAAGATGGTTTTCCTTCCTCCTTTTTTCTTGATGAACACTCTTAAATTCCTGCTATCGTACTGACGGATACTCTGATATCATCTCTGTCCGAAAGATGGATTTTTTTTTTTCCAACGGGACTTGCCTGATTGAATTTACTGTAATGTGGATTCTTCCTTGTGTCGAACTCATTAGCGATAATGTGGTCTCAGGTTCGCTTTCGGTTGTCTCATTGACAATCCTGAGCCATTTCCAGTGGCTGTTGTCAGGGAGAGTGAAATCTGCAGTTACTATGAACAGCATGCCTTCGCCTGCTTAATTTGTTTGCCCGGCGATGTTGATGATGAATGTGCAGTTAAAGCTTGCTCTGATGCGACCCCAGCGCCTGAATCTCTTCCCCCACAGCTTGAGAGGGTGTTTGCACATAGCTCTTCCAGACAGGTAGTTCAAGGAAGATCCACTCAGAGCTGGCGTGACTTGGAGAGTCTCCAGGAATATGGAGGACTAGATTGCCGCCTTGTCCGCTGGATTTGAAAGTCGAGAAGCTGAGTTGAAGAGATTCTGCTGCTGCGATGAAAAGGGTTGCTAGCAGGATGAATTTGATGAAACTCCCAACTCTGTTACACATTACTGTAACAGGCCTCGAGCCTAGCCAAAGCCAAGCTGGGAAAGATTGAATAATATGCCAGAAACTCCAACTCTGTTACACATCATTACTGTAACAGACTGGATATGAGCGAAGTATGTAAACAACATCTTCGTGTTGATCTATCTAATGCTTGAAGAAACCCGCGTCCTGGCGTAAAATGAAAGGCATCAATGCATGCTTCCTACCTACACCCACTTTCAACTATGGTAGCTGAATTGCTCTGAACCAGCCAGGACTCAGGAGTTCTTATAAGGAATTGCAGAAAGAAGAAAGGACAAGTAACTGTACACACAATTGCAGTACGAAATGATACTGGTAATACATATTCTTGCCTAAACCCTTGATTCTGGTTTCCAGAAGACGTAATATTCTGCCGATGAAGTACTTATGTCATGCACGGAGCATCTAATTCCAAAGAGCATAACTGGCGGGAATCAACGAGCTTTAGTTCCTGCTGGGAGCATTACTTACCACGAAATGAAATAGTGAACAAACAGACAGTTGGAAGATTGAAGCCCATTTTGGCTTCAGACAAGAAACCAAAATAAGGTGAGGAATGGTTAATAAGTGATGGGCAGAGACAAGAACAGGCATTTTCGACATCATAGAGAGAACACTGAATTTCTACAGGCATCAATTCAAAACAGTCCTTGGGTCAAAACAGCTATCTGGGTTACAGAACGACACTCTCCACAGTCTCTTACTAGTCACTAGCATCCATGGCAGAAAGGCTTTTGTCAAGCAATGGAACGACGGCATGATCATGGATTTCAATCCCTCAAAGACACCATTTTTTGGCCTTATTCTAGTTGGATTTTCACTCCCCACAGACTTGCTGTTCAACGGAGATCCCAAGACGGCCCATTTTATAATCGCCTCAAAATTTCCTCCATTTGTCACTCTCCAAAAGACCTGCAATCTCAAGGTAAACCCAACAGGGAGCTGCATCAGCAACAAAAACCACCACCTGGATTGTAGTGTTGGGCGCAAGTTTGGAGGGGGGAAAAAATGGATGCCAAAGAAGAGCCCAAGCTCCAACATTTCAGCCACCAACATCCCTTCACCCGATCCATCTCGCCGGGGAACATCGTCTGCAATGGCTGCAACTTGGGGATCGCATCAGGGAAAGACTACTACGCCTGCAGAACCTGCAATTCATTCTCCCTCCACAAGGTATGCTTCCACTTGCCCAGAACCACCACCCACCCTGCTCATCCCGACTCCAAATTGACCCTCGCCGTGTCTCCGCCGGAGTCCTCGGCCGCCGCCCAAGTGAGATGCAAGGCCTGCACGAAGAGCATCAGTGGGTTTTACTACAGCTGCGGCGGGACGTTCTACCACAACCTCTGCCTAGCTCTCCCGCTCTCCGTCATGATCTCCGGCCATCCCCACCCGCTCAAGATCCACTTCTGCCCACCTTACGATTTCAGCTGCGATCTCTGCCTCAAGCCCAGCTACAAAGGATGGCTCTACCGCTGCCGATTCTGCGAGTTCGACGCGCACATCGCCTGCGCGATTTCGCACAAGAACTCCGAGCCGGCCACCTTGCCGGACAGTCTGGTTCGCCAGATATCGAATTGTTCGCAGAGCGGTCACGAGATTATGCAGCTGCTCCCGTTAAGGCTAGGGATTCGCACCGCCGCCGCCGCCGCCGCCGGGGATGAGAAATCGGGGGAGAAGAACAGCCCCAGGCGGCGGACGTCGGCCGATCAGGAGGAGAAGGTGTCGGCGCAGACAGAGCCCTTGATGAATTCCACTACGCAGCAGCAGCAGGGGAATCCCGCCACTCCGCCGGGGAAATCGCCGGTGTCTGGATCTAGGGTTTCGTCCGTGACGGAGGTTCCTAGCTACCAATTCAGCGACATGTGCTTCTCGATCGACCTTCACAAGTCTTACTCCGACGGCAGCCATCTGGGGAGCAATAATGGTAGGGAGAGGAAAGTGATTCCCGAAGCGACGGTGGCGCCGGCTCCACCGGCCTTCGCCGGCGGGGGCCGCGGCGAAGCGGGGAGTAAGAATTGGGGCGATTCGCATAAGCTCCTCCACAACAACGCAAATGGGAAGCCGGCGAGGAAGGATGAGAAGAAGATAGCGAATGCTTATGGGATCCACGGCAGCGGAAAGAAACCGAGCTGCATCAGTGAGTCCGACGAGGACACGGTAAGTGTTTTGCAATTGTTCCGATCACCGTCTTCTTTTTGTTTTCTTTTTAATTAAAAAAAAAAACAATTGCAGGCTCTTAAACTTTGTTTTCTGAAAGACTGAAACACTCTAAAATTAATTATCCTTCATTTTTTTTTCTTCTTCCTAATCGGCAACAGCTGGCCGAGAGTTGGAGGCATTTGATAATTATTTGTTTTTCTGATATCTTTGTTTGAATTTTCAGGGATGCTCGTGTTGGAGGCGGCTGATAATGTTTTGTTGTTCGTGAAAAGTATTGAACAAATTGTTGGAGCATATGGAATCACCGATCTTATGAAACTGCATAATGTTGATGGATTATGTTTGATTGAATTAAATATAAGAACTTAAGTTGATACAATTCTAATAGAGTTTCATAACGATTGTATCACCATTATCGTTTATTGATCTCGGTACAGTTTCATGATCGCGCTGAAAGTGCTTGATGGATGGTCACGCGGTCATCATGGTTCTGATTCGCAAAATTGTTCAAGACTCTTGCATGCAAATCCTCTATCTTTGTATACATTTGGGCTTATACTTGTGAACATATGTATACTGATGCAAAACTTGTAATCTTTTTTTCAATCCATAATTATCTGAGCTAGAAAGGTTACTAGCAAAGCAAATTTTCTGCCCCGCTAATGACTTTCCACACAACTATTTTTTCATGGGAAAAGAAGGGCAGAAGGGGAACTAACGGTTAGTCTTTAGCTCAGGGGTGATGGTGAAGTCGCAGTTTGTGCAGCAGTAAAAAAGCACAGGGGCTTTGAAAATTTGAGAACGTGGGAATTAACCTTAATTTTTACTGGGAATTGTCTTGTGGAAATTGTCTAAAATTCCATGTATGGAATGAGCTGGGATTGTCAATTTTTGAGGGTTAGGGGGGCCGTAATTTAAATCCCACGAATGTGCGTTTCCTGTCCTATTTTCATGCCCAATTACCAGACCGCATTTGCTCATCCGAGCGTGGATTTTTACCCAATTCTAACATTATATTTCCATATCCAAATGACCCCGTATTGGTGTTGCACACTAATGTAGTAAGGTTGTTATATTGGTTATTTTTTCCCCGTTGAATCAGATCTTTTTCATTTCTTAGCAAATGATCTGATACAACGAGATGGGTCTGAAGTTTTTGAGATGCTTTGCTGTAGGGATCTTAGGTATAAAGTGACATTGACTCCACTTAGCACTTAGCAGTCTATTGTGTTGAAAGAAATCGAACACCCCATGTGTCACTTCTGGACATACTATATCAATATGTCAGGTTCTCTTTAAAAAAAAAAAACTAGTTGTAAATCCATCAAGGATTGGATCTTTGAAAGAATACATACCAAATATGGCTTCCCTAACATCATCTACTGTCACCTCAAAAATCAAACTAGCTTGCTGCTCCTGCATCAGTATCTAGGGCTGGTAACCGGTTCGGTAACGGTTAACCGGTTACCGAATTAACCGGTTACGGTATACCGACTGCCTCGAAACCACGGTCGAATGCCGATACCGGCTTGTAGCCGGTTAACCGGTTACCGAACCACCGGTTATCGGTACCAAACCGGTAATTACCGAAACGCCGAGTCAAGGGGAGCAAAACACATTTCGGTTCGGTTAACCGGTAAGTAACCGGTAACCGATTGTGGGCAGAAGGGTGATGGGAGGCAGGCAGCAGCTCTCGGCAAATTTTTTTAAAAATTCATCTTAATATCTTTTTGAGCAAGCGCTAAAGTAGCTCCTAAAAGTACTGTTTTGTTTTTTTTTTATATATTTTATGTACTCAATAATGTAAGTCTTAACTCTTATTAAAAATATTAAGAGTTGTTATAATTTATAACATTACAATTGTCATTTGTCAAACCATAATTGATTTATAAGTTATAATAAGTTCAAACTTCAAATTCTGAAATTCATTAAGTATCATCAAATATTGAAATTGAAATGGACGATAATCAACATAATTGTCAATCAACCAAAGCGCATAATGATTAATGACAATGTCTAAAATCTAAATTCACACAAGTTCAAACTTCAAACTTAATAATAAAAATGGATCTCATCTTAGAAGTACCCAAATAACACAACATAAATAAACGCATAAACTAGTTACTAGCTAGCATCTCATGCTCCTCCTTCTCCGATAGAACTTGTTGTCCCACCACCAACATTAGCATATCCTTTCTTCTTCAAAGTTTTAAGAAGAGTAACGTTGGGATCGTCATCGTCACTCTCACTCATATCATCACTCCCAGTCTCCTCGGAATCTTCCTCCTCCTCCTTGTCCTCCTCAACAACCCCATCAGGTAAGCTATGTGCTCTAACTTCAGTAGCAGTTTCCACTCGAGCATGGAAAGTATTAGCCGCTAAAACAAAAAACACAAATATTAATGATTTAAATATGGAATGGCTTAATTAGTTAATTATTAGTAAAGAGTATATACAATAATACAAATAAGAAGAATGAATTGAATTCTTACCATTCTCAAAGTCGAATGTCTCCTGATCTTCTTCCTTATCATTCAGTTCATCTACAGTCTTTCCACTTTCATACCTTATCCAATCTTCAGCACAAATCAAGGCCTCTACAATGTTTGGGCTCAAAGATGATCTGAAAGGACTAGGAACTCGACCTCCACAACTGAAAGCGGACTCCGAGGCAACAGATGATACTGGAACTGCTAATATATCCCTAACCATCTCTGCAAGAATGGGATATCTAACACTGTTCCGAGACCACCACTTCAGAATGTCAAACTTCCGATCATCAAGCTCCTCGTTAACAGCATCACCAACATCTCTCAAATATGACTCCAACTCACCAGATACTCTACCCCCCCCCCCCCCCTCTCAAGTTGCTCCTTTCTCTTCTACTGGAACCGAGCTTCAAATGCACCTCCCAAAACAGAATCCTCTCCACTAGTCACAATATCTAGAGTAGTCTGAGTAGTAGCTTCGGAATCAGAATGTGAAGATGCATACTTCACCTTGTAGACCTCGAACAATAGTATCATCTCTTTCTTCACCTGATCTGCCAAATCTTCCCCTTTTGACTTTCCATACATCTCTTCCAACATCATAGTCAAATAGTATAGTTTACGTCTTGGATCAAGCACACAGGCCATGTAAACTATCCTATTTATTCTAAGGTTATCCTCCTCATCATTAGCATCATTCTCAAACCAATACTTTCTCACCTTTGCCTCTATTCTTTCTGCCATTCTTTGTATCTGTTCATCTGCATCCTTCTTCAAAGTAGCAATCACTTCATGAATATCAACAATGGCTCTGCAGAAAGTATGTGCAGTGACATATAATGTACCTGATACAATGAAAAAATGTAAGTGAGAAATCATAAACTTTAACTTTAAGAAATGAATTTTAAAATTTTATAGTTCATTCACATACCTGATACACGAAGAGTAAGATCATAGAAGAACTTCAGGTATTTCATGAGACGCCTAATGCTGCTCCAATCTTCTCTAGATGGAAGACCCTTCTTGGAGTCCACATAGTCTCGAAAGGAAGCATCAGTAGGACTATCATACATAAGAGAAAACACCTTCTCAAACCTCTCTGCAGACTCCAACATCAGATAGGTGGAATTCCACCTAGTCGGAACATCCAAAGACACAAGTCTTCTACCATCCATCTCTAGGTAGTCGATGCTAGACTTGAACTTTGCACTCCGAGCTGGTGATGACTTCACCCATTTCACACAATCCCTTACCCTCTCCACAGCAACTCCAACCTCTTTCAAACCATCAGAGACGACCAGATTGATTATATGTGCCACACATCTATACTGCAGATACTTCCCATCTAGCAAATCCGATCCCCACCCTTTCAGTTTTGTTCTCATATAGTCAACAAGCACATCATTGGAAGTGGCATTATCCATTGTCATGCAAAACAGATTCTTCACTTTCCATTCTTGTAGACATGCTGCCAAAGTATCTGCAATATCTCTCCCTGTATGACTGGTAATGGGAACAAAACAAATAATCCTCTTCTGCAGTTTCCAATCAGCTCCAATAAAATGTGCAGTCACACACATATAATTCTGGTTATTATCAATAGTCCATGTATCTGTAGTGATAGAAATCCTTCCTTTGCACTTTGAGTTAAAAAACTCAATCAACAACTCTTTCTTCTCCATAAAAATGACATAACAATCAGATCTAATTGTTTGCCTTCCAGGTATCACAAACAAAGGCTGTGATACTGCCATAAATCTCCTAAATCCTTCCCGTTCAACAAATCGAAACGGAAGCTCATCCAAGATTATCATGGTAGCTAATGCATGTCTAGCTTTGTTCTGATCAAATTTCCATAGAGTAAGAGAGCCTACCTCACCAGTCCCACTAGCTTGATAGTTTAATACCGACTGCCCACTAGATTCCTTCGACCTCCTCTCGCACATCAGATGATGGTTTTTCAAACCAGAAGTGCCATTGTTGGTAGAATGAACTTTGATCAGCGTCCCACACCGTTTGCATTTTCCAAATGGATAGTCATCCACTAGCACCTCATCATAAGGGATCCACCACTTAGACGTCTTCTTCCTCTTACCCTTGTCAATTTTCTTTTGCACACCAGGTACCTCACTAGCAACACCAGTAGCTGTAGTAGTAGCCGGCTTTGCTTCAGATGGAGGTGGATTTGCTGGAGATGGAGGTGGATTTGGTGCAGATGGAGGAGGTGGATTTGGTGCAGTGGAAGGTGCACTCGTTGAAGCCTTCCCTTTCTTTTTCTTAGAAGAGCTTTCTGGACGAGGAGGTAGCGAACCAGCTTTCTTTGATTTTTTTCGTCCTACAAAAGTACAAGAAATGGTAACATAATCAGATAATCTCATTAACTTCCCATTAGACCAACACAAATCACAAATGGTAACATAATCTCATTACTAACTTTCCATTAGACTAAGTGACTAACAGTCTATTACTCTATTTAAGTCAAGATGATGCTGACCACTAATCAGTGCAGTGCCTTATTTGGATTTCAATTGGAAAACAACCTCCAGTATGTGACAATTATGGAAGAAGAAAAGCTTTTACAGCTAGCCAAATTATCAATGAAATATATACTGTTTGCATCTCTGCTCATGTTTCTTAGGGATATAATTAAATTCACTAATTCAGTAGCCAAGTTAAAGTGTTAAACATCACATTCATTCACAATTTCTGAATGTCACATACATTTTTTGATTTTCTAATGATTCAATGTCAATCTTCTGGCTGGCTGCTGCTGTTCACAGTGCGGCTTGGTGGCTGCCTCCAGGCCGCCTCTGTTTAGCCTCCAGGCCGCCTCTATTCGACACCAACACCAAAAGTACAAAATTACAAACACATTCATCTCAAACAGGAGGGGTAGGGACTGGGGGAAGAAGAAAGATGAAGGCAAGAGAAGGAGAAGGAGACTTACAGAGCGGCGGCGACTGGGGAAGAGGAAGGCGTCCGGCAAGAGTGGCGTCGCGGGGCGGCGGAGCGGCGTCGGCCGTCTGCAGAGTCGGAGAGGGAGGAGAACAGGGAGGGAAGGGTGGAAGGCGGCGGAGCGGCATCGCGGGGCGGCGGATGGGCGATGGGCGAGGCGGCCGCTGCGACTGCGAAGTCTCTTCTCGGCGGCTGGGTGGAGACTGGAGACGAAAGACGATGGAATGGAGAGTGGACTGCTGGATGGAGAAGGCTTCTAGGGTTTTTAGGTTTTTTTTTTTCACCATCCGTCCCTCCCAAAACGCAGAGTTTTGTCCCTCACGGTATCCGGTTAACCGTCCCAGCGACGGTATTTACCGTGTGGGGAGGCGGTATACCGAGGCGCTGTTTTTACCATTCGACTACCGGGTTTTTCGGTTATCGGTATAACCGGTAACCGCCGGTTACCGGTTCGATTACCGGTTATACCGATAACCGGAAAACCGATTTCCAGCCCTATCAGTATCCCCTTAATTCTCTCTCTAATTTTTTTTCATTTGGGATTTGGTAATGGAAGCTGGCAAAGTTGTGAGACAAATCCACCATAAATTCTTGATAAAAAAATTAACTAAGCAAACAACGTGTAATCTTCCAAATCCATTATGCAACAAATCAATCATAAATCCAACAGTTTTTAAAACCCAAAACCTTCATTTTCAAATCCAGCAACCAAGCGAATCCTATAAACCTTTTCCTTTCGATCTCATCAATTCATATCCACAACCATCAATCTTATGTCTTTGTGGAGGGCGAAGTTGACAATCACGCTGCCAAGTTCATTGGGTTGCACTCTCCAAGTGTCACTCCACTCCACCCACAATAGACACTAGTGCTAATTAGTTCTCTCCGTTCCAATAGTAAAAAAATTTCTCAAAATAAATTTAAAATTTTCCTGAAAACCCAGAAATCCAAACGATGCCTGTTAGAAAAAAATTCTCGTAAGTTGTAGTGTTTGAAAAGTTATTCGAAATATAAAAAATTGCTCCAATCAGAAGACAAATCACAAAATTACGACTATCCAAATTTTATCAAAATCATAAAATAGGCCCATTTGGTGTAGCAAACAACCTAGTTTGGAGACAAAAGCGGCAGTTTGCGGCTACATATATATGAAAAGTTATGCAAAATAAAAATATATTGTATCGATCGGATAACCGAGTGAAAAGTTTGATACCTCTATTAAAGTAGTGAAATCCACGAGTAAGAACCTTAGACTCTAGAAATATGTAGTTAGTGACTTTCTTCTTTGTCAACAAATAATTTATTTGAAGTAGTAATTGGTATGAGCGACATAAATAAAATTATGCACGTCACAATTGTACGTGGGCACCGGGCCGTGCCGCCCACGGGCTAGTACGACACGGCACGGTTAGAGCACGACACGAGCACAAAATAAATGGGCCAGCCCGGCACGAGCACGAATAATTTATGGGTCGTGACGGGCCTAAACTTCATGGGCACAGGCACGAGCACGGGCACGGCACGGTATATAAGTGGGCCGTGTCGGGCCTAATATTTTTGAGACTTTATTGAGTATAAGAACGGACATGACACGAAAATAATATTTATTGATAGAAAATAAATATAAAAAAATATAGGTTCAAATATTACAAAACACAAGTAGAAAAAATAATTATTTGTTGTTGTTAGAAGTGTCATAAAGATATATACGTAATTACTAACATAAGTAAAAATGGACAAAGAATTAAACATATCCAAATCACACTCGCTATAGTTTCAATTTTCTTTCCCCCCTGATTTGTTACTTTTCTCAAACATTATCGATAAATACTATCTTTCTCCGTCCAATTTTCACCTTCTATTTCATTATCTCTTTTGTTTTCGTCCTTTTCATTAAACACGAATACGAGTATGACACGAGCACAAATAGGCCCGGTACGATTCGAACCGTGCCTGGGCCTGAGCCGGGCCTAGCAAAGTTGATAAATGGGCTTGCATGGCACGACACGAAAACTAACGGACCGTGCCAAGCACGGCACGAAATAAATGGGCCCGAAGCGTGCCCGTGCCCGTGCCGGCCCAAACACGGCCCAACGCCCATGTACAGTCATAATTACTAGTCAGATCAATGTGACACAAAGAGAGAGGTGTCAAAACCACTATATTCCTCCAAATTTACAAGAAATATATTGTAAACGTTGATAAACTTGCATATTCAATAATGATAAAATTGCTTTTGCGGGTTCGGTCACAACCCATCTCTCACCTGATTGGACCTGATTCAAACAAAAATGTAGAGGAATATTAAACTATAATAGTACCAATTTGTTAATAAGCGATTAAATCATTATGAAATCAAAACACCTCCCCCACTCAATGTTTGTCCCTACTCCTGTTACATACTATGCTCTTTCTTGTCGTTGAGCAAGTTTGGTCCTGCTATAGTTTTACAGAATCAGCTTCTGCATTGAGTTTTTAAAGAATTACTAAAAAAAAAAAAATAGTTGAATGTTTGGCTGAAAAACTGTTGGAAGTGTTTTTTAATATAAGAGGTCAAATTACTAAAAAGTATCCCGATATAAAATATGAATAAAAGCTCTAAGAAAATAAAAATTAGCCAAAATGGATCTTGTTAGATTTATTTTATATTGAATAATATTACTTTTTCATTATTTATTTTCAAAATGAAATAAAATTATATTTTCGAAAATAAAATTATATATGATAAGGATAATCTTGTATTTTCAAAATAGTTTTTTTTTGCTTTTATGCTATACAAAATTACTTTTCAATTTTTCAAGAGTCGAGGTTTTAGAGGTGTTTGGACATGCTTCGCCTTTTGGAACAGAAAAACACTTCTAAAAGTCGAGCCAAACATTGACATTATTCCAAATAGGACAGGGAAACGGTGCAGTATGGTCCAGATCAGACCATATATATGGTCTATGGTCTAGATCAAGAGGTTGAAGTATAGATCACATCACAGACCAGATTACGTACTATACAGCTCAGACCAAACCACGCATGTGACTGTGAGGTCTGGTCTGGTACGGTCTGGTCCAAATAGACCATAATGAACGAGAAATGAACAAATTGTTTAGTCAATCACACATAAAATGGAATTAATAAATGAGAAAAAAAAGTTTTGTTTTGCCCTAAAACATAAACTCCAACATGCATAAGAATTTCGATGCACTAAATCTCAGTAAACAACATAAACACAAAGTCAAAGCATCCCAACTTGCACCATAACATCATAAACATTAACATAATATCATATGGACACATGATCGTCTCAACTCTCTTTTGAAATGTGGTTGTGAATGCAAGAGGAGACAAGTTTCTCAAACTAGGGTTGAGACTTGGGTCTAGTTGGAGGAATTGCGAGAGTGGTCAAGTGACCTGCTAACATGTATTGATAAGTCGATTGGGTCCACGGTTTGGTTCGGTAAACCGCAGTCTAGACCAGACCAAGAGATCAGAACATTGTATAATACAGACCATGGACTGGATCAGACCATTCTTAACGGTCTACGATCTGGTTTGGTCCATGATTTTTCCAACCTTCTGGTCTATTTTTCCTGCCCTAATTCTAAACTGGGGTACGTTGGAAACTCAGAGATTTTGTATAGTCTCATAGCTTCACCATTATGTGTTCAAGCTCCGACTCACGGAAGCATATTTGATCGGCGAAATTTCCGAACAATAACTTCGGAGAAGTTTACAAGATCCTGTTGTGATAAATTCTTAACGTTCTTTCGCTTAGGTAAAATAATAATCTAGCTATAACTTTACAGCAAATTGATTTTTTGAAAGTTAAAAAAGTGATACGCCACTTAATATTAATAGACATAATCGAAAAATTATAACCTAACTGATTAAAATGTTGAGCTTAATTATTTTTAAAAAAAAGTGTTATAGAATCACTGACTTTTCGTTAATACTGCAACTCTGGTCTCTGAAAGCAACATTTGTTGATCGGCTAATTTATTGGGAAGGAAAGGAACGTCTTTGATAGCTGTAATTGTAGTTAGATGTCATATATGGAGTGGAAGGATGCTGTATATATGGTATGCAGCCGGCCAGGCAGGCAAAGCTGAAATACTAAATTACTAATAAGCAAGGATTGAAAAATCTTACTGCACGTATTGCTGTTTCGACAAGGAATTTTTTTTATCAAAAGTGAAATTTGTAGATGATATTTAATGGTATAACGATTGAACCACAATTAAATCGTGATTTCAACATCATTTTAGGTACGACATTTTATCCTTGCTAATAAGAAGTACGCAATATTTGTTGGGTCTGGCCGGCCGGCCATAGTTGTCCCATGGCACTCCTTCTTTTCCATTTCCTCAAAATCTGTTGATTATTTTTCATATATCGTTATTACAATAAAATGAATATTAATAACCTCCAATATTGTTAATTAGATTAGTTTAATAGTGTTTCTTTTTTCGGGGGATGTATTTTTTTTTTAGGGTGTGGGATGTTATAATTAATAGCTCGAATGTTTTAATTTATAACGTTCCTTAATGGCCTGTTTACTTTATTTTTGTTTCCTGTTTTCGAGAAAACAGTTGATGAAAACAACATTTTGTCGTTTCCGAAAACAGCAGGAAGTTGCCACTTTCCGTTTTCATAGTTGAATATGAAAACAAAACATAACGAAATGTAAACAAGTCTTCTCATTTCGGTTGCCAAATTTATGATATGAAAACAGGAAACAGGAAACGAAAATGGAAAACCAATTAAGGTTGCCAAACAAGTTTTCTCAATACGTGGGCGAAGATGCGGCAAGCAAAGGTAGGGTCCATGCATGGGAAAACCAATTAAACCATGCAATCATGATTATGCGTTGAAATTCGATCGGTTGGTATAGCCACCAAGTAGCTAGGAGCAAAAATTCTTTTGTTGCTTAATCTTATTAGCCATCACTCACTCCATAACTATATATATGGTTCAACATTATCGTAGTTATTTAGACCATGAATTAATAGAAGTTTAACGCATAATACTATATCATAATTTTCAATGAATTGACTATGGTTCTCATCAGGATCGGATATGAGATTACAGAGGCCACTGTTCTATAACAAAATGTGGCCCAAAATTTTTTCGTAAAATATAAATAATCATTAATCAAATGAATAGGTGATAAGAACTTAATTGAATCGGAGAGGAGAATATAGCAGATTTGAAGAGTAGAAACAAAGAATATAAAAATGAATATTAGATAGGAGAAAGTGACCAATTTTAAGTCTAAAGTTAAGTATGTGTTACGAACTATTTGTAATTGATTCACTTCCTTTTTCTTTTTATTTTTGGTGGCTTGCGCCTTATTATAGTTAGCGTTAAAAATAAGAGTAGTAAGAAATCTCAGCTCTTTCATTCTCTCTACAAAAACACAAGACAACGAATGCGCTCTCTTATATGGTTTGGAAAAATTATATTAAGAAAGCAATTCTTCCCTCTCATGTGGTCCATTCGTTCTTTTAGATTATGAGTAGAAATTTCTTATTATATTAGACACATAATAAAAGCTCGATACATTAATTTCCTATGTTTTAATTTATAATTAAAACCCAACACTCCATTAAAGTAATTAACATTATACATAATGTAAGACTCTGAAGTGGAAGCCCACAATAATTTGCAGGTCCTTTACAGGATGACCTCCCCGCACACCACAGGCTCTGGTTCTCATTCGTCGAAGTACATTTAATAGGTGCGAGTGGAGACAAACATTATACGACAAAACGTACGCTAATCTTTGACATATATATTACCACATGGGGCATGATAATTGACTTGAATCACCTAAATAGGTGATTAGAAATATATTACTATAACAATTACATCCAACAACAGTATATTGAGAGATATATGAAATCGAAATTACCATATTCAAGAAACTACTCAAACCGATAGAAGACCAAAGATGACGGACGGGGAAGCCAATGATCAATCATAGTATCATAGAGTTGTATAACAGCAGGCAGACCATAATGATTATGTCTGATCATTATATATTAGTAACAACACCAAAATAATCTGTATGCTAATAATTGGTAAGTAAGATTATATTCATGACAAAACCAGTTGTACCAATTACTGTAGTTTCTCTGCATGAATAATTATATCACACTTAATACTTTGTATTGCGTACAATTTTTGTTACCTAGCTTGATTTTGTTAGTCTACATATAATTACCCGATCCAGCAGTAATCTTCTTAAATACAACTTTTAATTACTGAATGTGGTCTCAGCCGTCTTTCCCTTTTACTTGCCTTTTTTTCTTCTTCTCTAGGTCAACGCAAGTACAGAGACAACAACAGCCTGCTAATCTTGACTTCTTTTGGTTAAAGCTAAGCGCATTACTGTGCTTTTGTTTAACTAATTAACGATATTCTCTCCATTCCTAACACCCATTTAGCTAATTAATTAACAAAAAGCTCCCCATATGGGAGATATTATATGTTTTTATGTAGAGGATTAAAAAAAGGGGACCGGCAGGGAATAATAAGGGTGTACACAACGAACACTTTAGGTGGCAGCCAATTGAGGAGCAAGGTGGTTAGTGCTGTATCTGTCTGTACTCCAGCTCCAGCACGGTCAAAAGATGCACAGTGTCTCTCCATTCCCATCTAGTATTTGTAAAATCGTACTATATTCCGACTACTCGGAAATTTTTTAATAACAAAGTCGAAATCGCGATAGTTAGTTTTTAGCGTTATCAAAACGATTTAACATCAGTTAAATCACAATTTCAGCACAAAATACTTAATAGTTGAGCGGTGATTGATAGTAATCCCGGCCTTTCATCTCCCTCATCTCAATCATATATATATATACTCATTCTCCATCTAATCTAAACTCTATGGTAATCAGCCACCATATATATATATAATATACACTAATTCTCGACCTCTTTAGCTAGGGGTGGACAACAAGTTCGGTAAACCCGAACTGAATTAAACCAAACCGAAACCGAATTAATGTTATTCGGTTCGGAATTTGGAAGGAAAATATGGATAGTTCGGAAACCAGTGTTCTTTCAACCGAACTGAATTTCCGACCAAAAAACCAAAATACTATAATTGCAAGCTCCAAATGGTGGATTTGTAGTTGTTTTTAGACTAATGTTTTACGACTTACGTGTTGAAAAGTTTGATTGTATCATTGATGATTGCATATATTTGCATATTTATTGTTTATACTAGGGGTAAAAAATAATTTAAAAGTGAGAAGATACAAGTAGCTTAACAAATTCGGTTTTGTGTAAAAAACCGAACCGAATTATAATTCGTTTTAAACCGATCAAACTAAATTATAATTCGGTTCGAATTCGGTTTGAGGTTTGCGAGAGAATTCGATGACCCGATATTCATAATTTCGGTTCGATCGAAACCGAACCGACCGAATGCCCACCCCTATGACTTTAGCTAGCTAGTCATCTCTTTTCCCCTTTATGATTGTAGCCATCAACCATGGAAACTATATTTAACAAAGAAAAGCAGCTGTTCAAAGCTTTTTTTAAGATCCATTTATTACTTTCATGGACATAAATCGATCGGTCCCATTAATGCATGCCACTTGCATTCGACAACAAGCTGAAACTCAGACATAAAGCTCTACATAGTATACTATATTCTTGTTATCGCACAATTGCACCTTAGAGATCCTGTTGGACTACTGAACAAGCTGGGATACTAGCAGCTGCTGGCTGGCTGCTGCACCACAGCAGCAGCATTACTACCGTTATCGGGTTGGTCCAGCAAGCTGCTAATGGATCGAGCTTTCACCGCCCCAAGCTTGGACTTCTTCTTACTAGCAGGGAACACAAATTGCGACTCCTGCTGCTGCCGCCTCTTCTCCTCCTCCTCTTCTTCTTCTTCCTTATCTTCGTCGTCAACCCCATAACTACTACTACTACTTGGCAGCACCACTGCTCCAACGTGCAATTGTTGGACGGCCAACGAGCTGATGATCATCGACGATGGATTATGCTTCGTCTTTGGTGCAGTACTCACAGTAGTTGTAGTAGTAGTGTTGCTGGTGTTGCCCAATTGACGCGGTGGACGGAGATTGCTGGTGGCCGCAGTAATGCTTCTCATGCGGCCTTTCCCCAGGTGATGCTCGCAGAGAGAGTAACCCACGAGAGTTGGCTGCGAGCACCTCCATCCCCTCCCGTTTACTCGGCTGCATCGAGACCCTTCCATCACCACTCCACCACCACCACCTCTTCCTCCTCCTCCTGACGATCTCTTCTTCTTATCGTTACTACTATTCACACCATCACCTATCCCGCAGATGTGATCAGTACTACTGTTTGATGGTCTAATGTCGAAGTAGGAGGAGGAGGAGGCTGAAGACGAGGACGAGGCCGGGGAAGATGACCAGCTGCTTCTCTTCCTGGATGGGAAGAACGGTGACAACTTGTTATTAGTAACATCATCGTTATTCTTCACATCTTGACAATGGTATTCTTTGCACCACGATGATACTGCGCAAGCCCAATGTTAACTAGTGTTACACAACACGGATTGCTGCAATGGTGCAATAAAAGTGGAAGAGAAAGATTGGACGATCATTGTTACTTATAATTACCAGGTGGTAGATGGGAAGCAGAAGCAGAAGCAGCAGCAGCATTGTTGGCATTGATCCCAAATTCATCTTTCCCATCTTTCCACGATATCTAATTAAGCAAAAAGGAAATAAATAAATAAATAAAAAAGCATATCAGAAATAAAAGGCACAGTGGGATCTAGGTGGATCGATGGATTGGATCCACCCAATCATTTCTCCCCTCTCTTTACTGCTTGTTGCTGGTGCATCGAATTTTTTTTTTCTGAAAAAAAAATTACTAAAAGAAAGCAGCTCTTGCGATCCCAGCCAGCGAAATTTAACTTTTACGAATTGCAGTTCGATCGGAATCACAGTCAGCCACGAGGCGAGGAGTAACAATCAGGAAGAAAAAGAAAAAAAATTTACAGCCAGGTAAATTTTGAGATGAATTGAAAAAGAAAGAAAAGAGGGAGGAGGAACTCACCGGGTAAATCGGGTGCGCCGGCCCAATGCCACCGGAACGAACAGTCGGGCCTGCTGCTCCACCGCCACAACAAGCAGCAGCAGCAGCAGCTTTGTTGTCATCGGAGGCGGGAATCGGCGGTCTCGTCACCGAAGCGCCGTGGCGGAGTTGCACCAGCGGAGTAGTAGCGGCGGTGGGGTCGGGATCTGGAGAGAGGAAAGAAGGAGCTGGGATTGGAACTGGAGAGAGCAAATGGAACGGCAGCGGCACCTTCCTCTTCCTGATCCTCATCGGATTTCCCTCCCCGCCACAGCAGAGAGAGATCGAGAAGCGAAATCACGAAGCTGCAAAACTCACGAGATCGATCGAGAACGCAGAAGAGAAACAAATTGATCGATCTCCCTTTCGTACTCTCTCTTTCTTGTTGAGTTTCAGTTTCCTCTGAGATTCCAGAAAAGAATCGCTGCCTTTTTTGTATGAGTTGGCTGCTGCGGCTGTGGGAGGGGAGAGGAGAGGAGGGTGATGAGGCAATTGTTGTTGCACCACAGAAAAATGTGTGAGAGAGAGAGAGAGAGAGAGAGAGGAGGAGGAGAAAGGAAGAAGAGGGAAAAGGAGAGCTGCTGGCGGCACGTGTGGGCGGAGGTGGGAGAGAAGAGAAGGGGGAGCGCACGTGCGAGCTACGGGTTGGAGAGGAGGAAGAGACAGGGTACGGACAAAGTGACAGGGTGTATGACACGCAGGAGAAGGAGGCGAGCTAGGTGGCAGTGGGGCCCGCCCAATCACAGACTCCACTTTCATCGTTTTTTTCACTTTTAATTTTAGTATGCGGTTAATCTTAATTAATAAAAAAAAAAGGTTCACATTTTTTTACCCGCTTAGGTTAAAATCATATGAAATAATGAGCTGAGTGAGTGTTGCTGAAAATTAGACGTGACACAGTTGAATATTGTGATGGCTTGGCGTGGTTGGAGCTTTGGATAAGTAGGGAAAAGGAAGTGCCAAGGAAAATAAATTTAATAAAAAATAATAATAATTTGGAGGGAAAATGACGTAAAACTGAAAACATTAATTGGATACCAAATTGGCCATCACTGGTTGGGATGATGATGGAGGTTAGGGTTGGCTATTTGGTTCCGGACTGTTTGGTTTTATCCGAAATCGGACCGTATAACCCGGACCGGGATTGGACTGAGACCGGATAGCAAACAATCCAATCTCATATTCGGGCTTAGATTTGAGGTAAAAAACCGGATAAGAGATCGCCAACACCTAAAATCAAGATCAAATTGGGACCAGACCAAATCAAGACCGGACTGTATCCAATCCAATCTTTGATCCTTATATTCCCGAAAAGACCGGACTGAAACCGGATCAATTTGGTCCAATTTAACCGGACTGTATAATCACCCCTAATGGAGGTTGATTTAAAAAAAAAATACAAATAAACAAAGGGGCATGATGGTCCTACCTCCAGCCTGACCTACAAACAAATACCCTCTTCCGCAAAATGTTTCCCTTTCCGTTCCTGTTGTTTTCCCGGGGCTTCGTTCAATTGGGTTGTTTTTATATGGGCTTTTCAATTGTTTTTTTCCCCCTAGTACTGCAATGCGCGCTTTTATCTTCGATCAACTCTTTTCTGGCCCAATTTCAGACACGAAAAATATGTCTATGATCAGCGTTGTTGAAATCGGCCCAATCATGCTATCGCATCTCTCTATCTACGTGGGGGACGGGACGAGACGAGACGGACTACCAAGTTCCGTTTGAAATGGGTATCAAATTCCGTTTGAAAAGCAAAGTTCATCCCATGTCCCAAATTGATAAGGATTAATGAGTACCAGTTATCCGACGAATAACAGGTACCCAAATTACACGTACATACCCGTCCAATTGAGAAGGCAAAAGTTCTATAGAGCTGACATAAAGCTCAATGAACGTGGGAATTTCAATTCATTGAACAGATGGAAGCTGACTGTATGTTTGTAAGTGAAATACCTGTGAATACATATATTGGGACTTCGGGAACAAAGGAAGCTGACTGTATGTTTGTAAGAGAAGCTAAAAAATTTTGTGGATCCAATTCCTTCCACTTAATTCGCCCCATTCTCGACCCATTATTTATAAATTAAATGTAATTTTATTCAAATTATTTATTATTTTATTTTTATTAGATATTTTAGATCTAACAAAGTTGTAATTAGTTGAAAATCTCCATTTTCCAAATAATTTACCTCATTTACCATGTCATATTTTGTTTCTCCATTTTTTAATAAAAAAGTAATGCTTGAAATGATTTTCCTTTAAAATATATATGTAGAGCAGTCAAAATTTTGATTTAAATCATAAAATTGTAAGATTTTACTTATTGTTCCAATGTTGATTTCACTGTAAAATATGTATATGGACATTAAAATCCTAAATTGTTTCACAGCTTAAATCTTTAAAACCTCAAAATTTTAAAGGATTTTAACAATTTTAAGGTCAACGTTGAATTTATTGAATTAATTTGAACCAAGTTAAAGTTATCATATCAAATTTTTGGCTTAGTTAACGCCCCATCAACAGCATCTAGTTCTCTCTCACTATATTAAAGACCCCTTTGCTACCATGTAAGAAAACACCAAAATCTATCATATTCAAGATGAATAAAATATTAAGATTGATCTATAATGAAGAAAATACTAGGACACTACACACAAGAACTGATAGCCCATAATAATGTACATTATCCAAGTACGTGTAAGTAATAATCTTCCTATAGCAACTTTGTTGTCGCGAGTGACTACTCTCTATAAGTTTAGATGTAAGTTAGTTTGTTTGCATTTGTGTTGAATATAATTGGAACAATAATCTTTGAGAAACTATCATTTTCAGTGATATGTGTGTTTTGTAATATTCATGATTTATCTTATTAATATTATTAGGTTTTTATTTCTGTATGAACCTTAAAATTCTACCATTTTACAATTTCGATTTGCATATATGAATGAGTCGAACCGATCGACCGACCGACACTCAGAGGTAAAATACCTTAGCTGAACTCGACCTACCATGAAATGGATATAAATATTAAAATACGCATTCCAAGCTACTATAAGTAGAATATGAGTATCGACACCAATCACCATCCAATTATAATTTGCCCATTGTCATTCCGAGCCCTAATACACTGGAAAAGTCCTTTATTTTATGGAAAGACCTCGGAATTTACTCTTATCATATGCAAAAAATGTCAAAGTTTGGTACCAAGTAAATAAGGGTTAATTGCATGGTTGGTTACTGAGATTACAAAAAATGTTTAAGTTTGGTCACTCAAAATATTTAAATTCATTGGTGGTACTTTAGTTTACTGAAACCGTTCACGTTTGGTCACTTTCCGTCCAACTCTGTTAACTTTTGCTTACATGGCGGTCAACTCTAAAAGTTGACCATTAAATGTATGATGTGGTAACTTAAAAAATAATAAAATTAAATTTGAAAATTATAATCTCATTTCCAACTCATTATCACTTTTATTTAAAATAAATAAAAACTCCTAATTTCCTCTAATCCCCCAATACCAATACCCGCTGGCACCCTGCCAATCCATTATCAGCAAAGAAGAAACTCCAAATAACACAAGCCAAGAACAAACCCCAATCTTCCTCTGGAAAGCAATAACAATTTCCTTGTTCAACACAAGCTCTACGTAATTCGTATACCCAATAAGACTACAGCTGGAAGATAGGCGACTAAGACGAGGCATCTGTTTCGGCCAAAGATCCAACGATGGCTGCAAACCAGTCAATGGAGACAATGGAGGCATTTCAATATTTATATACCTCTACAGCAGTAAATAGCGAGGAAAAGAGGCTGACCTGATTTCAGGATTGCCGGAGATGTTGCGGATAAGCTGAAAGGCACAGATTCCTACAGCAACTCCCGTCGCGGCGAACAGAGAATACACCTGCGGAAAATCCAATCACCAACCACACGATTACGAACGACATAGTTTCATATCTACTCATCTACCTGCTCTTTTCTTTTCTAGCTGAGAAAGAGAGAAAACGTGCTATGAAGAAAGTGAAGGGATCTGAAAGTTCATTACCTCAAGCCTCAACCACCGATTGCCGCCGCTCATAGCTCAGATCGTCGGAAGAAATGGAGGTTGAGGACTTGAAGCTAGGGATGCAGAAAAGACGCGGAGAAGAATGGAGGGATGAGAGGAAGGAAACTTCAACTTGACAAGGAAGGAGAATTCAACTATTTGGATTGAAAGGAGGTCTTGCTCTCTTCTCCATTCTGGCTCGCCTCCACCGTTGACGAGATAATAGCCGCCTTGGGAGGTCACCGGAGGCAAGTAGTGGTCTCAAATTCTCTCCCTAGCTCTCACGGTTGTTCCCGTAGCTTCTTCCTGAGGCTGGAATTTGATTCAGCACTGGGAAATGGAGAGATCTTAAATGTTTGTCACGTCACACATTTAACGGCCAACTCTAGAATTGACCGCCACGTAAGCAAAAGTTAACGGAGTTGGACGGAGAGCAGCGGCGGATCCAGGACATAAGAGAGCACTGGGCCGCATTTGAATAAAATATTAGATACCATAAACAAAAATATATAATAATATAGTTTTCATTACAATGCCAATTGTACAAGAAGATCTTTTAATTTAATAAATTCATCAATAATATAATATCAATCCATACGGATAATATACTCTTTTTCAGAGAAAATAGATAAATAATCAACGAGATATTCATCGCTCATTTTGTTGAACAAATCAATGTTCATGTTCCATTGCTGAAAATATTCTCTCCGTGGTAGTTGTTGAAACGGCTAGGTCAACACTAGACAAATCAACCAACAAATCAATTTGTATTGTGTGTCCATTCCGGTTTCCTCCAGCTTCTCTAATAATTTTGCAAGAGAAGAAACTTCATCTTCCTCACATGAGTAGTGCATTCTCCAAAGAATGCATCTCATAGGCCATAGCCTTCAAAATCTCGAGGCTAAACTCTTGAGCAAGTTTGTAAATATTTTCTTCATCAAAACACCAGAAAGAACGGTTAGAATCTAGTGCCCCACTCAATTGAGGCAATTTAAATGATAACTCAGCACGTTTGTAAATATTTTCTTAATCAAAAAAATGGAAAGTAAACCAGCTCGACGGGCTGGCGGAGAAATCCATTTTGGGTCTGCCCGTCTCCTCGTTCTTGTTTTGTTTTGGGGGGATTGGAAATTTTTTTGAATTTTGCAAGGAAGGGTGTGCTTTAGTTTAGAGTTTTTATTTTATTTTATTTTATTTTAATGAAACTTTACACTTTTAGGTTTTCATGTCTTTTTCAAATAAAATCATTTGGGATATAGAAAATTTAGTATAAATTTAGAGTGATGGTTTGGATATATTCATCTGAACCATTTTCCTAGTTACACAAAATTCTATTATCAAATAAAACTAGACAGGATTTTAACTAGCACTGGACCAAATACCTAAATCGAAAAAATTTATAAGCACTAAACTAACTCTGGATGAGGAGGAGGGCTGGGCCGGGGTCTGGGTTGGGCCAGCCCTGGATCCGCCACTGACAGAGAGTGACCAAATGTGAACGGTTTCAGTAAACTAAAGTACCACGAATGAATTTAAATATTTCGAGTGACCAAACTTGAATATTTTTTGTAATCTCAGCGACCAACCATGCAATTAATCCAAGTAAATAATGATATGAATTAACAATCCTCCCTCACCGGCTCTCTCCCATGCACACCCACGAATCATTTTTGTATGATTGGTATCTTTTGCATTATATGGATTGGCAACCACAATGGGTTCTAGATTTCAAACTATATAGTCAAAGCATTACATTACAGTACCCAATCATGCTTACTCATTTAGTTTTTATATCCTAAAATTCATTTTTCTCGAGCGCAAGCCTAGAACAGTAAACAAGAGTGGTTGAGCAGTCATATCATATCTCGAACGCAAGACCCTGGTGGTGGAAAAACATAATATCCTGTTGCTTGGTTGTCGATAACAGACTTTCCGCTTGAAGTTTACTCGATACCATTCCAGGCACACGCATTCTTGCCTTGCGGTACAATAAAGTTGCAATTCACTAGTTATTTGGGAAGCTCTCCGAATCTGGGAAAAAAAAAACTCGAGGTTATTTGGATTCCTCGGTCACTTCCATATGCCCACTATACAATCCAACTGTAAATTGCTAAGTTAATGCACAGAAGGCAACAGATTTGTAGCCAGTCGAGTGGCAACAGAGTGACAAAACGAAAGGCAACCTGTAAATAGCAACAGGATTTTTGCGCTATAATGAGCAATCACACAAAACAAAAAAATTGTTAATCTTTCACTTATTATATATGAACTAATAATTTCTTCTGGCCAATGAATCGGACTTGACTTTAATCCAGTATATACGATTTGGATTTAGTCGTAGCATGCATATATAAAGCGATATATTAATATTTATATCTTCATAGAAACGCGCTTACTTTTATGTCGCAATCCTACGACTTTGCGGTAATAAAGCTAATTAGATAGCCAATCATATTTTGTTGGTGCCTTGCATTGCATATATATGCATCACATTGACTTCCACCGCTACCTAAGCTTCTCGATCCCCTGCCGTTGTTTGCTTACCCAGTCACCTAACTATTTATAGGGCGTACTATTTGTAGCTCTAAATTATCTTTATTTGTAGTCCTAAATTATAAAAAGTACAATAATACTCATCACATTTAAATATATTTAGTTCACCCATTTCAAGACCAAAACATTCAAACACTTTTCCAAACACAATCCTACAATACTCGCCGCCGGCGACCGCCACCTCCCGCCGGCGACCGCCACCTTCCGACGACGACAGACCCTTTCTCCGACGAGGTACGCCGGCAAATTACCCGACGACGACAGATTTTGCCGTCTGTCACCGGCGATGGTCGGACGTCCTGCCGGGGTGTCGCCGGCGACGGACGAACGTCATGCTGGGACGTCGCCGGTTTTTTATTTTATTTTAAATTTTCTGTTAATTTAAATTTGTGAAGTATATTAGATATTTTAAATATATATTAATTTATATTTTTCGGTTATTATTTTAGATTTTTTATAATAGATTGATGAATAATTTAGATTTTAAAGAACATTTAGTGATTTTATTACAATTCATTATTTTATGAATATTTTAATTATCATATTGTTTAGAAAAAAAATTTCTAATATTATTTTTAAAATGAAGTTATTGAATTTTAATTTTTCATATTTTGAAACTAAGTTGATGTTTCCTGAAAATAATTTAGACTTTTAATTGCCATATTTTAAGAATATGTAGTGTTTTTATTGTAATTTATTATTTTATGAATATTGTAATTACCATATTTTTAGTAGGATTTGTTATAATATTATTTGTAGAATGAAGTTCTTTAATTTTATTTTTTATTATTTTGAAACTAAGTTAATGTTTACTAACAATAATTTAGACTTTGAAGAATATTTAGTGATTTTATTGTAGTTTATTATTTTATGATACTGTAATTATCATATTTTTTAGGATGGATTTGCTATAAAATTATTTTTAGAATGAAGTTCTTGAATTATATTTTTTATATTTTGAAACTAAGTTAGTATTACTGAAAATATTTTTCTTATATGTATTTCTTGAAGTTGGTCAAGTTCGGACTTCTGAATATCACTACATCAGATAATGAGTAACAGTTAAACTTTTTAATTTTAGAATCATGTTGAATTATTTATTGTTATGATGAAGTCTAGTAATTGATAATATACTTAAATATTTGCTTTACAATGATACATATTGTTTGAAAAATGTTTAATTATTGATTTTACTGTTTTGTTGATAATTTAATTAGTACGTGTCTACTTGTTAAAAACTTTTTTATTGCATGTTGAAATATTAGGATTTGGTAGTTAATCATGCTAAATGTGCTAATTTTTTGTTGAAAATGTATTGGATTAGTTAATGTTCGAATATTGAATAATTGTTAACAACGTTGTGTTGTTGATAATTTAATGAGTACGTGTCTACTTGTTATAAACTTTTTTATTGCATATTGAAATATTAGGATTTGGTAGTTAATCATGCTAAATGTGCTAATTTTTTATTGAAAATGTATTGGATTAGTTTATGTTCGAATATTGAATAATTGTTAATAACGTGTTTAATATTTTTTAATAAGAAGATAAATATAAAATCTAATATTGCAAACAAGTCATCAAATTTTCTAAAACTTACATAAGACTCAATCCATTTCAAATTGTAAGAATTCAATTTACAACAAACATTACAAGTCATGAAAAGTGTTGAACCTTATGTAAGACTCAATCTATTTCAAATTGGAATAATTTAATCTACAACAAACATTTCAAAATTAGTACAACTAAAAGTTGAGATTGTTGGTTTTAGATTTGTGTCACATTTTTCTTTCCATTTTTATCTCCAAAAGTTTTTGTCTTATTCTAAAAGTAGAGGGTAAATGTGATATTTCCCCATAAAAGTAACTTTATGTAAATCAATGCATAAAGTAGAATCTCAACAACCAAACAATGTATTGTTAAAATGCATCCATTGTATCAATACATGCATTTATATTATGGTGATTCATTACAATGCAACGATTTAGCATTCGCAACTTCCAAACGACCATTGAGATTGTATAATGCATCATTTTTTGTAATTGTTGGTAGGACCCATTGTTTTACACTTTGACACTTTCAAAAATTGTATTGTGCATAATACATATATTCAACAAACACAACTCTAACAATCACAACTTCAAAACAACTCCTAATTGTTTTTCTTTCCCTCCACTTCCCCTCTCCAATCTGTGGCTCTGTCATTAACTTAAAGACTACAGAACAAGCACTTCATTGCTCAATCTCTTTTTTTTTTTTTTTTTTTCAGAACTTGAATTTTTTAGATTGTAGATAGCACAAAAGGGCGCAAACACGAGTAACATGTCTTCTTGATCAATACTAAGTAATTTCTTCCATAATGTATATCTAGCTATATGGCCATTATCCATAGTATTAATGATTCTAAAAAATGTACTTAAACTCGCCCGGGTGCTAGGTAAAAGAAAAATGCATCTTCTTTGCAATAAGCAATGGGCAAGACGTCTTGAGCGTGTTGTTGGCTCGACGACGATACCTAATCAGCACTGACCTGTGCCTACCTCTTGATATGCTATTAGGTTAGAGAAAAATCAAGATCGATCATTCTCCCTTTTTCTTCTTCCCCTCTGGGGTGTTGCTCACCGCTAGACTAGAGTTAGAGATGACCATCTTTAGAGCAACTTCTTATTCCTTTTTTGTGCTTCTTCTATCTCAATTTGCTCCGCTATTTTGCCACTATCTATTCTTCCTTTTTCATTTCTCCACACTATGTACTATATTTTACCATGTGTTGTTGAAGAGGGTTTATAAATGAGAGGTAGACGCAATGATATTGATTCATAAACTTATGATTCTAAACAAGTGTGAGATATTTTCATAAGTTGACGTAGGTCTAAACGCTTAGGCGACGCTTAGACATGCTAGTCACAAAGCAAAGTCTCAATGCCCGTCTTGAGCTTTCTTTAACCTTACTATATTATTACTATTTGTCTTTCCTTCCCCCTCATTTTCTGGGATTTTTCCAAAAATAGCACCTTTAAAAAAAATTACAAAAATAGCACTCAACCGAAAATATTTACAAAAATAGCACCATTTTTTATGGACCGCACCTTAGAGGTGCGGTAAGGTGCGGTCCATAATCCTGGGCCAAAATCGCATTTTGGTCAAGCGGTTTCAGGTCTGACCTACAAAAACCGCTTGGCCGAGGTGCGGTTTTGGGCGGTTTGTGTGTCAATTATTTCCGACACCAGACAAGCAGCCATGCAGATTCACAGACGTGGGGCTGCATGGCAGATGAAAAACGCGCCTCTAAGGTGCGGTTTTCATTGATGATTTTGCCTATAAAAGGCAACCGGGAAATCTTCTTCTCTTCAAACCTCTCCTTCTCCCTTTTCAATTTTCTATTGTAGCTCCATATTTCTCTAGTGTTTTTGCGGTTAACGTTAACTCGTAAGTTTTTTTTTGTATTACTTTTTATTGTGAATTGTGATTTTTATGATATTAGTTGAACTACTGTTTTTTTTTTGTGCAGATGGCATTCCAAAAGTTCACGCTTGGGTTACGGTGGAATGGTTACACAGAAGAGAGCGGAAAGGGAGTCACCTACGTCGGTGGCAATTTTCAGAAAATAAAGGTCCCTACCAGACCGATGCTTGAAGACCTCTATCAAATGTGTACTAACGTTACTTGCATGGATGGCACGAGAAGAGTTGATCGTATGGTGTACCGATATCCAAACAGAGAAGGCGGGTCGTTGTGGCACGAGGAATATCTCATAACCACTCAAGATGAGGTAGATGCCAAGCTCGAATTCTTGAGGTCCAACAAACTTTCCAAAGCCGAGATGTTCGATTACATCGATCTTAGAAACACAGTCTTTTTGACAGAAAAAGGGGGGATCCGAGGATCTCTTAATACCCGATTTTCCCAGGGAATGAGAGGATATGATAATTGCTTAAACCCCCATTTCCTTAGACGTGCGTCTCTTTATAAAAAGTTGAAGTAAGTGGCGCTATGTATTCGATTAAATTATTAAAAACAACCAACACGATTAAAAATTCAACATAATTTATTTTATATTCCACTAAATACATTAGCAAAATAAAAGAAAGACAAATGGTGAAGAATTGTATGTACTGGGTGATCGTTCCAAACATCCCTTGACCGATGGTTGGGTTGGTCGTACAAGTCGGTTGGATCCAACGGTTCTTGCTCGAGATAATACCGTTGGTTGTATATATCCACGTCGTCCCCAACCTACGAGAAAATAACAACGAGGTTAGTATATAGATTAATTAAAAAGCTTATAACAACAACAAAAATTAAACCAGAATAATGAGTATGTATCGCTAGAAATTCATCAACATAAACTCCCTCTTCTTGCCACCAATTGCTCATTTTTTTGGGAAATTCGGACAGAGATTCGGCTCGGCTCGGCGGGTTTTGACTAAAAAACCTAAGAAATGTTTTCTGATGGCAGATCGGACTTAGCCGCAATCAACAGACCACTATTTCCTAGGCTTTTGGGAGGGGAGGGGAGGGGTTAGAGAGCTAATTCTAGAGAGAGAGTGTGAAGAATGATTGTGGTGTGAAAAAATGAGAGGGGGGAGGGGGTATTTATACCCATCAGACCGCACCCTCCAGGGGCGGTCGGGTAATTTTGTCCAGGTCAAAACCGCACCTTGCCGAGGCGGTTTGCACTCCCCGATGTTTGACCGCACCTCGGCGCAGCGGTCTTCGATCCGTGGCAAGGATCGCTGACCTAGCAAGCGGTCCGCCACTGGATCGCATCTTCATCCTGCAGTCCCAAAGGCCGCTGCCCACCAAACACAAAACGCACCTCCAAGGTGCGGTTTCCAGAATAAAACGCACCTCCAAGATGCGGTTTATACATACAACGCACCTGGAGGGTGCGGTTTACTTATAAAACGCACGTTCATGGTGCGGTCTATTAAAAATGGTGCTATTAGTATAATTTTTTCGGCTGGGTGCTAGTTTTATTATTTTTTTTAAAAGGTGCTAGTATTGGAAAAATCCCTCATTTTCTACTACCTTTCCTCCTTTTCCTTGACGACCGATTTGCACCTAATCCATGAAATGGGATCTCCCTGCAGTCATATATATATTATTATATGGAAGAGAAGTCGTCAACAACAGGAGCTAGCTAAGCCGAGGAAATTATGAGGAAAGTAACAACTTCTCCTTGCTGCCTCAATGCTTCCTCCTTCATCGGCTATATAAATTAACCACTCGCCAAACTTGCAAATATATCCCAACAAGATATAGCCACACAAAAAAAAAAAAAAAATACTTGATTAGCTTTACAGTTGACTTCAACAGAGAGCCAGAGATCAATATGGGAGTCCCTAGAGGAGCACACTCACCTTTAGCGACGATTTTCTTCGTCGCCATAGGGTTGCTCCTCCTGTGCCCAACAACAAACGCTCAACTAACTTCCACATTTTACGCCACCACCTGCCCGAACGTCTCCAGCATCGTCAGCACCGTGATCCAGCAAGCTCTCCAGTCCGACGCCAGGATCGGCGCCAGCCTCATCCGCCTCCACTTCCACGATTGCTTCGTCCAGGTAAATATAGATTAACATTCAACACTAAACCTCTTTAGTGACCACCACCGCTCAATCTTTTTGCGACGAAGAAATTAAAAAGCGTGATGATGATTGAACTGAATTGGTCAGGGATGCGACGGATCGATCCTGCTGACCGACAACTCGACGACGAACATCCAGAGCGAGCAAAACGCCGGGCCGAACGTCAACTCGGCTAGAGGGTTCGGCGTGGTCGACAACATCAAGACCGCCGTCGAAAATGCCTGCCCCGGCGTCGTTTCGTGCGCCGACATCCTTGCTCTCGCCGCCGAAGCTTCTGTTTCTCTGGTAGTTATATAGCTAGCTAGCTAGGTGGTCGTCACTGATCATATCTGCAACCGTCGCTATAGGTAATTAACTGGTCACTATATGTGTGTGCATGCAGTCAGGAGGGCCGTCGTGGAGCGTGCCGTTGGGGAGAAGGGACGGCAGAAGTGCGAACCAAGGGGGAGCCAATGCTTCGATTCCTTCTCCTTTTGATAATCTGGCGAACTTAACTTCCAAGTTCAGTGCAGTTGGGCTCAACACCAACGATCTTGTTGCATTATCAGGTAGATAGTTAATTAAGTTAATTAAATTGATATTATAACTAATGCCCCTCAATTGTCAAAGACATCACTTTTATTAGGGAGCGGATTCAGTCTATAATATTATCCGTAACTTAGCCATAACTCGAAACTTACCATTTTCACAACTAACTTTCCCAAATTAATTTTGATCGACTATATTTTTTCGTCTTAATTAAGTTGCAATTTCAAAAAAAGAAAAAAGTTCACAAATAAATTAGATTAAGTACTCTTCAAAATGACATTCATTTTGACATGATTTGGGGGGCGAGAATTTAAAACGTTTAATAACAGCCCTTACCATTTGATAATGTTTGGTAGTACATAAGATTATATCACATGTTATGGAAGTGTATCATGGCGATACGAACATAGCATAGTGTGGAATGGTTGCATACATGATAGTAGGAATATAGTAACCGTCATGTACCACTTTTTATCGCTATATACCACCAGTTATCACCCTATACCAAGGTGGTATAGTGTAGTATATTTGGTCTTGAAATTTGTTTTCCGAAAATTTGTACATATAATAGATCAAGATGAACTTGTTCCTTCTAGGAAAAAAAAAATTCAAAATTCAATTTAAAAATAATAGTGATATCGAGTGATGATATCGGGTGGTATAGATGGTATGAATTTTTTTCTTGAATTATATATGGAAAGTAAATATTATCCAGAATTTGATATCTAAATTGAAAATAAGAATCAATTAGAAAAAGTAGAAAAATAAAAAGCTCTCAATCCTTATCTATTAGATTTGACACAGTTGAAATTAATTAATCAAAGGGTCAAATCTGGTTATAAATTTATGCATAAACAAGTACTAATGCACCATGGCCGCCCATGATTAATTAACAAAGTTTGAATTAATTATATGCAAAAATTGTACAGGGGCCCACACATTCGGGCGGGCGCAGTGCCGGACATTCGTGAACCGGCTGTACAACTTCACGGCGTCGGGACCCGACCCGACCCTCAGCTCGTCGTACGCCACGACCCTGCAGCAGACATGTCCACAAAACGGCAACGGAGCCGCTCTTGCGAACCTGGACCCGACGACGGCGGACGCCTTCGACAACAACTACTTCGCCAACCTCCAGAACAACCAGGGGCTGCTGCAGTCCGACCAGGAGCTGTTCTCCGCTACCGGGGCTCCGGCGGCGCTGGTCAACTCGTTCAGCAGCAGCCAGACCGCTTTCTTCCAGAGCTTCGCCCAGTCGATGGTCAGCATGGGCAACATCGGCCCTTTGACCGGGAGCAGCGGGGAGATTAGAAGGGACTGTAAGATGATTAATTAAAAAATCTGATTATGAATTAATGCACGAGATTGAGTCAGGGTGATTCGTTCGAATGAGGACAAAGGGACATGCAAAAAAAAAAGTTTGTTTGTGGAAATTTTGTGGCGTTGCTGTGGGAGTTGAAATATTCTCAATGTTTAGGTTTTGTGTTCATGCAAGTATTGAATTGTCAAGTTGTTGTTGTGCTGAGGAAGGTGAACAAGAAAAATAGAGTAATGACCTGGATTTTTATTTTTTATCTTTTTGGGTTCCCTGTACTCATTTGATTTAATGGGTTTGAAAAATAAATTAAAATACTATTAGATCTAGTTCCGACCCGTTGGCCGAATACATTTTATTAATGGTAGAATCAGTGGTGTAGTAAGAAATTTAGTTCAGAAAAGTCCAACATAAATATTGTCGGATTTGCACATTTTGAGTTCTACATGAAGACTTCATTCTACGGGATTCATCAGCAAAATTGTGCTTAAGTCAACAAATTCTTGATGAAGGAGTCGATCGGTATCTCCACTATTTGTGTCGCCAAATCATCGTCATAAGGATTGTTCGAGGCCTTATTTACGGAAGGTACAAGCAAAAGAAACTACAACAATTGTAGAGCAACCCTTAGCTCATTCCTAGCCAGCCATGGTGCTAATGCTACCATGGAAATGGTCTCCAATCAAGAAAATGCATAGTGGCTTCTCAGCGAAAATCCAGGAAAGCCACAAGAATGCGATTGGCTTGGTCGGTCAGAACAATGAATGATATGTGACTGGAGCAGGACCGAACCCAATGCGATTGTATCACATGTTGGTGGTTAGCACTTAGCAGGTTGATTCAAGGATGTATTGGTCGATAATGGGTGGGTTGACGAGAGGGCTTCTCTTGTATTTGTGGTCTATGGTTGGTGGTCCTCCCATGTATTAGTATGTTGGTCTCCTCCCCATCTCCCAATTTATCCTAATACCAATAGTGTCTTTTCACCCATTCTTCCTCATTACTAGTAGTAAACTCAATTAAATTAAAAAGTGTTAACGCATCTAAATAAAATATTATTGGCAACAAGTAGGGATGGCAACTTTGCCCATACCCATGGGTTTCTTACTATCCAACCCAATTGGGTTGGGTATGAAATCCAAATAGATGGATATGGGTAGAGTTTGATGGGTTTGTACCCATACCCATTTACTTTGGGTTGAGTTGGGTTTATATCAAATGGATTTGGGTTTATACCCATGCCCAAATACAAATTACAGTTTGGTACCCAAACTTAATAGACATGCATATTTAGTACCTAAATTTAATTTTTTTTTGCATATAAGTCCTCAAAATACCGATGGAAAATTACGTTTTGGTACCTAAATTTTTTTGTTCTTACATTTTGGTACCTAAACTTTTCAAGTTTTGCAAATAGGTCTAATTTTTGCATGTGTAGTTAAAACACCGAGAAATTTTACAATGCTATATAGTATTGGTGCTATAAGATTTTTCCTTTATGGTACAACTTAAAATTGTACATTTACGTTATTGTACAACTTTAGATTGTACCTATACTTTTTGTACAAATTCTTTTATGGTACTACTTGAACTTGTACATTTATGTGATGGTACAACTTCAAGTTGTAAAGTTGTACCATAACATAATGGTACAAATCGCTTTATGGTACAACCTAAACTTATACATTTAATGTTATGGTACAACTTTAAGCTGTACATTAAAGCACCAATACTATATAGCATAGTAGAAGTGCTCTAAAACACCCTCAAGTAAATGGATATCCATATCCAACCCATACCCATTTAGATTATGGAAGCCCCAAACCCAAACCCATCTATAAACCCCCAAATCCATATGCACTTCGCCCATACCCAACCCATTATCAATGGGTCTACTTGGGTTTGGGTATAATTACCCATGGTTGGTTAATTTGCCATCCCCAGCAACAAGTGTTAAGTGTTAACCCCATACTAAAAAAAAGTGTTAACATAAGTATTATAACCTATTAACCTATATAATAATTCTACCACGGCCGCGCCATATGTCCACCATGTGGCATCCACGTTTACAATCCACTACATAGCTTCACATAATTAGTCAAATCCCAGCCACACGTTCCCTTTATTAGAACGAGCTCATTGTTCTTTGAATCGGCTCACCCATCTCAATCCGACGGATGAAAGCTAAGCACCACGAGTGAGTCACCAAGAACCCGCACGCACCAAATCATTCTCCATGTCTCTTCTTCGTAATCTCTCACGGGAGACTTTTTCTCATTCGCTGAACATTTCACTTCTGTCATTTTTTGTTGTTGTTTTTGTCTCGTGTCCTCTCTTTTCCGTTCCATTTCCTCTGCCTTTCTTCTCTGTGAAGATGAGTTTTTGCTAGTAGCAGCTGTAGAAGAAGAAGAAGACAGCGCCTTCGCATGGCGAGTCAACTCGGAGCTAACTCAACTCTGGGTCTCGCTATTCACCCTTAAGCTGGTCGTCAAGATCGCCGTCTCTCTCGCTCTGCCAGGTTCCTTCACTTTGTCTTTCTTCCCACCCTTTTCCATTATTATGTCGTCTATCATTCTAATTGACAATTTCGGCGACTTCCCAATCTGTGGGTATCCATTCCCATGGCAGAAACACTGCCAATTTTCATGCTACCGTCTTGGGCGACCGAAAGCTAGGGTTTTTATTTGATTTGTCTCCCTCCGAAATTGCGCGTTTTTTGGTTTCAATTGAATTGGAGGCCTGTTCCGACTTAGGCTTTTTGCAATTGTCTATGATTCGGTGCATATTCGGATTCGAGTTCGTCCAATTCTGTGGTGGAGTTGGTAATTTGTGAATTTTGCGTCGTCATTGATATGGTTAATGATGTAGGGAGTTTTCATCTTGACAGCATTTTGTTTGACCTCGTGGAAATTCAGGTTCCGGCATCAGAGATTGCTTCACTTTGGTATGGAGAACGAGGCACCGGATGCTATGAATCTCGATTTGAATCTCGGCCCTGGCCCAGACACAGAGTCAGAAGAAGCAATAGCTAGTGAAGGTGTGAACTTGGATGATTGGGTTAATGATAACCCTATCGAAAGAATAAGGCAAGCTGTCAGAGTTCGAGCTAGGCAGCGTTGGAGATGGCGACAAGTCCAATTCCCGCGCGAGAGGCAATCACTTTCGGTGGAATTGAATCAATTGATAGGCGATTCTGCAGGTTTGAGCGGCTTACAAGCTGGTGAAGGCAGTGTAGCAGCTGAAGAACGGTCCAATGAAGACCTCAAAATGTGTGAAAACGCCAATATGTTTCTAGAAGACCAAGTGTCTGAAAATAAGGATAATGTCGAGAAGGGAAGTGGCACTGATGGGAGTTTTTTCGATTGCAATATTTGCTTCGTCCTGGCTTCAGATCCTGTTGTTACATGTTGTGGCCACCTCTTCTGTTGGGCATGCCTATACAGATGGTTAAATATCCATTCGGACGCAAAAGAGTGCCCTGTATGCAAGGGGGAGGTCACCATCAAGAATGTGACCCCAATATACGGGCGAGGTAATAATAATTCTCGTCCATCTGAAGACGACTCCAGTCTTGAGATCCCAAGCAGGCCACAGGCGAGGCGAGTCGAGAGCCTGAGGCAGACCATTCAGAGAAATCACTTTCACTTTCCAATGGAAGAGGTGATTCGGCGCCTCGGAAGTAGACTTGAGATGGTGGAAGAGTTGACTCCATCTCAAGATCCTAGTGGGGTCCGTGACATAACAGATAGGAGTTCCTTTATTAATAGGTTGATGACATTCAGGGGAGCCCGTGCAGAGCAAACTTCAGTCCCAAATCCTAGCGAGGTAGTGGATTTGACACACAGTGGGACAAGTAGTCCCGAGGGAGGAGTAAGAAGCCGCCGGCTTCACTCTCTGTTGCTTCGGAGGTCCCAATCACATGCTCAAAGAGCTTCAGCTCACAGTTCACTATCGGCTGCTTTTAATACTACTAGTGAAAGAATGGTCGAGCTTCTAAGAAACCATCCCATAGTGAGGAATCAGGAACAAGCTGTTGATGACAGGGATTCTTTCTCGAGCATTGCTGCAGTTATAAACTCGGAAAGTCAAATGGACACTGCTGCTGAAATTGATTCCATGGTGTCTCTTTCTACCTCTTCTTCCAGAAGAAGGAATGATAGCTCGAGAGCCTCTGATGTCGACAGTGGGGATTCTCGTGCGCCTAGGAGGAGGAGGTTAAACTAAGGAAAGTATCCATCTCTAATTATTTCTGGTATGTTGAATATTGGCAACTCAAAATCCTACGTCCATGTAAGTTCTACCCCGGCTTTGTAACAGCTTGCTCTCAATTTGTGTTGGCGTTTTCCCGATCGTCAATGACTCTTGAATCTGATAAATTTTAATTTTTCAAATGTTCCATAGCTGCTTCTGGGTTTGAGATATATGCGCACTCTCACTTAGTGAGCATCTGTGTAGTTCCTGTGTGGAAAATCAGTTCTATAGGGAGCAAGTAGACCTTATTTTCTTTCCATTGTACATAAGACCTCTGAGCTACATGGTGTGGGGCTACTTATTAATTTTTCCATCCAATTTTCCATTATTCATTGCATGTTTCATTGAAATTTATTTTTGACAGGTTCTGATGGCATGCGTTGCATAATTTTTATTTGTCTTGTATTCTTCTGCAGAACTTTTTAACACTATATTGCCTTGCCTTTTAAGTTTTAACAATAGAACACTACTGATTCCCTGGATAGGGTTACTAGGGAAATTGGTATTCCCAGTTAGTTTCTGGGTTTACTAGGGAAGCTGGTGTTGTTTGCAGCCTTCTATTAGGGAGGTTCTGACACAGTTGAGTATCACTGTGGCAGTTTGATCATCTAACTAATCATCATGGTTGGAGCTAGATGAGATTTTGAAAGCATTCTCTTCTATTTTTTCCCCATGTTTGTGAATTGCCTTGGGCGACAAGCAAATATTTAAGACTACTTTTCTTGTCATGTTGCGATTCTGAGTTCATTGATTTCTACTGTAGAAAGACTGAATAGCTATTCGTCAACAACAGGTCATAGCTAACTATACCTTGTTAAAAAACAACAGGTCATATAGCTCGAGTTGTGTTAGGTTTTGTGCGAGGGTAAGGGAACTCTATGGTTTGGGCCTACTGCAAATAAGTCGCCTCAAACCAATTCTAGCTAGCACCAGGTTCTAACAAGGCATGATCGCGGCAAGGCAATGAAGAAGAAGAAGAAGAAGAGCATCCATGTCTGGACACATGAGAACACAATGATGGCGAATTGGCGATGATGATCATTGAAACAGGGCTAACTAAAAAATAAGTAAAAAAAAAACTCTAAGATGATGAACAAGGCTGCCAAAATGTTGATGATGGTAAATGGATGGATGGTTGATGATGGAGCCTAATGGGACTGGAAAGGTAATTTAGACTTTAGAGGGCAGAAAGAAAGAGAATGTGTCATGTGGGTTGATTGGAAAATTTATTTATCTATCTATTATGTCGTGGTGTGTGTCATTAAAAATAAATTAATAAATATAATATTATTAATTAAAATGAATAAATACAAATATTTTGTTCAAAAACTCTGTTGCTTATATTCCATATCCAACATTTTTTTATGTGCACATGTAAACAATTATTCATAAATTGGTCACTCAAGTAATTCTGAATATGGTTCGCAATTAACTTCATACTAGAAAAAAAGTCATTTCAGAGCTTGCAAGATAAAGTCAACACTAACTTCGAATGAAAAAAAAGTTCAAACGAGAAGCTAGAAGGGTGACGACAAGTCAGCGTGGAAGTTTAAACGAGAATAGGGATGTCACCAGCCCGACGCCGACAATTGAAGGGTGGAAATCCACTGATTTATGGTAATTTGTTGTTACCAATTAAACACTCTCTTAGCCAAAAGATCTTCCACCATTAACATCCAAACCCACCAATCAAATCACCATCCCTTGATCCAGGCACTCATCAGTCTTTTTCTGGGCTTATGTACTTTGGGCTAAGACCTATAATTTATGGACCGGGTGTTTAGGGCATTTGGCCATCTTTTGGGCTTTTTGGAGTGGTCTTTCTTTTCCTTTGTGTTTTGCTTAAGCCTTATCACTGGGTTTATCCCCACTTTGTATCCCTCTTCAGTTTTTTTTTAATGAAACTAACCTTGTAAAAAAAGTACATTTTGAATTATTTTTGTGCAAATTATATATTTTCTTTGCTCATCATATAACAGATGACGATTTACATCATCACATGAAGCGAGTGGATTGAATGCACTAAAAAATGCATTATTATTATTATTATTATTATTATTATTATTATTATTATTATTATGTATATAAGGCACTCATTATAATTATCATGATCATCCCCATTATTACATTGACCCCAACAAAGGAACACAACCAAAAAAGCAATCGCATATTTTAGTTCTCGTGTCCCTTTCTTTACCAGCACTGCACAGCATCCCAGGAAGCGAATGACTGAATTAGAGAGAGAGAGAGAGAGAGAGAGAGAGAGAACTTAGAGAAAGGGTGACAATCAAATCAATCAAAGCAGCTGAGCTAGATAGCAGGGTCATTGTAGTATAATAATTATGATGATGATGATGAAAATAATGATAATTGTCATAATGATCAATAGTGATTCATTATTTGGTTGAAATGAAAAAAAAGTATGGCAAAGTCAAACTAATTATTATGTTCAAGCTTGTAGCAGGGAACACAACATTCAATTTTGTCATTAGAAAAACAGACAAAAAAGAACACGGGAAAACAAACTAGCTAGCCACTTCTAATTCCATTTTTTCGGCAGAGTTGCATGCTATTGAAAATGTTATGATAGAATCGTGGGTATCCTAGATATCGGCAGAAAGGAAGAGGGTAATTAGCATCTGCTCTCATAATATTTGGAGACCCTGTTTGAAAGTCTAAAATGTGTACCTTAAAATTTTTCTCTACAAATTTATTTATAATAAAAATTATATAAGTTAAGAAAATTATTACAAAATAACAACATCATCTTTAGACACCACTTTTTGTCCGGGTTAAAAACAACTTTACTCAGATAAATTTTTGCTCTTGTTTAAGACTTACAATAGCAAATCTTATTCGACCTACTGGTTAAAACTTGTTTGTGGGCTTGAAATGGATCGTGTTCGTCTTAACGCAATGGGATTAGCAATAATAAATTTTATTGAATACAATTTGATAGCGGGGAGTTGATGGGTTTTGGTTTAATTTGAGAATTCACATGATTTGGTTGTGAATTGGACTTTATTGATTTTTTTTTTTTTTTTTTTTTTTTGCTTTTTGGTGAAAATTGTTCTTCTGAGTTTTTCGAATTGCCAAATTGGCCAAATGGGATCAATGGGTCTTGAAATAAATAGGCAGTGACAGCAACGTTCTCTTTAAATTCTATTTTGTTGGGGCCTCGTTGTTTTTTATTTAAGCTAACCCAATTTTATTCATTACTAGACCTCTAATAATTTTTATGCAGCTGGTATTGGACCCCTTCTGTTTGATAGTGCCCAACGGCCCAAAAGTTATGAGTCCTTTTATACCGTTTCTTTCCTTCAGCTTTTTTAAGAGATTGTTTGGCTCGTGATCATGGATTATTACCAAACAAATCATAAGTCACCTTTCCTGAAAATAAAATAAAATAAATATGAGTGAACAAATGTATTGTGCCATTCTTTGTAGTTGATAATGTTGTGTGCGATCACTTTCCGACACTTTGTTCAACTCTAAAAAAAAATTGTTAATTCGGATGTCTTTGTCCAATTAATTAGTATATTCTACTTGATCTGCCAAAGTAACTCATAAACAACATAAATTGTGATCAATAAAGGAAGCGAATTTAGAGTGTTACTCTATTCCTTCTCTCTCTCTCTAAGTGCAATATCTCTCGCTTCTCTCTAGCTACTCGTTTTTCTTTTTCTAAGGGGGTTGTTATCGCGTCACTCTGGCTTTCAACCGACGACCCCTCGATTTTTTTTTACCATTTTTTTCCCTTCATCTTCTGCCTTTGTTTGGTATACATCCATTTGTCAATTCCTTTATTCAATCTCTCTCATGAGGATGGGTTTTGTCCTTCCACTTATTTGATTTTTCACATATGGAGTGCTTTTGTTTCTAATTGCAAAGGGTGGTTGATTTTGGTGTTTAAGATCGGCTTGCCTTCTCGTCTTCTCGGCTCTAATCTACCTCTTTGCTTCCCCTAGCTTATCTCAGTGATTCAGAGATGCTAGTAGTCTTACCCTGTGAATTGACCTGAACGCAGTTGGGAGATCATAAGATAGAGACTCGATCTATATGTTTCTTCATCGGAAGTAACAAAAAATATATGAGTCAACAAATTTATTGTGCCATTCATTCTAATTGATAATGTTGTGTGTGATCACTTTCCAACACTTTGTTCAACTCTAAAAAAGTTTGTCCAATTAATTAGTATTCTACTTGATCTGCCAAAGCAAATCATAAACAACATAAATTGTGATCAACAAAGGAAGCGAATTCAGAGTGTTACTCTATTCCTTCTCTCTCGAAGTGCAATTCTCTCGCTTCTCTCTAGCTACTCATTTCCCTTTTTCTAAGGGGGCTGTTGTCGCTTCGCTATGGCTTTCAGGCGACAGCCCCTCGGTATTTTATCATTTTTTTCTTTATCTTCTGCCTTTGTTTGTTATACATTCATTTGTAAATTCCTTTGTTCAATCTCTCTCATGAAGATGGGTTTTTTTCCTTCCCGTGATTTGATTTTTTAGATATGGGGTGCTTTTGTTCCTGATGGCAAAGGGTGGTTGATTTTGGTGTTTAAGATCGGCTTGCCTTCTCATCTTCTCGGCTCTAGTCTACCTCCTTGCTTCCCCTAGCTTATCTCGGTGATTCGGAGATGCTAGTAGTCGTACCCCGTGAATTGACCTAAACGCAGTTGGGAGATCATAAGATAGAGACTCAATCTATGTGTTTCTTCATCGGACGCCCATTGTCTTGCATGGTTATGCTTTGGGAGCATCTAAAGACATTTTGGTCCAATGAGGTAGGTTTATGCTTGTCCGACTTAGATAATCATCTGGTTTGGGTTTGTTCAATCATCCTGGCTTCCAATCGTTCTCGAGGATTGAGTGATCTCTCGATCTGGTGTTGTACGCTGGTTGGCTGTCGGTTTGTGGTGATGAGTCCAGCAACAACGGTTTAGCACATAGAGAAGCAATTATGCTAGGATTGTGTGGGTTTCTGTATGGGCTTATTGATCTGAGAGTTTCTCACCTTTCTAGTTATGTTGTTGGTAGTCTTTACTTTTGCGTTACCCACTTTGTACACTTCTCATTTATAATGAAACTTCAAATTTTTTTTTTTTTTTAACAAAGGAATCAAATTCTAGATTTTGACTAAAGGCTTGCGTTTACATTAAATTACGCCTCAGGTGTCCAAACAACAACATAGAGTCGGATGTCCTCGCGCTTAATTAGGGTTTGTGGATAGGCATTTCAAATTGTGCCTCGGCTACCATTAATATATTGTCTATGTTTGGCCCGGCTTTTAAAAGTGCTTTTCGCCTTCAAAAGCTGAAGCAGAGCCAAACACCTCTAAAAAGCTCGGCTTTTGAAAAACCGAAAAGCGTTTTTGTATAACATAAAAGCAGAAGCTCCGATTTGGAGCTTCTGCGAAAAGATGTTTTGAAAATACAAGATTATCCTTACCATATTTTAATTTTATTTTAGAAAATATAATTTTCCTTCATTTATATCATTTTAAAAATAAAACAAATTATAAAATCATATTATTTAATATAAAAGAAATCTAACAAGATCCATTTTGACTACTTTTTATTGTTTAGAATTTTTATTTTATATTATAAGTCCTTTATAGTCATTTTACACAACCGCTTATATTAAAAAGCATTTCTAATAGTTTTACAGCCAAACACTAAACTTTTTTTTATTTTTTTTTAAAAAGCTTATCTAAAAACTCAAGCCAGAAGCTGTTTCTGCAAAAACTACCGCAGGGCCAAACTAAGCTATTAACATTTGAATTATCAATTTCTGAGTTGCATTCGTGTAAGTAGCTTAGCATCATAAAATATGCTACATCTTGGTTTGGTCCCCAACCATTGAATAACCCACAGATCCATGGATGATCAGACCAGACCAGATCCGACCCCAGACTGATATGATAATACTGAATTACTGATACAAGTGAAGTAATGTAGGTATCCATCCGGCGCCCCATATCTCCCAACCCAGACCATATTGCTACTGTAGCAATATCCAATCATTGAGGCACTCGAATTGCACTGTATGGATTGGATTGGACTGTGAAAAAAAAAATAAAGAGATGGGGAAAGGTCAAGACTCATGAAAAGCAGAGAGTAGGGATCAGAGGAGGTGAAGACGACTGGACAAAGGCAGTTGGGGGAAGGAAACGAAATTAAACCTACCTATCCCACCACCACCACATACACAGTTTACAATAAAAAACCTGCAGAGGAGCTTAGCCTATTGCAGCAGAGATATGATGATTGCTAAAAAATTTGACTGCTTATTCTGCTCCATTTTTTTTTTTCTCTTTCCACCTTTTTTTTTTCCTTCTTCTTCTTCTTTCTAATGAGTAGTGACTGATGAGACTATGGGAAGGCAGTAAAAGAAAGGGGGGAAAAAGAAAGGCTGGAGAGACGCATAGACAGAGAAGGCTGAGTAGCACCATCACATCAGTCACTAGTCAACTGCTACAACTACAACTAGCTAGGCTGATGAGGCAATAATTAATGGGCATCGAGATTCCAGACCAGATGCGTATCATAGATTAGATTAATGCATTATGGCCTACTAGCTTCTGCTTCTGATTCAGGCTAAAGAGAAGAGATGAGAAGAGAAGAGAAGACCCAAGAGAGGAGAGCAGAGGAGAAGATCTATCTCTGCAGCTCCCCGAAGATCTGCTATTACATTGCATCACATTGATACCATAACTCCATATTTGGTGGTACGTTAGGTCTTCCATCTCACAAAAAAGTAGGTCATCCCAAAGGACATACTTGTAAAAGAGAGGCTTCTATCTTTATACACATTTCACCAAGTAAAACTATCAATGTGGTAGTTTTTCTGACTCGAGACTCTATAGCTTTCAAAGCTATTCACTCATTTCCAATATCATCCATTGTTACGTACTCTCAA